GCGGCCGGTAGAGTAGTTTATAATAAAGAAGCGACGCGGCAACGCGGTAAGAACAGAGCACAGCCTTTCCTGGTGGTCAGCGTGTTTACCGCTGGATTTACTTTTTCTTGGCTGCCGACGTGGTTTTTCTATGTACTGATCGACGCTATGCCGCAGCTGAAGAGGGGGATATTCTATCAGTTTCAGGCAACTGCCTACACGTTCCTGCCATTACTAGATCCAATTCTCTTCTGCTTAACCACTCGCAGCTTGCATGTTTACATCGGAAGACAGTGCCGCAAACATATTATATTAAAGCGCCAAATTTCTAGTGTTTACTCCACGTAGAGTATTGCAAATGCGAGATTGTCCCATTTTTCAGGCTGTGCAAAGAAAGCTTGCAGTGATTATAATATCATCTACAGACACATCTACAGACACAATATACTCGTATCATCTGTACACCGTGCGTTTTTATGGCAAAGGAGCTGATGCCGAGATGCACAAAAATTTTCTAATCCTTATTTTCATTAGCTGGGTTCAGCTGTAGATAATTTATATTTATCTTGTGTTTCACCCAATGAAAGTAATTTACTGATATTGCTGACGTAATTGCTGTCATCAAACGCAATTAAGACCCTGACCGTTGACATCTATAACCGCGACATGCCTGGGTATCAAATTTCCGCATTGCTGATCGTGATTCGCTTACGCATCCGGCTTTTAATCAAAATCACAGGAACATCTATAAACAACTTTAATTTCCGCATGCTGCCGAACTGCATTAAATAACCCCTTCGAATGCGCAGCGTGTCATTTGTGCCGTACAGATAGGATGACTGCTAAGTGCTGATACGTTTCTTGTCTTTTGCATGCTATGGCCGCATACCACTTTACAACATGAAAGTATGCGAGTACGCCTTGGCCGGAGTTTGTTCTGCATTCGGACCTCCTCATCAGTCTCAACCGGGTGGGGGCGCTCTTCTAGCCGGTGTCCTACCGCAACCGCTACCGGTGTCCTAGCGATACCGACCGCCTGCTGGATCTGCGTGGGCCTGGTCCTTTACGTTCATCTTTTTGAGTTACCGGGCGGGCGTGGATGCTGTCTATTACCGGTTAAATCTGAAGAAGGGCTGTTTGCTGACCCGAACTGCACAATCGGCATTTAAATCGTTGCAAACATTTATTTTTACTGCTCTCACCTTATTCATCGCGTTATGCTATCCATTTTTTTTGCTGAAGTATTTTTGTATGAAAAAATCGGCAAGCAAAAGCAGAGCTGATGATAACACTGCACGACAGCAGGCCACGAACAAAGCGCAACCTTTCCTGGTGGCTAGTATGTTTACCTTTGGATTTACGTTCTCTTGGCTGCCGACCTGCGTTTTCTACATACCGGCTGACGTCATGCCGCATGTCCCGCTCGCAGCTTTTATAGCAATGGGAATATTTCTTCAGTTTCAGGCTACTGCTTATATGAACTAGATTCCATTCTCTTCTGTTTGACCATTCGACATGCTTACATCAGGCGACAATGCCGCAGACATTGTCGCCTGATGTAAGCATGTCACCCCAACCCCAAGCAATTTTCAAATCACCCACTTTCGGCATCCGCTTCGTCTTGCAAAATGAGGCTGACGCCGAGGTTGTGGAGAATTTCGTTACCTTTATGATCATTAACAGAGTAAAGTTACTGTATTATATAATTCATTTGTGAACAACTTTCTTTGCCCATTAGAGGTGACTTACTAATTCAGATTATTGTACAGGCTCTACGCACGTATTCACTAAGCATTTTTATACAAAGTTCGATTAATAATAAAGAAAAGCATGGAGTCGCGGTGCTATGCAAAGAATGGAGCAGGAGAAAAGGCGTCCCTATTTTTTTTGTATACTGTAGGTATAACCAGGCAAATTAAAAATTTCAAAAGAATAACGACATTATCTGAAAGTTAGACGCCCGTTTCCCATAAGTACGGTATTCATGGAACGCGGCTGCAGACCTCGTTAAACCGTAGAACAACACGCTGATAAATTAAAAATAGTCAGTATCTGCACGTACATTTATTATCCCTCCGTTCTACGTACTTCCCCGCAACAGCGAACTTTTCTTTCTGGGAATTTTATGCAGGTCCGTTAGAGCGTGTCATATATTTTGTGTCACATTTTGGACATTTGTTGGTGTTGTACCACACCACAAACCACACATTCTTTTTATCTTGCCATTATTAAAGCGCGAATAAAGTGCATACGCGCTAATTAGTAGTTAATTAACGATTTTACAAAGCCCTTGCATGGATAGCATCGCAATACGCACAATAACTCCACTACGGGGAACACTTCCCAACTACTCGGATTTATCCTTGCGGCCAGTAATTCAACAGCGTGAAGCGCACCTTTCGTTATTGGTTTTACCATCTTGATTGCCGTCCGGCCGGCCGTATTGCCTTTAATCTCGGTGTTCTTATCGTCCTGATATCCAAAAAGAGCCTTCATTCCTCCTTCAACGTTTAAATCGTTGCCCTCCTGACTGGTAATATCCTTTACGCCGCCGTGGAAGGTCCTCTAGAGACCGTTAAGCCGTTTGCTTGCACGCTGAATCTGTATTCCATTATGTCCCGGCGGCAATGGTACTACACACACACCTGCTGACCTCCCTCAACCGGGCATGGGCGCTTTTTTGGCCGGTTAGCAAGCTACAAGTAATTTTCCTATCTACTGTATTAGTGATGATTTTACATGAATGTGCGTTAAAAACGACAAGAATTAACGAAGAAAACGTCGAGGAAATAAAAACTGTTGCTCCGGTTTGCTTAAAAAAATTTAAAAAGGTTCGGGTTTTAGAAACGTAAAGGGCTTTGGCTTCGCCTGGGTCGATAAAAAACCTAGTTTAAGATAAATTGCCTCACTGAGTTTGAAATTTAAGAATTAGGTAAAAGTATGTTTGTGCGTTAAACACTGGTACGATTAGAAGTTTGTGACAGCTATTTTTAAGTATTTTAAATATTTTTCTGTTATTTTATATTTTGTGCGCGCATTATCGGTTTGTGGGGATAAATTAGATTCCAAAGCGCTTACGTACAATTTGGTGTGCAGAGCACTGCACCGAAAGTCTCGTACCTAAATTTTTCTGGAATGCTTAGGAAATTCAATAATGCACAAAGATCAATCTTTTGTATGGAACCAAAGTTGTAGAAGTTTTTCGAATTTTAAGATCACTTTTAGCATTTTAAAAAAATTCCCGACCCGTGATTCGGTTTGCAACAGGTTTATATTTACAGGTATCATACCGAAAAATCACACTATCAAGATCAGCTGGCGCTTATCCTGGATCATGGTAATGTATATCCACATCTGTCAATTACCTGGCATTAAACATACCTTTAATAAGTATCCTAATGCGAGTGCAAACTATGTACTAAGCAAACGGCATTTATAACAGAAAAACTTCCTCTATGCTATCCTGATCGGGGAGCGTACCCATAACACAAATCGCGTTTCCCCGTTGTATTTGGATAGATACTCGCTGCTTGAAACAACTCTTTCGCCCGTTTCTGGCCGGTGGAAGTCGCTATACCGTTTCCAACATTCTCCACTAGCCGTGAGTTCGGCTGCTGCGCCGGCGTCACGGAGGTGCGGTTGATATACGAGGCCGCCAGCGTGTCCACGCAGGTAACATCCACGGCCAGCGGTTTACCGCACGCCCACGGTATAAGTGTGATCACATCGGGCCTTTTCTAATCCTTCACAGACAAACCTTTCGGCCCCATTCTAGAAGGGAAGCCGGCTGACTTTGGGCCTCGGGTAAATTCCGCGCTGATTCCGTCGTGTCGTGGTAGTCTTCCGGCAGACCGCTTACAGCGAAGTCCATGCCGGCCTAATTCGTCGACCAACCCTCCACAAACGCACACATGTGGGGTAATGATCGATGCTCTCAGACGCAACGCAACACTCTCTGATGCGGAAATCGTTGTCCTCCAGCAGATTACCAAGGCAGGCTGCGCGTAATGCATGAATCCACACACCTGATTCCGGGACTGATACCGCCTGGCATCATAATGGACGCTCTGTACTATCGCTCAGACCGCCAGGTGTGCTGGGTCAATCGGGACGCTCAACCAATCTGGACACTGTTCCTAGGGATTTGGATTTTCGATGTACCCACGGTGTTCATCCCAGTGTGTTAACCGTTTCTTCTGTGGAAACAGCTGCGCATCCGACGAGCAACGCAACGGAAATAACCCCAGGCACAGCAACCCGACAGTCTGTTCCATCTCAACCAGCAGTTTATGCAACTAGATATCGGGCGAATAGCCGACTCTTCCGTTTGGCCTCACTGTTTGCCGCTGGGTCCAGCGCATGCTGGCTGCCGACTATGGCATATTACACATGAGCTGATGTTATGCCGACAATGGATTTGGCGGCACTCGGTCAAGCCGAAGCAGCGCTTTGCCCGTTGCTGTCTTTACTGGATCCAATACTAGTATTTTTGTGTTTGACTATGCGGAGTTTGCATGGTTTTGTGGGACATTTGTGGCGGGCTTGCATTGTTAGGCGCAAGAATACTTGAACGGTTAAATAGGTTCTTCAAGCCACTATAGCAAATGAATTTCCAAGTAAGATAGAAATCCCTTCCTTTATCACATTGTTTCATTCAACGCAACGCATTGCTTTCCGTTTCCCTTTTGCGCCCAGTGTACTTACCTGCAACACCGTTAAAATTGAATTTAATCTATTGCGGCATACTTTATCACGTGCAGCAAAACAAACCACTTCAAAAACCTCTCACGTGTGCATGGATTCTTGTTAAAAATCTAAAACTCGAACATCCAGGCACACGACCAGCAGAAAATTTTGCAGTGCACTTCAAGAACAGCGTTCTCTTTCCAAACCTTTTGAGTTTCCAGCTGACGACAGGATTTGTTGGGCTGACATGCTGGCAACGACGTGACCATTTACATTTATGCATCCGCGGTCCGTTTACTTCGTCCGTCAATGTACTATATAAGCGCGTGTGTTCCTATCAAAACGAGTGTCGGCAGTGACTTTCCTGTTTGATACTAACTCTTCTTGCATGCTACACGCTTTTTGTTCCGCTGGATTCGACTGCTAGCGTGTTAGTTTAGCGCATACAATAATGAAGCAACTTGCCGTTTTTGCCCTTCTTATGGTGGCGCCGGTTGCCTGTAAGTGCAGTAATTTTTTCAAAACGTTTCTAGCCTGAAGTTTTGAGATAAGTTATCTTCAAAATAATTTCCAGTATATTACCGTTATAAATTTTAAACAGCGTCGTAAAATTAATGTTTTTCCATCGTTAAGTGATTGATCGTTAATATTTATTCGATTCCAGGGTGCGCGACAACTGCCAACGTTTGCCGAATTGCCGGTACGGCAACGACATTTAATTTTGGCCTAAATGGAGAAATTAAATTTTTGTTTTTTTAACTACAGGAACAGTTGTGGGATCCGTGCTGGGAAGTATTAACGGAACGCAACTGGAAGCCGGCTGTGCGGACACATCCAACGCCTGCAGCAAGAACAGCAAACCCAATGTTGCTACGAACATCCTCGGCGGCTTGGGAAACTTCTTCGGCGGCTTTGGCGGTGCTGGACAAGTGGTGCAGGGTGCCCTGAACCTGGCCTGCAGTGAGGTCGCCACCGCGGGGAAGATCGCCGATGCCGCCAAAAATAAGGATCCCAAGGAAGCGTCCAAGCAGATTGCGAAAGTGGTTTGCACTCCCATCAACTATGCGGCCATGGTGAGCAGCTGCAATGAGGCCGTGAAGGCCGCCAAAGTCCCCAAGGGATCGGATTTGACGAAGGTGAAGGGATGCGAGAATATTCATTTTGTTGACACTCTGGGAAAGGCGTGCATTCCGCAAGCAGCGTAATATGATGCCACCTTGCTTGGATTTTTTTCTACTACTCTACTGTTTTAAGTATTCAGCTTTAACATGATGTTACGGTCTATTTTTGGACTGTGAGACAAATATTTTAAATGCTTAATGTAGTTAAATTAGATAATTTGCCTGGTACTTCTTAAATGCGCATCCTTCCATGAGCGTAGTGCGCTGTGCATTAACATAAAATGCATGCACAACCCAACGGACACAATACAGCTACAAGGTACTTGGAGTAAGGTATACGGTAAATAAGCAAATGCATACAGTATTCTCGAAGGAACCGCGATAGGCCCGCCTAGTTTTTAAAGTGAAGAGTGCACTGGTAGGCGGCTCCTTGATGCAAAGTAATGCGGCATTATTACTTCTGCCTTACACTTGAGTTAAAAGGCGGAGCCTACTGTTGAGAATTTACGGTTAATAAGAGTACGAGTATGTACCTGTACTTACTAAACGGCTAACGAAACCGTTGATTGTTTTGTTGGCTCGAGTGCAGTGTAGAAGTGTCGTACACATACTCGTGCAATACACTATGCACTCTCATAGCACACCGGTTACCGATGCCGATAAACACTTAATGGGCCCAAAGATGAACAAACAGACCGCTGATTAAGATCTCATTTGAATATGGTTCACCGGCATCCCACATATAAAATCAATTAGGTAAGCAACCGATGATAGCTCAGTTGGCAGAGCGGGCGGCTGTAGTATCACAAACATCATCAGATACCGCCAGGTCCTGAGTTCAATTCTCAGTCGTCGGAAATTCTTTTTTTTTTACAAAAATTTGCACCAGATGCTAATTTTTTCAACTATCCAGCAATAAGCAAACTCCAAAGGAATTTTTTTTAATTAATTGCTTCAACGGCTAGAGTAATAAGCGAGTAATTTTCTAACGGGCGTCTTCGTTATTCATCTTGGAGGCAGCAGTTTGACGAATAAGAAATCAAATAAGTGATCGCGAGTGCACAACGAAAGGGAGATGAAAAGGATGCGAAGCAATTATATACGTAGAACTTTTTGCTTATTGTTTGTTTAGGGCTAAAAGAGTTACTTGTTGAATGCAGTTCGCATTAACGGAATAATGAAACTAGCCAAGCAACCGGCAAAAACTACTTATATTTTCTAATTAGCACAATTATGCACTACGAGTAATTTGAATGTACATCGTATCCGTCGGCCCAAAGTCTCGGGACACACAATAATTTGACAGGTTTGTGCGTAACCACAGTTCTGAAAGACAGCGATTACAGAATTTCGAATGTCCGAGCTCTGCTATTCTATGCTGGATACGACGATGTCACTCTCCTTTTCGTGCCGATACAACCAGAAGGTGCGAACGCGACCTTTTCCCTGTAAAAAATTATCTTTTTCGGCAAATCGTCTGGGATTCGGCAAAACAACCGCTTCACGCGTACCCTGACATCCAGCCATCCACGCTCGCAGGATGTCAAAGGTGGATAACCAGCAGTCAGCGAGGCAGTGTCCTCCGTTAAATGAACTTTTCCCGCATCGCCGTATGTGGCCATTCTCGACGCCATGTTAACAGTATCACCGAATCTGCATTAAAAATCGTTTTATATAAAAAACTACAAAATCTAAAGACTTACAATTTGTGCAAGCGGTTCATGAAAGGTAAGTAAAGTACGTACAAGCAATAACGCGGCACTTTGAGGCCAATGACGCCGGCCGCGCAAGGCCCTGTGCAATAATCACATTCCGGTACAGTAAAAAAACAAGCACTTGTAGATACTGAAACATCCTTACCGGAATGTATGCCAGCTCGAAGCAGAAACTGTGGATTTAACGGCTTGGCGACTAAAACGGCCGGCAAGGCCAGAGCCATTTCGCATACCGTTATGGCATGCGCTTCTGCGGATTCCTGCACCGGTATACCACCCACCACCTACAAATATTGACTTGAAGCACACCCCTCATCAGACTGTAGCGTAAACGCACCAAATAAGAATCCCGAATATTTTCCACTTTGAGCACGTTGAATTCGGAAATACCTTCATCCAACACCGTACACAACCGGGTAAGGATCTTTAGCGCCTGTTTAACATCCGTCTGCGCGGCCCAGCTGGCGAACCCATCCAGCTCCCCAAAGTAAACACTGACACTGGCGAAGGTTTTGGCAATTACCGCACTACGGTTGCGCAATTGCTCCACGACAAACAACGGCAGCATCTCCATGAGCAGCGTATCACACTTGGCTCGTTCGTGGTTCAGCTCTTGTGTACGTAAAGTCACCGCTGCTTCCAGAGTCACCACGTACGCAGAGAACTTGGTAATAGTCCGCTCCACAATATTCCCGTGGGAGATGCCATGCCGGTTTTGGACACGTTGCAAGCGCGTCGCCAACGCTTGGATGGTGGGACGTTTGCGCGGATCGCGTTTTGTACATGTCTTAATTAAAGTGTCCATCTCTGCGATAGTGTTGGTCTGAAAGGTCATTTCCGCAAAATCCGGTGCGTGTTGTTGTAAGATGGTGAGGATCAGTAAACCGATGGAGTAAATGTCGCCCGAGCGGGATCTGTGTAGTTTAGGGTTGCTGCGGTGCTCCGGTGCCATCCATAGCGTGTCAGGTTGTTCAATGAGAAGATCATTGTTGGCAAGGTGACGCACTATATCACGGTAGCGGAATTTGGCAATTTTCAGGGTAAAACGCTGGTCGATAAGGCAGTGGGTAGGTTTGAGAAAACCGTGAGCGTCTTGCAGCGTCGAATGCAGGTACGCTACGCCCTAAATTAGCCATACTTGCTATTATAAATACTAGCAACAATTATAAAATAGCGATAGGTCCTTAATTTATTCCGAAAGATAGATATGAAAAGACCAAGAAAGATAGCTATGATTTTCGTTGCCACGTATCTTTGCTGACCTGAATGATATCCATAATCAGGGAAAACTGGAACTCTTTATCCATTTGCATCATATCAAACAGAGTCAGAATATTGCCTTTCTGGCAGTAGTCAGAGACCATTAGCGCATCGTCCATATCGATGATTAAACCGTAGAATTTGTGTATGCATTGATGCTGCAAGCAGTTAATTCTTGATGAACACCACGCTTTACATAATACATGAAATACCACGCTACCTCAAGAATCGGAATGATCTTGGACAATTTCTCCATATGCAGAGCTTGTTTACCATTTGACCTTTGCAAGGGTATCCGCTGTGCCCACACCAGGCGCTGATTCCAGTTAATAGTGCCGTGGGTGAATTTCGTCAAATCCAGCCGCATTTCCAAATCGCTTATATTAAGCAGCCACCAAAATCCCAGGGATTTTCGAGCAGCCATGTTAATCCAGTGGCGTATAAAGAAAACAGACATGCACAATATCAACATCCCCGCAATAGCGGGGATGACGATGGAACTATATGCCGGGCCTGCAACAGGATTGCTATATTATTATGAATTACTTTTATCAGCAAGAGCTTGTTGTTTGCGGTAACCATTGTACTGGCAGGGGCCTTCAGTGCCGAGGAAGCCACAAAGCGGAATATCCAGGGGAACAGCACCACCTATCCATGGGAATGACATGTTGGCTAACCACTGCAGTTCATCTGAACCAGCATCAAAATGACCAGACAGCTACAAACAGAAAAAAGCATTGCTGATGTGCTTCTATAGTGAAAGTTCTTGGTTTATTGCAACCAGTGCGCACACCAGTACAGTATTTCTTTTATTTTTTGACGAGAATTTCTGGCCGAGTTATAAAAATTATTTTTGATAAACCAACAATTTAACTGCCAAAGTGGCGCTTGTCAACTTGTCCTTATATTGTATTAAGAAGAGTTTGCTGGGTAACGTTTAGCAAGCGTCGAGCGCATGATTTCGACGAAAATTGCATGTGTACTGGGAAGAATTTACCTGCATAGAATGTCGATCATTATGGAAAGAAAATACATCGACGTTGACCAATTTGACTCCTTGCTCCGTCAAAGCAATGTTTCCGCTTGTCAATCGGAAGCGCTGCCCAAATGCCGCCGTAGCCATGGCACTTCCGCTGCATTGTGCACCGCCGGATCGATTCAGCGTCTGCATCGCCAATACGGGCAGCATTTCCACGATCTCGTAGGTGGCGCGGATCGTGTAGGAATCCATCGGCTGTTAATCAGCAAGGAATGGTTAATCAGTACAGGCGGGAGATGCTGATTGTTTATTCAACAGCTGCTAATGCCGGGTGATGGAATTAGGCCAGCCTGGCAAAGAGCACGGACATGTATTTAGGTACCTGGTCACCGGTGTCAAACTTGGTGTTATACTGGCTTCGACTGATTTGGGCTAATTCTTCGTTGAGAGACGGTGGAGCGGAGTTGGCGGTGGAGATTACCAGGAAGAATGTCCACTGTGCCAGTAATAGGTCCTAGGGATTCGTCGCAGAAAATGGATGTTGTTAAATAATTAGTTTAATTGCTGTTCATCTATGAGAAAAGATGTAGGAAATTTACCGTGTCAATGAAGTTATTAAAATACGCCGCGCGCCCGTACGAGGAAGCTTGCACAGGTTGTATATTGATGAAAACCTATCAACATTTCGAATTCGTGATCGGAGTACAATCCTATTTTGAGAAATTCTTGCGTTTGCAGTAAGACTTACATACTCCCCATTGTTCATTCCTGATTTTCCCGCTAGTTTCTGGAAACCGTAAATCAAGTATTTTAATCTTTTATGCAATCATAAATACTCGCATTAGCATTACACTGCAGTGCATGTGACGCGTGTTTCGTGTTCAGAAATAATCATTGCTTAAGTCCATCTTGCCACTGTCTTGCTCTTTAACAAACTGACATTGGCTTCGCTAATCATGCACACTGGCAATGCAATACTCAAATAATTTATTAAATTTTCCATAACACGCAACCTTGGTACTTATGTACAGATTGGAATTATAAAGTTAATATTTACCCGAACTGTCAACACCGTCGATGCCGCAGTAAGAAAGATGAAAACTACAATAAAATATATATTCCATTGCAATAACTTGCTGTTAGGATGATTAAAGAAGCACGTAAACAATACAATCGATATAAGCATATAATTATTAAAACACTGCGATGCTAACCTCTGCTCCGTTTGCGAGCGATATCCAGCGACTGCACCATGGTCTGTTGGGATGACCCCTTGAACGTTACAGTCTCCAGTGTATCATTGAAAGTTGTTGTTGCTGCCAGACGACGGATGGCTTTGTTGATCATTCCGTAGATGATCGTCGTCGCTTCAGTGTCCAACAAAACTGTCACGTGCTTCCATTTGAAATAGCGCAGCAGGCTGAATAGTGCGTTAACCTGGCTATCGTACGTGGCGCCCATGGTCAGCGAGTTCGGGTACCACTTGGTATTGATCAGTTCGCTTTGGCCAAGTCCACTAGAAAGAATCACGTGCAGTTTTTTTCGCACATCGTTAAGCAGAAAAGGATAATATTATTTACTTGTTGATGACCAACCAGTCCCATTCTGCAACAAATTAATCACGGATAAGCGGATTGATTAATCTATAAGGTTTCTGCTATAATGCTCTCTCACCTCGAACCAGATTGGATATCGTCGGAAAATCATTGCACGCTAGCCAACAAAAATACACATAGCGAACACAGAAACCTTATATTTTGTTTACTTGAAACGGCTGTTAACCGTACCAATGGCAATTACGACATGGCAAACGGGATCGTCCCAACGGGAGTCATCGACGTGGCGGTAATAATATTCTCCCAATAATGCCGCACTGCTGGCTGCTAATTGCGCGCAGTCTAGCGGCAGCGCGCCCCTTACTTGCTGTACGGCGACGGTTATGTTTTGCTCAGCATAGACCGTGCTGGTGCGCTGTGTCGCCAAGGTCAGCGCGGCGCCGGTCCAGGCTAAGCCAGGGGCGATTGTCGCATCCACCGGCAGCAGACTGACCACTTCAATGTGGATACAGTGTGCAATGTCGGTCAGCGTTATACAAAACCAAACGATACCAAGATATGTTGATGGGATCATGCTAGAAAGCCAAAAAAATGACAATAATATTGCGGTATGCGCGGAAGAAATGGTCTCCTTTTCCAGTATAGGTAGAGATGTTCAAACCTCAAATGAGAGAGCGCAATCGGATATTGCCCGATTCCGATGCTGAGTCGCTGACTCGCTAAAATGATCTTTGCTGACTACCATATACAGCGATCCTATAATTCACGGTTTTACGTAACAAAAAGATTATGACGACTACAGTTTCTGCGCGCATTACAGGGCTCCAATGTTTGATTCCCGGCTGATTGATTTCTGTACTCATGCTATGATCTTTGGTACGCGTACTGCAGCACTTCACGATACCTGGAACAGTTGTTCACTGGCAGAAAGGTACGCATGTACGGATACGTGCGTAGACGCAAGGTCGCATAACAAACCGAAAGTGCCGGCAACCTGCGTGACAGGGGCATTTTTGACTGCCGACCGGGGACAGCTTTCAGATCACATTACTGCCGCTTTACGCGCGACTAACGGGAAAATTGCTCCTCGTAGACCTTATGCTATAACGAACCCCACCCACAACCAATGAGCAGCTGTTTAGCCAACGAATCCTAATTGCACAGAGAACAGAAATTTTCTCCGATTCAAATCCAAATTGCAAAGGCATATCATTAGTTACCATGCATGCGATATTAAACTTTTTAAAATCCCAAAGTCAGAGTTTTCCTTTTCCTTTCATGATAGATCAATTTTACGTTTTGTTTCGGTGGATAACGGTTTCGCTGAATTTCACTATTCGTTGGTTGTCGTCGTGCCTTTCTTGTAGATAAGAAGTTATTAGTATTGATAACTTTTATTGGGTCACAAATCCACCCCGGTGCTTTTAAAAAACAACATTATTGTACAAAACCAATAAAGAATTTTATTAATTACAATAAAAACAGTTGCAAATTTGTCACAAAGAACTGGTTTACAAAAGCAAACAGTGGCAAAATAGAAAAATTCGAAGCTATTTATTTCCTCGTAGCCTCTCTCAACAGGTAGCACTGCAGATTGTACGTCAAGGCGTACTACAGGTTTTACATCAGGTTGTACTACATGATGCACATCAGGTTGCACTGTAGGGTGTACATCAGGGTGTACTACAGGGTGTACCTTAGTGTATATTACAGGATGTGGAACAGTGCGTTCCTTTATTAATAAATATTATATTTTAACGTAATTTTAACTAATAATATTAAAGTTTGAAGTAATAAATATTGTCTTATCTATATTGAGTAAATGAAACACGAGATAAAAATTTACATGAAAAACCATTATTCAAAAACTTCGGCACCACGTTTTTAGAACATGATCGAAGTTCCTGGTGCGAAGTGCATCAACATTATATGCATTATCATTATATTTAAAAATGTAATATGGCTTGTTTTTATTATCGTAACAGCTAGTTTCTATATTGTTAATTCTCTTTTAAAACAAAATTTCAATTTCACCTTGTCCAAATTATGTTTGTAAAAATTGCGTTTTAGTTATTTCTTCAACGCTACCTAAACAGTTTGGCTCTACCGGTATAATTACTGAGTATTTGCAAACAGCTCTGTTCCTGAAAACTTTACTTAGGACACAAGTTTCAGAAATTCTAATTGCTAATAAGTTTGTTAGGGAAATCAATAAATAAACTTGTGGTGTCTTTAATTTATGACGATGTCGTTTTATAACATTGCAGGGCGGGCATACTACATGTTGAAAGGTTAGCTAGCCATCGTACATTAGAATGCACCATAAAGCTGTGCGTGTCGGCGTTCGTTATAACTTCATTTTGTAAAAAAGTTTTGCATATCTGCAGTTATTTTTTATGTTTTTTTGTCGTGTTTTTATTAATATTGATATAACAATATTTATTATTTCAAATTTCAGTATTATCGTGTTATAATTACATTGAAATATCATTTTGTTATTAAATTAACGTTATGTAGCACACTCTGTAGTACAACTTAATGTACGTCCGGTAGTACACCTTGATGTACATCCGTAGTACTCTTTGATGTACATCCTGTAGTACTCCTTGATGTACATCCTGTAGTACAACCTGATGTAAAATTTATAGTACATCCTGATGGGGCGGCTATGAAAAGCAGCTTAGAAATTTCTGTATTTTGTCACCTTTTTTTGCTGGCAAGTTTATTTTCCGCAACGAAAAATGCATTTTATTGTTGTAATGTTTGATGCTTTGGTTGTTTTTTGTACACCGGTGTTTAATTGTAAAATCCGTGGGGCAAATCTTATGGCGGAAGCTATTTTCATTTACATGAAAAGCGTGACAACAATCAGTTCATAACGACACGACTTCATCTATACTTCCGATAGTCATCGATATCAATGAAATTTAACGAAAACGTAATCAGCAGAAACCAAAACGTCAAAATTATTTCATAAATAAAATAAAAAAGAGAACTGACGCTTTGATTAAAAAAAGTTCTATATTCCACATATTGTGTATCCGCTAACGGTATTAATTAAAGTTCTGTACATAGTAAGTATTTCCAATGTGCATTATTTCTGTGGGCAATTACGATTCGTTGGCTAAGATACTGCTCATTGGCTGTGGGTGCGGCTCGTTATACCGTTAGGGCTACGAGGAGCAATTTTCCCGTTAGCCGCGCGTCTGCCACTTTGGCACGGATGATGCAGATGCGTAGTTGTGGCAACTTATGACACGGTGCTGCTGCTAAATGTACCGGTTGTTAAATTTGAAATACCCTAATAAAAAATTTCTCAACACATTAGTCAGTGCTTCAACAATCAATCGCTATTTGTTTCCTCTGAGTTAGAACTGTAGATTCTGTTTAACATGTGTGTAACACGAGAGAACGTGGTCATGCAGCTGATTACAAATATTAGTGATATATAGCCTCATCTACATATTATTCTGCAGTAGCGCGCTGTTACTCATGAAGAAAGTGGCAAGCATTCGTAAATGTTGCTGCTCTTCTGTTTTGCTGTTTGGTTTATTTTGCTGTTCTTAGGTCATTACAACATAATTTTTACCAGTTGCATATTTGTTGTTTATTTTTAGCATATTTGTTGCAATGAATAGTGCATTGCCTATCGTGATTCATGTGCCACGGTTGCCTATTTTATCAGTCAAACCTAATCAATTAACTTTCAGTGTGTAATTCCGTGTACAGCCGTAATTATCAAACTTCTAGTGTATACTTTAAAAGCCGCTTTGCGTTCCGCACCTAAATAACCGCTTTTCTCCTGCGTCATGTGCGAGAGTAGGCATACTTGGAAAAACGAATTAAAATGCGAAAAATTCCTTATGGTAGTATTGTTTTATTTTGAGGGTGGAGTTTGCTCAGTTTATTTTATTCACTGAATACAAAAACCGTCGAGGTAGTAATCAGCAAACGTGCACGGCCAGAATTTTTCAAATTAATTGCTCAAAACCCTTGCCACAACCAGTTACCAGAATTTAGGGAGTAATTCCTACGTTGTGATAACAAATTTTTTTCACAATACCACATCTAATCACCGCGTTTGTAAAAATAAATACTGGTGCAGTGGTGCCTGTGATCGGTAACTTTTAGATACGGTTTATTAATGGACTATCAAATTTGTACTACTACAAGTATAAAGTATAGCTGTTTTCTGCGATTTCTGTGGTATTGCGTAAAAGTAGGCCAAGCATGCATGCATGCGTAAAATGCATGATTGATGGTATAAAAAGTTTGATTCCCGCTTTCCATTGTATTCTAATATTGTTGTTTCCTCATCCTTATCTTTGATGTATCTGTAATTAAATTTTTATTCAATGAAATGTACATTTTTGCAATTATACAGTACGTATGACTGGATTCCAGGCGCGCATGCGTTGTAGAATGTTGCACCTTTTATTCTCCCAAATTTCAGTAGACCCCACTTTGCAGAAATTGTTGAAGTTTATTCGGCGATCGACATATGCCCTACCTCAATCCGCAGGCTAAAATCCAGCTAGGGTAATTAATGAGTTTAACGACCTCGTGTAAAAAAACGACCCGGCATCTGCAACACCGGTTGCTGTAATTCTGTATCTTTTGATACCATCAATCATGCATTCCATCGTTTTATTAAGCACTTCACACTTAACAGCATGCCTTCGCCGGAAGCCAGAATATTTTTATTTTTGCCAAGAATACTGTAAATAATACCTATATCGCAGTCTGTAAAAGAAACAGCTATGTGGTTTTATGAGTTTGATGATCCATTAGTAAACCGGCAGCAGTTATTGATCACAGGCACTAGCATTTATTTCACAAGCTCCTAATTTAATTTAATGTCCACACCTGTTCATTGAAATATTACCACTTTAATATTGGTTTCAAAATACCAAACTTATGCAAAATGAGCCGCACCGCACACACTTACGGATTTTCGGCTATAATTTTTTTTCTGAGCTATCCGAAGAGTTGGGCCTCATGGTACACCAATCCTGGAGATCCCTCGGTAGCGAAAGATTTCCCGCATCCGCTTTGCAACTACAATGGGCCCTACAGACTGGAATGCACTAAAGCCGATTTACGTTTGCCAGGAAACTTTAACATCAGCGCCCTCGCAAATACCAGTAAATTATATAACTTTGTCAATTATCTCACGCTCGACTGCCCTACTAGTGCCAAACGCACCTACTGCAATACCGTTGGCCCCGGCGCCCAACCCCTTTCGTACCGCGAATGGATTTGGGATGTGACGCTGATTGGCTTTCAGGCTGAAGGAGGCGGGAGAGCGCCCATCAATGTCCTGCTGTCGAAACTGCCCACTCTCCTTCGTCTACAAGTACACTACTCCAGGATCGGCACACTGGATAAAAATTTTCTTCAGAATTTCAAATATCTGGAAGAGTTTGATGTGCGTAACAACGACATCAGTGCTATCGACATTCATGCTCTGGAACCATTGGCTAACCTCAACCGGCTCAAGATGGGCGGTAATTTGATACAGAAGTTTGACTGGGGTGCCCTTAAGCCGGTTGCCGAAAAATTGGTATGTTGTAAAAACTTTTTTGATTTGCAGAAAAGTGCTTTTTGATGCCCTTTTTGATGAGCTCAAGTATGCGTGATGTCAGTGTACGATTCCGCTTTTTAAAAAAATTAATAAGCTTTTTGGTTGCGCGGAATAATTTTCCCAGGGAAATCAACAATTCTTCTGTTAACCTACTGTACTTGTTATTTTTCGACAGTATTTATTGGAACTTGATGGACAGAATCCACCTCTGAAATCCCTGCAGCGCAGCGGCCCGCTGTTTTCCATCAACATCACCAATCTACTATTGAACAACAGCCGTCTGTCTATGATTCCCAAGGATGTTGTGGACACCTTCGAAGTACGCCAATATTTTGAAGTGGTCATTGACGTTCGCAATAACCCATTCTGCCCGAATAAAGGCGACTGCTCGTGCTGTGAGATGAAAGATCTAGCCAACTGGTTCGAGAAGCGAACTTCCTGGGCCGCCGGCTCTAAAGACGAGTGGAAGCATTCTACCACCGTCTCGGCCAATTGCGGACCGACCTCGAATACGGGCAATGGGAATTCAGTCAAAGAGTTTACGAAAACGAATCCTCTGTTGCCGCGTTCTTATGAGAAGTGCAAGTAAATGCGTGTTATACATTGTCACGGGTTCATGAAATACAGTATGCGGTATGCCGGCCTTTTGGAACTCCACTTCCGCCAAGAAGACACAAAGAATCTGTCTGTGACGTGTCTGACAATGATACCGATTCTCTAGATACGTAAGTCAATAATCGTTTATTTTTGCTTGAAAACTGCTAAATCCGCGACACTAGTTCCAAAATTTTAAAATTCTGATTAAAAGTGATCTTGATCAAAATCTTCTTGACACAATCTTGACTGAAAGCCGGTCGTCCATGTCAAAATGTATTAAAAACGGTTGATGAGGGAAAAGGATTTTTTGTCTATTTAGCGAAAAAGTTGCGTATTCGGAATATGCAAGTTTATATATATTCGGAATATGCAGGTAAAGGTTTTTTTGGGAACGACCGGGAATATGATATTCCCGGTCATTCACAATTATGTATGATGCCATCTACCATTCGCTTCTTATAATAGCAAAGGTACTGTTATTCAATCGCAATCATCAGTGTGTACGATTTACGCATACGGTACACAGTACCAGAAATTCGACATCTCAACGTCACTGCTGACATTTCACTGCAGTACTTGTACCCACAATACTGCATACACGACCAACCTGACTCACGTCAGCAGAGTAGAATCTGGACTTACTTGTGGAAGATACACGGAAATATTAATATTACCCAACAACACGATCGCGACCAAACACTCAACTCAAACACACCACAACACCCAGGGATCCCGACCAGCCGATGGTCTGGCCGATCCACACGACTTCCGCTAAAGAACTATCTCTAGCTCCCTAACAAAGGTCACACTAACATCCGGATACTCAGTACTAGATTCGAGATGGAATATCCGCGCTGAATCTAGGACCAAGCTAGAATCAAGACTCCTCAGGACTGATTCTGTGGTCCAGAATCACGACTGCATTTGCCCATTCACTCAATGGACGTGTGTCATCTACACCGTAGCTGCACCTTGCACGTACAACATAGCCAACTAGCTAGACGTATTCGTTCAAACTGCGTGCTTTGATTTTTTAACTTTCATTAAATTTTGGTGTCATGCACAGCTCTGTACATTGCAAATTCGTTTACAAAAGCGTTCACAGATGTGATAGCGGTCTCCAAAGATTTTGGACTGACCTAGGCCGTTATACAGTATGATTAGTTTTGCACTTATTAATCGCGCTACACCACATGAAGATTAACCGCTCTTTTCATACTGCAGTTATGCCAGTTTCAAATACTAATAATCAGTTCCGACATTTTGATAGCGATGTAAATTACGATACTAGTGATAATTAGCCATAGTTTTCCTCTGCGTTTAGAATAATAAGTTAGAAACGACGTTATTATGGCAAGGGAAATCGAAGCTGCGTTTGGTGTCGTTTGCCACAGGCATTTTTCGGAGCTTTATAAAATAACCTTATTATGCTAGCTTTCTTCAGTACAAAGTACTGGTATGAACTAAGGGGTGTCTTAAGAGGAGCAGCATCCAGCATTTACCACTGACGTTTTACCGCACAGCTTTACCATTGACGTTACCAAATGATTCCCATCGCGGGTCTGTCTCTCTGATTCTGCCATGAAATAATGACCAATTATCTGCATTTCCTGGAGGTATTCATTTTAAAGAGACAGAACAATGCAATGTGCAATTATGGAGGAAAAAGACGCTTCATCCGACAGAGAAATCACCGAAACGCGAACCTTGTTTTGCTAGTGAACCGCAACAGGAGCTTTAACCAATATTGCAGTGTATCAGCGGAAATAAAATTTTGTCATATTCGTTAATTCTGGGAGCAGCATGGAAGAAGTTGACGCTACTAGTGAAATGCATTGAGCCATAAAAATAATTGCGGATGTTCGACAAAAGCATTTCCTCGATGCTCACGCCATTAAAGCTACCAAGTTCCGGTCTGTTATCATCGCAAATCGATGTGTTCCCGGAATCATCCCAACTACGCTTGTTCTGACATAATTACGTGATGGTTTCATGCACGGAAAAATTGATCTCTTTATCTGTATAGCGTCATGTAACGTTCACTAGTTATCGGTGTGCTCGTATAATGTGAAATGTGAATCTTGACGGACGTGGTGATTATCTGCACATGTGCACTAATCCTTAGTTACAATAGTGTTTTCAATATGTTATGGTTATTTCCCGTATGTGGTGCCGGCGTGAATTGCATCTGGCCCAGGTTGACGCATTAAATAAGTTACTGCGTTAACTGAACGCCTTTAACAACACGAAAGGAAGCCTTTACGAGAATGTCGGTCCTTCAAGCCCGGTTTCTAAATAACCCTATTACTAATCCTTTCTTTTTGGAGAAAATGTGCGGTGTTGCTGGAAACACTGATATAGAGCTTAGCCGGTTAACGAACCGATATATCTGTATAATATCTCCTAGCGTGTTCGACCAGCATTTCTCCCCAATGCTTTCCAGAAAAACACCCATCTACACCCGCTCAAATTGCAGGCACTTACGCCGGTAAAGATATTAATAACATCTAATATTCCGTGTGCCGAATCGAATGTCCGGGAGTCAATTTATGTGTTGCCTTCCACTTATCGATCAACATTTTATCACAGATCCAGAGTAATCATAATAATTACCCACCATCAAAAGGAGATGCGTTGGAATCTATCATGGATCGGCGGGTCCATATGAATTTTGTGGTTAAAATAAACGCTTTTGCCTTTATACACCTCCAGTTGCAGCAGGAACGAAAAAATTATTTTGCTGGATAACGTTTTCCACACGGACCGCAATCATGACCGATTTCAACACAACGCTCAACCTCACCTTATCAAAGGCTCAGCAGATCTCACACTCCGAATTCTTTGCGTTCATGACTATGTACCTGACCATCTGTTTTGCCGGATCGCTGAGCAACTTGGTGACCACCGTGGCTATCTTCACGAACACCGCTATCCGCCAGAGTTGCGGTTTCCTTATCGGACACTGTATGATACCCTGTACGATATTGTGCGCCATCATATACCCTATGATATGTATTATCGATTACTACAAGATCATTCTCAATAAAGCCATCAGCGTCCCGACAGCGGCTGCCATCTCGTGGATACAGATGACGAGTATCGCAGCCTTAATGTGGACGGAATTTTGTATTGCCGTCAACCGTCTAATCGCCATATGCCTGCCGCATAACTATCGCCGCTTCACCAGCAAAAGAAATATGGTGCTGATGGTGACCTTTGCCTGGGTTTTCGCCGGTATTAATGCCATGATGGGATTTTTTGGTGTCGGTGTACGCTATGCTGTCTCGCCACTGGGCAATCCGACGTACTTACAAGTCAGCAGAAGCGGCGTGTTTTTTAATACACTGCGCTTGTATCTGCCGATCTCATTGTCGGCGGCCGTGTACGCCGTCATCTATGTCAAGCTCACTTCCATTAAACGCAAACGACAGAGAGTAGTGTCACAAGTGAGTGATAATTTGCCATCAAGCAGTAAACAAAAACACTGGCAACGGCGATTACGGACTGCCCACATGGTATCAGTGGCATTTCTGTGGAATGCTATGTGCTCCTTGAGTATACCTGTGTATTTGGCTATCATGCCTGAAGTCTTCTCTCAAGCACCGATGAGCTTATTGTGGCTATCGACATTAATTATCCTCGGTTATGTGCTCAACCCGGTACGTTGCAAACAAAATACACTACTGTGGTCCATTAGAAAACCTTTTTTACATCATGTTATGCTACTATTTTTATCAAAACACGCCTCATATGGATGACTATACCTAGCATAGTGAATTTACGTTCGTGTGTTTTTGTAGGTGATTTTTTGTACTATGAATAAGGACTATAAAACTGCCTTGATCGACCAGTTTATCGCATGGAGATACAAGGCCAAACCACGTACCAGGCCACCACCATATTCTTTTAGCACGTCCGATCACAACATGCAATCCGTGCTTTGAGAATCTGCGACCATGCTAAAATATCAATTATGGAATTATGCTGCACGCGACATCAACCACTTTTCTAGGTCAACGACAGGACTAACGTTTCCGAAAATATAATTACCTCGAATAAAATGACTGGGGAACACGAGAATTTGGAGCGTAAGACAACTGGGAAACACGAGAATTTGGAGCGTTACTTATGCGCCCGGGTTCTGGGCGCGAAAACGTTTTCGTTGAGCCCCTCGGAAAAGGAAATCAGCTTTATGTCCTGAATTCACTGTTCAACAATACAGAAATAACGAAACAAAACATAGGGCGCATGGAATTGACCTTAACTTATCCTCATTTTCATGTTTATGCGAAATAATGGATAAAATGCAGTGTGCATACACTTAAAAAATAACTGAATTGCTAACAAAGGCATAGCAAATCGGAAGTTATACTCATCTCGAACGAACGTTGGTAATATACCAAGTCCCATTGGGATTAACTGCTACCGGTTCCGGTGTCTTTGTTATTTTTGTATTATTACCGTGAATCCGAATTAAACGCCCCCAAAACTTGTGAAGGCAAACGGCCATTGTAATTTTACCAAACCGGATTGCCAGATCGCTTTTATTACGAGCGAGACTGGAAAGCAGCCTGCAGAGGAGCTGGCTTTAAGTGGTGTCAAGCCATTTTGTGCCTGTTTCGTACAAGGTTTACACAGAGTGTGAGAGAGTATGCCCCACATCGGCCACAATTACGGTCCCCATATGGGGCACTCTCTTATGATCCCTATTCCTGCCAACAGGACAGATTTTTCACCTGAATGATATATTTTTGTAAGCGACACTCGTCTCTACCGAGTAAGCATACAGGAATTAAAGTATCACCTCGCCTCTGTCTACAATCCGAAATGATGATCCAGAGTTACAAACTGCGATCGACGAAAGAACTACACTGTTAATTACTCGTGCTTCCAATAAGTATTGAAAAACCTTCTGTTAGTGCGTACCATCATGAAATAACCATGCATAATACTGGCACCAATGCGGCAATCATTTCGAATCTGTCCTTTTCCAGTGAAAATAAAGAGGAAAAGAAGACTTTACCACTTGAATGTGCTGCTGAAGCGCCGTAAACGGCTGTTCTCATTTATCATTATTGAGGCATCGTTTAAACGCAGCCGCTTGTATCGTTCTGTTCGCTAACTGTTTCTGACTGCCGCATGGAATACGAACGCGTACCGATTTCTTAGTCTGCGACTAGCGTATCTAATGTCTTGTGTGAGCATGGAAAAGGTCAGTGCTGACGCTTAAAACAAGATCTAAGCGTAAGCAGAAACAATCGCGTCTGCCAGTACGATTATGATAGTCTTCCAACGAGAAAGGAGCGCCATCAAATGCAAACGCATTAAATTCTTTTCCTGGAGAAGCTTCCAGAAATCCTTTTCTTTAAGAACAGCGCACAACGTTGCCGGAAATGCAGCTCATCCTTTGCCTTCTGTACACGCCGACTCCATTCATTGTCCATTCGTTTGACACTTCCGTTGATGCTAACCGTCCAATTCCAGACAACGCCATCCACCGCACATGAATGGGACAATGCCCCTTAGTCTCCCGCGTCTGTCCGATCTGACTTATCCTTCCCTCAAATTGTCCGAAAATGGGAGACGCGGTTAGTTGGAAGGTCTGCTTAGCCAACGATACTTTTGCGTAGCGGTTTCCGCACGGCTTCGCGGAAGGTAGCGCGAAATGGTGAGGGCGTTTTATGTGGCCCCATAACATTTGATTTTGGCCGTCACGACCAAACACCAAAACGAAAGGAACCACCGAAATAATGATGGAAATATCACCGGTTTTTAAACGATCATGGTCCATCATACCGTATTCCAGTTGTTTGTAAAAACGAAAGGTCGTTGTTGTTCGTTGTCGCCGTCTTTCGTAAGGCACACGACACGGTGATTCGGTAAACGGTGTCTTCAAAGCCATTCAAACTCGAAACACAGACCAAGCGCGCATACAATTTCGGTTAATAGGAAGCAGCCTTTCGTATAACTGGGCTGTGATGGTGATTGGTGTCATATTTGTTTCACGAGGACAGCAACCAAACAAGAAATATACTTCTGGATGGCCGAGGCAGTTCATTAACATCTGTTATCTGGGGATTTTGGGGACCATCCCGTCGTCTCAACAGGTGTACGCAGAAGGGTTAGAAGGTTGTTTTTATTTGCTCTAGCTACTGAATATTTTGGTCTAAGTGTAAAGGGCATTTGCTTGTAAAAAGTGTGTATGAAAGTAATTATTTGGTGATAAAACAGAGTTGTGCGCATTTCGAGACACGCTCTAAGAAGTTAAGTTGTTCCACCAGCTCCATTTTATCGTGTTTTATTGCCAGGAGACAAGAATTCTTTTCACCAGTCCAGGAAGTCGAAATGGATTAGGCGTCGTGGAGTCAACAATGCATTTGCCGGTGAAGATTTGCTGCGTCCCACATGTCGTTCGGTTACTGGCCATAGCGTGGGATACCAATACGTAGTTTTTAATCTGCGATTAGTCGCTGGGAACGGAAACGGAGCCGCCGTCTTGTCCGGATACCGACGCACTACACGGATTAGCGTCATGCGTGAGCGCATTAGATCAAAGCCGAAGAGAAACTGCCCGGCTCATGGTTCTTAAAAGTCATGCACGTTCGATGAAAACTTATCTTTCTTCGAATTTCTTTAGATTATGCTGTATTATTCTGCAGCCAAATGATTTGGCTTGAAAAGCACAAAATTGCCTGGAGTCTGGAAAAGCTTTTTGTGATCGTTTCATTCGAAGAAAACACAGGGCGTTGCCAAGTCGCTGCCTTTAATCTCCTACATTACGTAGCAATTTCGAGATTAAAACTTGCGGGTCTTGCGCGTGCTTACGGAATGTCGCTGCCCAAAAAGCTATTGGCAGCACCATGGTATGTAGAAGTATTGATAGTTGATACTGACACTGGCGTAAAGCACGTGTATAACCTTCCCAGTGGCAAATAAATTTTCGGCGAGTGGATTGACGTGCTTCATTTATCAGTGCCCATCTTTAATAAATTTAAGAACTACTCATACGAAATAGACGTTCCCAGAGGAAGTTTTTATAAAAACTAGGGTACCACTAGCAGTAGGCAGTAGCTACCGACCCCAATCACATATGGTGGTGGAGTAAATTGAAAACTGGATGCTGAAAATTGTCTACATTGTTGAAGATTACCAGTTAACTTTCAGAATATAAATTCTTATGAATATCTCTTTAAAGGTCGCCACGATGAGCAACTCTAGCGCCACGCTCAATGCTACATTGTCCCAAAACCTCTTAATACCGCAAGTAGAATTTTTCGTGTTTCTGTTTGTATACATTATTGTGTGCTTCATCGGATCCCTGAGTAACTTGGCGACACTGGTGGCCATCTTTACTAACTCTGCCATCCACCAGAGTTGTGGCTTTCTAATCGGACACTGTATGGTTCCCTGTACGATAATTTGTGGCGTGATCTATCCGCTAATGGGTGTAATCGACTACTATAAAATCATTCTTAACCAGACCATCAGCATACCGGCAGCGATGGGCATCACCTGGCTACAGACGACTTGCAACGGAGCTTATGTCTGGACGGAACTGTGCATCGCATTTAATCGCTGGATCGCTATTTGCATGCCGCATAATTACCGCCATTTTACTAGCAAACGCATCATGATACTGATGGTGACCTTTGCCTGGGTTTTACCCGCCATTAATGCCATGATGGGATGCTTTAACGTGGGTGTACGTTACGCTGTATCGCCATTGGGCAATCCGACGTACATACAAATCAGTAAAAGCGGTGTGTTTTTTAACACACTGCGTTTGTATCTGCCGATCTCGCTGGCTGCCGCACTGTACGCCGTAATCTATGCCAAGCTCTCCTCCATTAAACGCAAGCAACAGAGAACAGTGCGCGAAGATCTACTGTCCAACCATAAACAGAAACAATGGCAGCGGCGATTACGTACAGCCCATATGGTATCAGTGGCATTTTTGTGGAATGCCCTGTGCTCTTTGAGTATACCCGTGTTTGTGGCGCTCATGCCAGAAGCATTTTCCCGGACACCGATGCTTGTGTTGTGGCTCTCAACAGTGGTTATTCTTGGTTATGTGCTTAATCCGGTACGTTGCAGGGATCTACAGACATCAGTTTTAAAGCCAAATACCTCTTGTTTGTTACAGTTTGTAACATGTTGTGAATAATCAACAACGTGATACAAAAAATAATAATAATATAATCATCAACAATTAATCATTCATCAACAATCTTGGTGATATAAAAGGTTATAGGGTTACGTTTGATTTCGTTAAATTACCGGATGTGCTTCTTTTAGGCGATTTTCTGCACCATGAACGAAGATTATAAAACTGCACTGATAAACCAGTTCACAGCGTGGACGAGCAAGGCTAAACTGCGTTCTGGACCGGTGAAGACATTACAGCTCACCTCAGTATTTCCGAGCAGTACAGCGCGTGAAGTCGCCCGTGATTTAAAAGTCTGAAAAGGTCTAACTGGAATTTCTTTGCGCCACCCGTTTCTTTGAATCTGCGACAGTGTTGTCGCCGACAACACTATAAAGTCGCAGTTATGGTTAAGTCAACAAATGTACTGCCGCGTGACCCGGCGTGGGTGGTCTCGGCTGTGGACGACATGTATTCGTACCGCTAACCGCAGCAGTATTGCACCTGAAGGGGTACTCGGATGATTGATTTACCAGTTAAAACGATCCTTGAAATATTTGCCGTTCCCGATGGGAAAGTAATGGGGAAAAGTATTTATTAGTATATTAAAATCAAAATTAGTTAAAGAATAACTGCAAAATTTGTAAATACGTTATCAGAATCGAGAAAAACGAACAGAATAATAATAATTAAAGTTAACATCTTCGTACACGCAAAACAGACCGTTGAGTCACTTTACCGTACGTAGGATACAATACATAGATAAACAACACCGTCACCAACGTCGTGTTACGGTGTTTATAGCTGCTTACATTACACGTATCTGTATATGTAATACCAGTTTATAGTTAATAAAAACATTTGCTTTTTATAGTTGCATGTACACAAGTTACTTCCTGAATCATCTTGCAGAAATCCTGATTTTAGCATTATAGCATATCGTTCCAGATTGGGGGTTTTCAAGTCAGTGTGTCCAGCAGAATCAAGACAAGAAGAGGTCATCAGAGTGCTCTTATGGTGGATAGTTATAACGGGCGTAAAACCGAACAATTTCATAACAAGTTTATTTTTTTAAAAAAATAACTTTGCAAAACATCAGCCCCGGATATTCTGTTGAAAACTTTGACGCAATCCAGCAAACACGAAAAAGCTACAAAAACAAAAACGGATCAGAAGTTGATCCCCGGCGCTATAAAGGGCTTGAGCAGTCAGCCGTCGCCAGTTTGAAAAGCAATCGCAGTGTACTTGGTCGCATCGCTCGCAGTTGGGCCCAACCGATGTTGCTTAACTTATCCAGAGGTTGACGCAAACTGCTCGACAAATTGGCAATGTCAGCATCTAAATCATCCGTTTGTTCCCGCCTGTAAAGCGAAATCGACCACTGCGATAACTAATAATTGAAAAAGACAAAATATATATAATGATTGATTGTCATTAATTTTGCCAGCTTAGGTCGGATTTTTTTGCAAGCTTCGATTATACAGATAACACAGCTACAACACGTGCAGAAAAACCGGAGACTGCACCGAAAAACGCAAAGCCTGCGTGACGGTAGGATACTACCGATAAAAATGAAATTTCACATCTGAGTAAGTAGGGAAATGGTAAATTGAGCATAAATGGTTAAAACGGTTTAATAATGCGGTAGGAGTGATGGTGGCACGCCAAATTCTAACGGTTGCAACTTGAAATAACGATTTTATACAAACCAAAATCAGTCTGCGTGCGATGGTCAAAATTAAGTTATTTTTTTATAATTGTAATTATTTTTGGACATGCATTGGACATACGGAAGAATTCCGCCATGAACGAACCTGTTGATAATCGTCTTGACAAACTGCTTCATCGACCTGCTACCGACGTTGAAACCACTAAATGCACACATGAACCGATATAATGTCTCGATGTCCTTATCGGACAACGGCGGGGTCATATCGTCCAGAAAACGTTCTAACCGTCGTCGTTTCTCATGATAATGGATGCAGTCGGCTGGGAAAACCAATGTGCCGTCTTTCACAAGCGCTGATGCCGCACAATCCATTAATATTCCTAAAAAGTCCATTAATGCAACTACACAGTACTCTGCCTACAGAATTTTACGGCCTAAATTATTTTTAACTACTGTTACAAATTTTTTTCCTGTCCAGATTAAATTTTTGGGAGCGTTGCGTGTAAAGGTCACTAATACCGACCTGCAGGTTCACAGCCCTCTTCGACCAGATCATCATCAGCTAAAACGCAGTCCACCATTCGAATTTGCAGATCACTGAAGTGTGTCCCACTGGGAATGTTTAGGATCTGTGCAAAGGACACTCGCGCCTGGATAACAGCAATGGAGCGCAGATGGGGACAGCGCTGTACCACCTCTTCCAGACAGTGCTCGCTTTCTTCCATGCAGTCCGCTAGGTCGGCGTCACGGGCATACAGCACCTCGAAGCAGGGCGGCGCAGAGTAGCCAGCCAGGCTGATGGTCAAGCCGGTCACGTGCTCCGTCAGGGTGACGTTTGAGAGGGCGCGCACAATGTTGTCGGGGAGCTTCTCCGCGGATTCCTTGTCCAGGGCCTCCACGGTGTCCATCAGGCCGGTGTGGGTGATGCGGACGTTGTGGCGGGTGGCGGAATGCTCCAGCATCTTATACCAATCACGACAAACGCTGGAAAATTGTTTTATTTTATTACGGATCAGAGGTGCGTTCGTTGTTGTGCTAACGCATATGCTTGCTAATTATTGTTTACGTTTTGCTCAGTTAGCTGTGAGAAATGCCCCAGCCGTGCAGCAGTGCGACATTAGTTTTTTCTTTTATAGCCACAAAAACCTTTAGGGTTTATGCATTATCATGCATTTAAGGTAGCTTGAAATGTGGCGACTATTATTTATGTTATTATGTAATAACGCTGATAGTGTTGTTTTACTGTAATTTTAAGTTTTTGCGATATTATCGTTAAATTTTAAACGTGCTAATTCTAGTACTTACTGGCAGCAGTTTAAATGATAGCATAATTTGAAAAAAATCGTTTGTCTCGCTTTTTGTATTGCTTAACCGCTTTAGGTTTTACCTTCTACTTAAGTAAAGGTGGCATATAAAAAAATTAATTTACAATTCGTTTTAGTATCCAATTTTGAACAATATTGCTTTGTTTGATAGTTTTTGGAAACATTTTCAATACCATGGTAAGATTCCATTAAAGAAATAAGCCTGTAAGTATAATATCAAGGTTTGGCTGTGTAAAATACTGAATTAATATTTTAATATCTTAAAGGGAATATAATCAAGGCGTTGACATTATCCTATGTCAGCGTTCGTCTGTATCAACACTGTACCGTCGCAGAACGAAATGGCTCCATGTACTATCCAGAAATCGGAATATCTGCATGGTTAGATCCGGAGGAATATCGGGGAACGATGTGTAATGCTTGCCACAGATGCAGGTGCGAATGGGGCGTGGTCCGTCGAATTCTTCACGCGGGAGCGTGAGGAGGTGGTTAGCTTCGCTCTCGCTCTTTCCCTTCACCGCCTCCTTCAATTCATTGTTCAGTCGCTCCACATCGGCCAACTTGGCCTGCAGTTCGTCCGCTGATTTCTGGTAGTTGTCCCGTAATTTAGCCACTTTCTGCTTGTGCAGGACTGTCGCGGGATCGGAGCTGGCGACAGGTTTGGTGGGTTTCTTCCGCTGACCTTTTAGTCGCTTGATTGTCTATAAATAAATTCACGTTTTAACACATCACAGATTTTCGTTGTCAAAGTTAAAGCAAAACCAGAACTATGAGAGCTGTAAATAAATTAATAAATACAAAATTTATTAGACAGTGATCTTTTTAAGATAGCGGATTCCGTACATGGTGTGATGAAGTTGGTATAAAAAAGTTGGGTGTCCGACATGCAGCGTACCTCGGATTTGTGACGCTGTTGACGGATCGCCTTATCAATGGTTTCGGCTTGGGCATTGTTGGGCCGACGGTGTTTGCGTCCGGTGGGGGCGTCGCCTGAATCCATGTGAATAACGAATCACGATACCTTAAAACTTGTCACAGGAAACTGATTTTGATATTAGTCACATGGCGTACAATAATATGGTTGTAAATATTGATACAATATAATGGACCGGTGTGTTGATAGGTTTTAGAAGGTGATTGTTACAATAAGTGACTTTCTGATTAGTTATTTGTAGTCTACGCCCAAGAGAACCAACTTGCATAGCTTTTTCTATGGCGCTGCAAGAATGTTCCAAGGATTATTTTGATGGTATTAAATGTTTACTATCTCACATTCTCACTGTATTAAAGAAAATAATAAGCACACAGCATTGTGCCAGCATAATTTTTGTCGAGTTTGCGACCTAAGAGTAAATGGTTGCTACGTACTAGTGATATTCGCGTATTTGTTACGCACTCAATAACGAGCCGCTGCTACAAGGACAAATTATTGCCCGTATCTGTTTTTAATGATTCACATTGTCGTGTATCAAAATAATTATTAATGCCAGTAGACTACAAGAGATGTAACGCTTAAACGAAAGGCACTGAAGTTTTTATATGCTTCCTTAATTATTAATTTTTAGTGGTCGTGGCTCCATTATACAAATTGCGTGCGATCGATGTTACTATGGAAAAAACCGATATACGAGTACAAATGAGAATGATTACAGCTAGCGCCAACAATCAGCTGTTTCCGATGTTGTCCAAAAATAAACAAATCTGTAGCCAGAAATGAGACGTGGTTTAATATGGTATTGCAGCCGTCGCGACGGCTTATTTGTGGGGAACTAGCCGATTCACAATGCTTGTTTTGGTGTATCTGTACTTCATAGAGCCACTGAAGGTGTGCAAAAGTGGGCGCACAATTGCTCTGCTGAAACTGCTATCCGTATTTCTATAAATTATCGTAATTGTTTGGAAGACGATGAACCCACCAAGACTGTCTAGCTTGGCTCATTACTTCACAGTTCCATATGCATGAACCGCCGACCACGCTAAGCACCTTTAAAAATACAACTTAATTGATCGCAATGTTTCCATTTATTTATGGTAATACTAGTGTAATTATCAAATTGATAAACATATCGATCGAGAGTGGTGTAATTTCTTAGATTCCTTTTATTGTGGTTATTGCAATTGGTCAACTGGATTTGATGTCGGTTTTTTTAACCGATATGTACAAAGTACATCCGGCACATTATACAGCAATACTTAACCAATCTATATTACCATTCTTCCGATTACTCGTTTTTATGCGTGAAATACGTAAGCATGTATACAAGTACAAGCAAGTTTTGGGATAGCTTCAAATTTATCAATAAAAAGTCTACAGTACAAGTAATCATAAGACCAGCGCTATCCCAAAAACTTCATCAGACGCCGGGTGGTTTGCAGAGGGAACCGGCGCAGTCCGCCGTTGTGAACGAAGCGCTGGTCCGTTCGGCGGATCTGTGTATCACCGGGTGGCGCCATTGGCGGAGCATAGTGGGCTAGCACTCTGGCCAACCGGTAGTATCCACCGTATCCATCGGACGTGGAAGACATTTCCTGTAATAACCAGGATCTGTTGCCACGCGTGACAAACGAGAGATACAAAACAGTATCTGTCCATGCATGTTTATTTATCACGTGCAACCACGACAGCACACATTTACCTGTAAAAAGCGGTCACACAAATACTCTCGCTGCAATATCGTTGCATGTACTGTATTAAAACGCCACATCGCGTGCGAACACGCTGTACTCATTATTGTTTTGTAATATTCCCCTGTCTCCATTAAGCATAAAATATTACGCTTTTGATAATTTAGGCATGGACACAAATATTTAGACATTATACCAAAACATTTTTAACTATATAAAATACTTCTAAGCTATCGCAAGTGTACATCTGCGATGCGATTCTTTTACTGATGTAATACATGTACGATATTACTCGTACATCAGTAAAAGAATCGCATCATTCGCGTTGAGTGTACCAAAGCAGAAAGGATGCGTACATTGTTAATCACAACATATTTTTGCAAACGGTGTATGCATTATCATTGTCATAGATAATAGACCATAATATTGACATAAAAAATAAATTTTGGCATTTCAGCAAATTTTGTAACGAATGGGTACTGCATGTCTAATATATACATGCGTTCACGCGCCGCAGTTAACACGATGCAGTTAACTGTACATCAAATTTAAAGAAAGAACTGTTTACAATTAACATACTTATATACGGGCTACAATTAGTTTTATCATATCTAAATCGAATTATACGCTCACAATGCGCCCTTGAATTTAATAATTAAAACGGAAACGTAAGGCAATACTGCGTAATGTTCATGTCGTCGTACAAGACTTCAAATTTGCCAAATCACACTAAAAATTGTTTGTTTTAAAATACTCGTAATTCTGAAAAACAGCAGTCGCAGTTATAAGAATTTATAGATGGCAAAATTTTAAGTTTTATGTTTTAGTGTTTTGGCAAATTAATTAAATTTATATAATACATACTGGAAGCGAAGCAGCATGCACGACTCTGCATAACTCACCTTGCGTTTTTCAGCGCCGTCTTTATGCAATCTGTACGTATCTACCGGTACGGGATACCGGCCTTCCCACACCCAGCACAACGCCGGCATAATTAACTGCAGCATGACCACGGCCACCAGCGCCACCGTGGGCATTTGCCGCGAAGCAGCCTGCATTATTCCTCTGGAACGTGGCAACAAAGCATGCAAATGAAAACTTTCGCAGTGGAGTGCAAAATTCCAAAATGAACAAACACACCCAACAAATCCCATCAGCTCACACCGATCAGTCTAATCAAGTAGGTATCTACTTTACCCGCCCAACTGACACATTTATATAGGTACACACCGCGGCGGTTGCAGTACGTGCTGACGGCAACGCCGCACGGCCGAGGCCACAGACCTTATTTCCGGTCATAGCGGCTGCGCCGTATTATATCAACCTGTTCCCTGTTTTGTTCCCGCGGGAGTCGGCCGCGGATGAAAGGGTGCTGGGTAAATTTAGACGAACGAAGCCCGGTTAATCAGACAAAGATCCCTGCTTGGTGTGCGCGCTTCCATCATCATTCGGCGGACAAAGTGGCCGTCGTGCGCTTTTAATCCCGGATTCATTTCCTTTACCGGCAATCTACATTTAGAATATTTAGCGTTGTGTCAGTGTGCGCGGGAAGATGTGCGATCACGTGCGCGTTGCACACTTTATTTTGTCATTTGTGAATGAAAGACGCTTCACGGAAGCTTGCGTCAATATGCCGACAAAAACAATATCCGCTCGTATACAGATACACACAGCAGTAAACAGTCGGGAAAAAACATGTCTCAACCGGCGTTCACTGCAGTTGGGAAAAAAACAGGTAAAAAAATTAAAGTTCATCTAGAATCTAGGGAAGCACTCAATATGAGTAGTAAATTTTTTTGCAAATTTTTGTAATTGGAAGTAATATTATTATTTATTTCCAAACTTTTCCCGAAGCTGTGGATTTTCTTTAGCCTAAATTAATGTCGGCCAGTCCGCCAAGATTCAGCCCCAACAGTTTCGTCCCACTCAGTAGATTCACGCCCAACAACGGCTTATGTTTCCGCTTGGTCGTAGTCGTCGTCGTGGATTCCGTCGTATCGATTTCCAGCATTTCCGTTGTGGTCCGTCGGCGTGGCCGCTTAGAAGTAGAAGCACTAGTGGCGCCTCCTGTATTCTGTGTAGCATCGTTATTAACAGATCCAACTTGCCCGTTTGGGTTCTGACCGCTTCCCGTGGGAGTTTGACCACCAGACGCACCCTGATTCATATCCTGTGGATTCTGGTTACCATTCTGCGGCTGACCGTTTCCCGTGGGATTCTGATTATTCCACCCACCCTGATTGCCATTCTGCGGATTATTGCCATTCTGTGGATTATTGTTGCCGTTGAATCCTTGATTGCCTTGACCGGTGTTGGATGGGGATTGATTAAAGCCGGCATTGTTACCGTTTTGTGCGTTCTGATTGGTGGGGAACCCCCCGTTCTGGCCTTGTTGCTGCCATTGACCGTTACCGGTCCCGGTGTTCCAGTTGCCGAAGCTATTCTGGAAGTCGTCCCACTGTTGTTCGTTGGGCACTCCACCGTTCCAGTTGCTGTTGCTGCCTCCTTGGCGGCCGGTATTGAGATTTTGCTGGTTATCACCGGATTGGTCGGTTAATGAGCCGGATTCTTCTGATGGACCGCCTATTTCCACGGGTTCCGTGCCGGTTGGATTACCGGCGGTGTCGGTTTTCTGTTTAACTGGAAGCGAATGCACGGAGCAGCTCAGCAAGAGCAATAAAAATATTCCGTTCGTAAGCATTTTGGCGTAAAATTGTCGAAACAATTACTGTAAAAAAAACTGCAGATAAACAAAATAAGGAAGAACAGATAAATTGTACTAGCACGGTAAGATTGGCAAATAATTAATACTCTCAGGTTGATGAATCGAAAAATTTTTATAAGCGTTTAAATACTGCTGCTGCATTAGCCGCATGGACATGTGCCGCTTTCGTGTTGTGATTTTCTGGTTTATTACCTTCAAAAACAAATAGCTAATTACTTGGAAAATGTCATCAAAACAACGATGTCAGACAGCCGTTAGCCGGCATTACGAAGCCGTCTACCGGTTAATTTCCGGTGTATTGTGTGGAAAAACATCGTACAACTTTTTCAGCGTCGTCCGTTCGTTAGTCGTTACTGCTAAGGCAAGTCGGCAAATGGTTTCCTGCAAATTTATTTTCTCCCCCGAAAGCAAACACCCATGAAATCATGAGAAAACCAATCAAAATAATTATTATAATATGAAAAGTTTCGGAAACCCGCGATGTGACGCAGAATTTACGGTTAGCGAAACCTATCGCTCAAATGATGCACCGAAAATGAAAACATGTGAATGATATTACGACGTATCTACGGTACAAGCTCTACTAAGCAATTCAATTAAAACAAAAATTATGGATGCACTTATAATAATTATCGGCCGCGATATTTCTTAAAGGGGAATTTCGTTGGTACACGCGGATGATGGGTAGCCGACTGCGGCATATACGCAACGCGGTTGCCACCGATAAAGAACAGCTTGGGAATGGCCAATCCGTTCAACAGCGGTACATGCGAGCTTTCGGTCGTGGTTGACTCTTTGTCCTTCCCGCTCGATTGCCATCTACATCAACCAAAGCAATACCGTGATTAAAGTCCAAATTAATCAGAAGAACGCTACTCTAGAGCTTTAATTACTTTGAAGAAAAACCAACAGTATATTATAAGCCTTTTCAGGAGAAATCTGCCTTTCTTATAATCCCTGTAATCATCGGAAACCATTTTTCTGCCTTATAGAGACGTATCTGTTGCACCATACAATGTCATATACTGTATCTACCGCAAAATTTACTTGGTTTCTTTCTTATAATTATTATTACCAGCGCTGAAAAGCGATAATCCTTAATGCCGCTGTATTGGTGTATTTAACGTGACATTCATGTGACCTTTATAGTGATGGGGCGGTAACTGTGTTCCTGTAAAGTGTAGTGTTTGGTACACTGCTATTTGTAATTGCATAAATTATCAATATGGGGCTATTAGAAACCAGACAGTTTTGCGTTTATCTTCGCATATTAATTTTATCGAACAGGTGGTGACGTACAGATTGATCAATAAAATGTGTTGAATACAATATCAATAGATTCATATATCCTTACGTCCTTATTTTTTGGAAATTATCTCCTAAATCAAGATTGATTTTCTCAATAAGTTGATAATTTTATAAAATAGAGCATTGCAGAAACGTTCCTACGTTTATCTTCAAAAAAATCTTGAGTTTTGGAGAAGGTCTAAAAAAATTCTTAGAAGTTGTAGTACTTAAAGATAGTTAGTACTTAAAGGTTGTTACTTTTGGAAATTATCTCCTAAATCAACTTTGATTTTTCCATTTAGTTGTTGATTTTATAAAATAGAGCACCATTCAAAGCATCCTACCTGCAGCTTGGAAAAAAAATTTCGGTTTCCGAAACGTTTCAAAAACCCTTTCAAACTTCCTGTACTTAGCGTTTCAAGTTCATGGAAATTTCCAGTAAATTCTGGAAACGTATCGAATAAGGAAATACAAGTTCCGCAGCTTAGCAACCTAAACTACAGATCTGTATAGTTATTTAAATTGTCAATTCCATCAGAATTATATTTTTTTTTAAATTCTTGAAACCTTTAAGGTGCTTTTAAAACACGTTCGGATACCTCAAAATACTTAACCATAAATTTTTCCATCAAAGTCGCCTCCAAAGCTTTACATTTCAAGAATTTCTAAACATTTCTAAATATTTTGACTCGGCCCCGCGCAGCGGGGCCGTTACCTCTAATTTTTTTAGCCTCCAGAGTTTCGAAATTTTAAAAATGTCTAGGAATGTCTGAGTACCTCAATACCTCACGGTCTTAAATGTCTAATTTATATGTAATTTCTAAATACCTAAATGCCGGTTCGCGGTCTGTTTTTGTATTCACTCTCGTACGGCTCTGTGATACTGGTGACAACTTGGGCATTCACTAACCTCGAAATCTGCTAAATATGTATTTATTTTATTTTGATAAATACTGAAGAGCTTGAATGATGGCTGAAAAACCTTACAATTACAGTAGTAGCAAATGAGGTCACCTTGGGTGTGAGTGAGGTCACCTTGGGCGACCGTTAACTGTTCCCCACAAGTTTCCATTAATTCTGCACTGAAAAATGGTTTTTTATGGGCACCGTGTAAATGATCCCACTCTACCATTTTATCACTGTTTAAATATTATCTGTCGTACCAAAAATTCAAGTTTTCAGTACTTTAGATCGGCAGTATAAAGTTACGTTAAAAACGTTAAAAAGAGCCAATAAAAAAAAATTACGGAGGCTTTCACAGTTTTCATAAAACTGGTCGAATTTAACCGGAAAGCTTGAAAACCAATAAACTTTCCACATTTCTACATGTTTAAAATATTTTCATAGCGGGCCTCGCAGAGGTTTTAAATTTGAAATATTTCTCAAAAATTTTTTTACTGCTGTTACGAAGTACGAGTATATTTTGTATTTTTTTCGTTCTTCCATACCTCAAACACAGCTGGTCGCGCGCTAGCGCGACCGACACTTGTACAGTAAATAAGCTTCGCATAGCGCATTGTTGTACAACGATACGCAAACCGCTTCAAAGTATTATAACTTCCAGTTAGCTAACGCATACAGCATCAGTTTTTTTCGTTTTCTTTTCATATCAGTACTTTATAACTAAATACTTTATAACTGTCCTTCTCGTTGTCACAGCAGTATTGGAATGATATATTTTGCATTAGAATTATTCCGGGAGTTTTTTTTGCTTGTATCCATACATACTGATACAGTTAACGTATGCTTTATAACGCGCATCCATACATGCAATTAACGCAATTGCTAAGATGCCTTACTTTAAAAATTTTGTAACATACCGTACAAGCAAAAAACGCAGTTCGACTATTGTTACATATTTTTATATAAATTATAGTATGATACACATGCGCCAAGTAGGTAGTCCGTAGTAGTGTTTTATTGATGTACCTAGCTTGCACGGAGGCCTTAAAGCGATCCCAGTTAGCCAAAACGACCATAGGCGATTGTGTTTGGCTGTCAGGCCTCTCCTCCATACTGCTCTCCAGTGCCGGATCTCGACGGGAATGCCGACGGGCCACTTTTGGAAACGGCGCCATACGCACCAGAAAAATTAGGTTCTGTAGCGACTGCAAAATGTTTCAATATAATTATTACAATTCATTTACCTTTTTTAGGGTAAGCACTAAAGTTACACAGCCACATAGCTTGCTACAGCAGCGTAACAATCACTGATCTTAGACAAACTCTGACTGGATGAAATCAGTTTTTTCGCTAACGGTGCACGAAATTGCTGCTTAATAGAAAAACCCGTGTTATAATATTCAATCACAAGCTTTCCCGCGCAAAAGACCAGCGAAGGTTTACGTTTACCAGTGAAACAACCGAATAAGCACTTTGGTAAACCATACAAAATTACTCTGCACTTATAATATTATACACTGCTAATAAATGAAAGTATAATATAACCATTAAAAAAAGATTTCGGGGCTAGTTGGTTTGTAGCTCCAAAGGTCAACTGAATATGCATTTAAATATAAGCAATAAATAGCCCAAAGTTTTTTAGCCAGGTATGGCCATGATCGCCTAATTACGTACCTGTTTCTTAAGCATGGGCATGTGGCGACTGCTAGGGGACGGTAGCCGAAGTCCACTGGTGGCTTGGATGGTCAGTCCCTGGCAGCGATTACACACCACACTGTAACTGCACAGCGCCAGAATACACTTGAGTACTTTCATGGTCACAGCTTTCCGTAATCACAGCTTCGAATAACCTTTCACCAGAGTGCACTGGCCGATTGACAGTGAAATAAATGTAAAAATCGCTGTACTGCTGCAATATAACCAAGATTGCCGAGATTTTAATCATAATTCTCCCTTGAGCGATTACGGTAATCAAGAGGCCGCTGGTATAACCCCCGTATATGTGCCCTCAGGTGCGGCACGAGCGGATCCAATCCGCTGGCCTTGCTGCTCCTGATTGTCTAATCTCCGCCTGATTTCCGCTGCCCCGTAATTGTCCCGGATACACTCGGCTAATATTCTCCGTAGAAAAGCGGGAAACCGTGAAATTAATCCCCGGCGGCGGTAAGGATCTTCAGTGTACTTAACGGACAAAAGTGTTTTTTCAACATGTTACCGGCATCACATGGCCCTGTGCGTTATTCCGGCACGGCATAATGGCGGATTACATTTACCGCTCCAGCAACTTCCAGCCGGAATACAATCAAGATAGCAGAGGACACTAATAATTTTCTTTATGTCTCATGAAATTCGGGAAGTTTCCCAGTGTATGCGGTGACATTAAAAACGATATTTTCTAACACTATTGACGCACTTCTTCAGAAAAAAGCTAGAGCAACATCTAAAAATAAGTAATCGGTGCCATTTGTGGGAAACTAAGATGCTTTCATGACGTCCGCGTTCGGGAAAACCGTGTCAATGATTTGAGTGGTTTTTCATCATTATGGTTAAGGATAAAATAAAGGCTAGCATTAACACCTACAGAGTACTATACGAAGAAAGTTAGCAAATAAGTACCTGTCTACCAAGGCTTTTAGTTGTTTTAACAAACCTATTGGCTTGACTGTCTGGCTTCGAACTTGGACTACACTTAATAAATGTAATGGAGAAAATTGCATACCATGATAAACGTGCTACGGTGCCCTTTAGTATAACCTTTGAAGGCCTTGACAAGCCCTCGTGATCTTGGTCACCCGAAGGTTATTCGTCCGCCCAAAGATTAGCCGCTGCGTAATTAAATGTGCCGCAACAGGAAGTAATGAGCGAGCTACATGTCTTAAAGGATTATCAAAATCCGCATTTACAACATTTTGTCTCGCACACCGGAGTACGGAAACTTCATTGAAAAAACTCACGGTTGTTGACATCGTACCTGTATTACTCACTGAGACATAACTTAATGCTTATCTTTACAGTTCTTTCCGGTTTTATGAGCTTTCTCTCAACAGATAACTCAAAATTTCAAAATCAAAATTGTGGGACACAGAGTAGGCATATACAGCTACGCGATGCACAATTTTTTATTAGTCAATTAAAACCCTGTTATCACGAAAACAGCGACACTTTACTGCATGCCACCGAACACTGTAAAATTCACAGGTCGCTTGGAGACTTCGTTTTATCCGCTTAAATAACGTTGCAGCATGTAGAATTAATCGCTGAGGTTTCCTTCTGTTCTAACAGTCGCTTGGATTACCAACTGGGCAGATCATCAACTTCCGGTATAGAGATCAAATTCGTACCATTCTAATCATGTCCGCCTCCGTCCACATCATCCTCGTCCTGTTCCTCCTCGCCCCACTAACCACCGCCGCCCCGGTCAGCGCCTCCAGCTACCTCCTGGACAAGCTCCTGGACGCCATCGTCAATCGCATCCTCAGCGGACGCCCGGTAGAGGTCGAGGCCAATGAGAACGCCGTAATCTTCCGGCAGTCCGGTAACTGCCAGACCGAGCCCTATGCCACACCCTCCTCGCGGATTCCCCAGATTATCGAGCCGTCGGAGCAGCCAACCGCGCCGCCACCCACGACCAGTTCGACTGGCTCGCCGACATCTGGAGCGACTGGGATAACGGAGACGACAGGGACGCAATCTCCAGGAATAGCGGAGACTACCAGCCGGAATCCGTTCTGGTGGTGGGTGACCGATGAGCCCAGTGCGCCGTGGTGGTGGAACCGGGAGACGTCGACCTCGACGCCGGCAACCAGTACGCCGACCACCACGAAGGGATGGTTTTGGTGGAGTAAGGCGCCGGCTTAATTTAACACACCGGCTCTTTTGAAACCAGCTGCATTTCAATTTACAATTTTATCTCTGGCATATAGAACATAGAGCAAAATGTCGCAGAGTACAACGGACTACAAAAATCGGTTAACGCCGGACCACGGTTCGTTTACAGCCTCTCTTATCAAGCCGCGAAATCGGCTGCACCCGCAAAACCGGTCTTAGCGTCAACCGACTTTTGTCGCTCATTCTGTAAAATTTAAACCCTGAAATATGATAGTGGTGTTTATTTTCTGGGCTTCTGTAGATGTTTAATGCTTGTTTGTATCATATAATTTTGTTAATTCGTCTTGGTACTTTAATGGAATTTTGGAGCCAGCCAATAGCCGCTTGAAGTCATGTTTATTCTGTATTTAGTTCACTATATTCTAAACATTTATTGTGAGTTAATACAATAAAGCTGCTTGTGGCATCCGCCTGGCGTTGTTGACAATTTGACAAACATCCAGCTAGCGTTCTTACACTGACACAATCCGTTTTGATGTATCGTCAAAGAACGCTTTTAGCCCGGTGTATTTACCCATACACTTTGTCCCATAATATTTATGGACGTTGCGGACCAGTATGACTGTGTATGCGTGTCAACGACACCAGTAACCGCATTATATACCCGGCATCCGCTGCTTGACTACTTGAAGTAACAGGGAACACTTCAGTGTTGAAGATGAATTACATTTGCGTGTAGTGTGGTCCGGGCGGCCAGCAGAAATATAACTCCAGCCTGTTGACTTAAGCATTTATAAGAGAGCACTGTAAAGTTGCCAACCGGTACTCCTGTGCCTGATTTGAGTACAATCGAAGGACGTATTTTTCAGGAGATACGTAGTGCTAGTTATGTGTGTTAGAATGCCGGTGTGTATGTGTGGCTACAACCCGCCTCAACGCTTAGGGAACGTATCGATTTACAAGGGATGCCGGCTTAGCGGGGATTAGCGTGCCCACGGTCAGCTGTGCGCTAAACTATCGCAAATCGGCATCGTGCATCTTTTATGTCATACGAGCATCATTGAAAATAAGCCAGATTTTTCTAACACTCTTCGTTGTTATTTGTGAAGCAAACAGAAAATACTGAGCACGGCAGAACAAAAATAAACTACAATATAAAGGAATAAACATAAAATAAATGGAAATATGCACGCACAGATAAAAAATTAGAAAATTTAATAAATTAAATTTAGATATAAGAAAATCCCGACTGGAAAAACCGTGTACCAAGCAAGGCACAAGTTTACAATATACCGGCATTCCAGTTAAACCGGGAAATCTAAGCTAACAATGGCAAGAAAATTGAGTATCCTTACGTAAGAAAACTCAGTGGCGATACTTTTATTATAAAGTGTCATATTATCATTCTTCCGCCGACTGAGTCATCAAATTTCATTAGAAAAAAATATAGGCTAATGCGAGACAAAGTATAGGGGCTTTTACACTACCATCCAATTACGCCCCGTAAAGCTTTTAAGGCAGCCCCGAGCCGGTATTGAAAAATGGGGGATGCTGCACACAAGCGGGAAAACGCGGATAAAATCGATCATCATACACCATCCCACACATAGGCCCATCCGACTGTAGCATCGATCGGATCCGGAGAATAAGAGAACAAATGATTGATTCTCGATCCCGGCGCTGTATATATGTAGATCTGGCACACAACACTCCGCCTCCACACCCGGGCTGCCTGTGTATATGCCGCTAACACAACGCGCAGCTGCATCAGCACACACAACCGGTTAGAATGGATCCCATTCACACAGCAGCTCCGCACAGTCCCGTGCCGTGGCCTGAGCAGTGAACAAATACACTTTTGGCTTTTAGAGTACTTTGGGTGCCACAACATGTGTCTAGTTGTGCATCGCTAATCAAGTGTCCGCCGTGCGCGCGCCATACCTTTCCAGCGGGAGATGGACGAGGAGGTCATCCGGCGGATGGTGGCCAGCTTCTCCCGGCAGGATCTGGCCCGGCAACGGCCGGGATCGGCGATGCTGGCGGAGGCCAAGGAGCCGGTGAATTACAATGTGGTGGATCTGGTTTGTGAAGTGATTACCGATCTGGAGATTCGCGGAGAGGATGGGGATAGTGTGGAGCGGCAGGAGAGGAAGCAGGATGTGGATATACAGGAGCTGACGGAGATTCTCTATAGTCCAGATTTTCAGGTATACACATAACTAACTGAAGACTGATACCATATGTACGTTACGTTTTAATGGTTGTAATCTCTGGAATTTTCGTAACCCGAAGAACATAAGCGAGCCTACGATATTTTCATGTTGAGTGGCAGTCTCGACGATTTTGTTTTCGGCTGGCTGTCTGGTATAAGTTTTAATTAGGAGTTAGGTAAAATAATGGTTTAGTTTACCGGTATTTCGAATTCATGAATGATATTGTTTGTAGGAAGTGCAAGCACCCACTGTTAGTTTGTATAACACAAATATTTGTGAAATATTTATTAGGCCTTGATGGAAAGCCACGATATGGTAGCCAATAAAACCTTTGAGCCGGCGTTCATGGAGAATTTGGCGGAGTCGTTCGAGCAGGAAGTGTGTCCGTTCCCCGGACCGGATTCCGTGGAGAGTGTGGTGTACGACGGAGCACTGATGAATATCAACGGAACACCGACTAGCTCCATGCCGGCCAGTACCCCCATGTTCGAGATCAGTGGCGAGGATTCGGCGGTCAAGGTGGTGGGAATACGGCGTGGTCGCAACTCTAACCTGGTAAAAAAAGCATACGCGGTAGCGAAATAACACGAGTGGTTTTGTCTTACTAATATGGGGCAAAAAAATGCATATATCAGGCTTATGAAGTATCCAACAGTAACTTGAATTTATTAAGTTACATTTATTTTTGTCAGTATGTACATCAGGGCCGACAGTTCCAGTAACTTATTACTATGAAAACATTCAAAACATTCAGCAGTTTTCATTCGAAACAAATGCACCAACGATAAGGAAATCGATCAAATCGATTAGCTAGTAATACGAGTAGTTTACTCGTTAATATTAGATAACCGATTGCCTGATTGCATTAGTCGCAATTCGCAATGCACATGGACGATACGTAACTGTAACAACATTATTTAAGTAGGATCCGTACAAGCGCTTCATTTTAATTCAGAACAACCGACGGTTGAATGAAAACTATGTATCACGACTTAAGATCAATGGTTTTTCGATAAGTACTGTACTTAAAGCTTGACTTCAATTACAGAGTTAACGTAAGGCAGGCGTATTGATGCTGAATATGAATAAAAATTATATGTCAACTATTCTCAACTGATTTTTTACTGGGATTTTTTTACTCGTTTTCTGCAGCAAGGCATGACGGTCCGTGTGGACGACAACCAGTTGGTCGTGGCCCGCATTTTAGTTGGCAGCCCGGTAGATAAACAAGGTAATTAAATTAACCTACCCATGCTTCGCGTGCCGGCCGCACAGATACACTGAATTCAAGCCCTCTTTCTTACTCAACGGTTAACAAATACTCCGGGGATATATAGGTCTCTTACACGTGGGTGACATCATCAAAGAAGTCAACGGGCATCCGGTGCAGTCGTGCGAAGCCTTCCAGCAGGCCGTCCTGGCGCAGACCGACACGGTAATCATCCGCATTATCCCGGCCCTGCACTTACATCCGGCCACGACAACGGCTTCCGGTCAAATACAGCCTGTAAGGTCTTTATTAAACGGCGCTCTATATAAAATGACAGGGGCCCATTAGTCGTCACTAAATAGCTGGCGTTCCCTATTGATTGATATGTGATTTTTACAGACCTACCTCAAGGCCTACTTTAACTACGAGCCAAGCAGTGATCCGCTGCTGCCAGCCGCTGAAGCGCTGGGTTTACCATTTGGCAAGGGAGATATATTGGAGATTTTGAATGTGGACGAGGAAGCGTTTTGGCAGGTACTTAATACGAGTAGTAACAACAAAATGTGTCTTATAAACCATGCATAAAACTATTAATTTTCTTGGTACTGTGATATTTTTACTTAAGAAGCGTCACCTACACGTTTCGAAGATCCCAGAATAATGGAAAATTCCTCGGCCTTTACACTGTTTATATGCTAAGTCGGGTTCAGCGTTAAAGAATGTTTTCGCTATTTATAGGCAGTTTCATTGCTTCGGCCCTTGGTTTTTGTTCTTCGTATGTTGAATTCGTTTTTCATTAGCCCAACTGTTTGCTGCAAAAATAAGTATTTAAAAGTTGTTCGACATAAAAAGTTTCTGTACGAGTATTATATCTACATACACTAACTTCGAACTTAAAATCATCATGAATTTAAAAAACAAACGTATCAACACAAGTCTTCTCTGTAGAATCTGCGTTACGGCAAATCGCGCGAAAACGATTAAGTAAAGTCAGCGTAATTAACATGGTTAGATATGCCTTTGAGAATTCTTTAATTACAGGCTCGCCATCTGAACGATACCGGCTCGGCCAAACTGATCCCCTCACCGGCAATGCAGGAGCAACGCAACGCCGCATCCCGCGCCCAACCCCGGCATTGCTGGCCGCGCCTGCGTAATCCGTTTCGTATGCTGCGCAAGCACCGCATCCTGTACGGCGACCGGCCCAACTGGATAGGTACGAGACGCTGTTACAAACCTCTAAGCGACCCCGTTCGATAATTGTTTAGTCAGGGCCAGCGCGAGCGGAAATTACTAGGCAGCGTTATATAAGGACGCTCTGGCGCGGTGGTCTCATGGGACGATACAAAGCAGGCAGTTAAAAATACGCATTCAATACGCCGTAATTCACGTAACTTACGGGCGGGATTGATAACTGTGCTCTGACGTTTGATATTTATCTCTTGCACTCGATAGAGATCGATCGGCATGAGCTGCTGCCGTACGAGGAAGTGATGCGCCTCCCGGCATTCCAGCGCAAGACGCTCGTGCTAATTGGCCCATTGGGTAACGCGCGCCGGCAGTTGTTGTCCAGAATGCTCAAAACCTTTCCTGATCGCTATGGATATCCCATTCCACGTAAGGGCCTTTAATATACGTACATTTTTCTAAATGATTAGGAATAGTGGTTTGCGAAATTACGACATGAACCCAGTACTCAAGATTTTGATACGAGTACTTATGTTTTGTGTTGCAACGATTTTTTCAAGCGCCTTTACTGGCAAAACGCTAAACATCAACTTGAATTTTTAGTGAAATTCGGTCAAATAATTATGTTCCTGCATGAAACACCAGTATTATTTTTCATGGGTGCTGAGTTCCGCTGTCTGTCGTGTGTAGCCAATGAACTCGCCTGTTATATTCAGTTTTGATGAGAACAGCAGCAAAGCTGCACGATATTGGCTGAGATCATTGATTCCAATGAGGAGATGACAAAAACATGCATCAGATGCTAACGAGTATCAATAAAATGAATATGATAATAGCTTACTTCAAACCAGTAAAAACTGCTCGTCAATTATTACAGTATTATACTGTATCTGTAGTACAAGAACATAGCTGGACTTGGAGAAAAATGTATGGTTATAAATTATTGTTGCTTCTGAAATGCGCTTTAAAACGTGGCTGGGCAACATACCAAATTATCATGTACAGAATTTGGCGCTCATATGTTATTGATTCTAGGTACATCGCGGCCGTCGCGACCAAACGAAATCAACGGTCGGCAGTATTATTTCTGCACAGTGGAGGAGATGAAGCGCGACATTGGCGCCAATCAGTACGCCGAATTCGGCATGTACAACGGGCATTACTACGGTACCAAACTGGACTCCATCCGACTGATTATCCTCAACGGAAAGACGTGCATCCTGGATTGTGGACCACAGGTGTGGCTTGTACGATATATTTCTTAATGATTTCATGCTGAAATGACTTTTGCACGCAGTGCCTTAAACTCTTACGCAACAAAGAGTTTCTTCCCTATGTCGTCTTCGTAACCCATGCGGATTTTGCTGAACCGGTCGGCCACCGGGATGATATCGCCAATGGCACACTGGCCAGAACGCCGCGCAGACAAAGCCGTAGCTTAACAATCGATAACCTAAAATCCCATGTCAATTCACAGGTGATTACGGCAGCAACATTCGACTCAGTATAAAAAATTCCTTAAACCTGAAATTTACTAATAACTTGTAAAATAACAAAAAAAATGTTGACCTTTGGGCTAAATTATATTTTTTCCCAGAACCATGTAACGGAGAATCTGGATCTGGAGGATGAAGCCAAGCTCCTGCTGGACACCTACGAACCGCTCGTGGATTTGATATTAGACCAAGAAGATTTGGAAAGTGCTTTTGAGCAGCTGCTGCGCGGATTAACTGCCGCCGAGCTAGAAGATCAATGGGTCCCGGTGTCGTGGATTTACTAGACAACCAAATTATTGTTAATAGCGTAATTATTTGTATGAAGATTGTAACCGATTACTGCTGATGGCGTTAGTCTTCTAATCGATCTGTGCCATGTACTCAAGAGCCGAGTGTACAACACGATGATACGAAACAATATAGAATTATTATCCAGAAAATGGCGATTAACTAAATGTTATGACGGTCGGTTAAGTCCATCACAAATGCTAATCAGGTAAATGCAAAGCCGAAGATAGACAAGCCTAACCGAAGAAATGATGATGCATGCTCCATATCTTAGAAATTATCGCATAAGGAGGATAATCATGCGCATAATCTAATCAGTACATTTCCATAATAATACCCATTGTTTCGATTACCCAAAATCGCGTCGGCCGGGTTTTTAAACTCTTACATCTCGTCATTTTGAAGACCAACTAAAGGGCAGCTGCCGTTCCAGTTACTTGAAGGTAGATTTTGGTGAAACACCATGAAATCAAAAACTGCGATTGGGTTACCATTTCGGCTGGGTTTCGCACTTGGTAAGTCAGATTAATGGTTTAATCGAAGCAGAATTCAAATGGTATGCGTAGTACTCTGCTGCAAAACCTAATTCCAGGACGACAAAACCAACCCGCTGAGCCAACGGGCTGACAGTTTATACAACATAATTATAAATTTTAACTGCAGTGTTGTGCGTTGTGGTTCCCCGAAAAGTTGAAGCCGCCGTTACCTGTCAGTTTGACCAGGATTTTTGCGGTTGGACACCGACACCGCGAGGAATATGGCAGACAACAACACAGACACTCTCCCCCAGTGTGAAACCACCATCTGGTAACCGCAAGCTTTTCAGCTCACCCAAAACTGTTTTGCAGTGCGCACTTCTGTATACCGTTTGAATGATAAGAAATATGCCACTAGGCTCCATTGGAATGGCACTAGCGAGCAGTCCCACTGACGGTTGGGCGGACCTGACCTCGGAAGAGATCGCTTCGCTGCCATTCACCACGCTTTTCTCCTTCAAAGTCATGCAGCAGATGTTTGCGTTGTCCAATAATAATCCCTACATTCTGGTATACATTGTTCCCACCGACGGGTCCGAAGAAGTTCTTATCTACTCCAAACGCGACCAATTTACGTGGTCGGAGAATATCGTCCTAACTTTGCAGCCACGCAATCGCTTTCGGGTGCGTTTTACCACCACGATTCAACAAGTTATAATGACTGTTGCCCATGTAATGTGTTCTCTAGATTAGATTTCGATTGCGAACTGGTAACGGAAAAGTTTATGCTGCAGTGGCTGGCATTGTCCTTAATAGGGAAGGTAAGATCACAAGTAACAACTACAGATAACTGCCAGCGGGAAACGTATTTTCTACTATCGCTAATTTATATGATGGTACTTTTGCATACCAAATTTAATTATATCGCTGAAACTTGAAAGTATATTTTACATGCTTTTACTATCAGGTTTAATCATTCTTCCAACAACTCCAACCGATCCCCCAACGACAACACTACAGTCCAGTTCTCTCGATCGTTTGGTGTCTTGTACATTTCGCTCCGGTATGTGCGCTTGGCAAAACTCAGAGGACTGTGGCCAACTACAGTGGAATCTCGAACACGGGATGAGTATCGGACTGGGATTACCCGGTGCCCCGGAAGCTTCTTCCGGTACGAAATTTTACTACCAAATTCTGTAAATTCTGTAACCAGTTACTTATGGAATATTTTACCAGACGATTCTTTCGCCATGGCTCGGGGTGTCGCCAGCCAAGCCGACGTCGTCACGGCGTGCTTGCAGTCGCCGTCTTTCCAATCAAGCGACCCAAGCGAGCTGAGTTTTTGGTACAACATCGGCTCCTATGATTTCACCAGCCACCAAACAAAACTCCGAATGGTTGCCGGTACCGAAACACTGGGATTAACGAGTACTGGCGATTTGTGGGAACAAGCACATGTCACCATTCCAGCTTCGGCAGAGCAGGTAACCGTGGGAATCATGACGATGTTTCGACATCTTTATTCAGCACAATATGACGCTGTAAACCGTTGTAATTATTGGGATTAGTTGAGGTTTGCCGCTGACTTAGAAGGAAACGATTACGTTGCAATCGATGAAGTACTGTGGAATGGAGACGAGAATGGTAAGTGTAAGATTGTCGTGCAAGCCACCGGAAAAAATGGCGAGCACAACTGTTTAAGTTTGTTGTAGGTTCGCCGGTTGTTTTTCCAACGACATCCGATATTGTACCTAGCGCGGCTCCCACCACAACGGCAGGTCCTACGACACCAATGGTTTTGCCAGATAATCTTCTTAGCTGTGATTTTGCCGATGATTTGTGTGGATGGACAACTGAGACCGACGAAGACTTCCAGTGGAATCGAACCAATCTCATTCAGGCTGCGCCGCGACCAATCAGCGGAGTGGCTAGTACCGATGGTATGACGACTGCCTGTATCTGTATATAATCAGTAATGTGACGTTACAAAGATCTTTTTTAGGAGTTTTTTTATTTGCGCAAGGGAATATGAAAACTGTCGCAGAACGCGCCCATTTGGTATCATCGCCCATAACACTGCGTCAGCGGGCTATATTACGCTTCTATGTGTTTAACACGGCACCAATGGGCGACGGCGTTTATGTCACATTAAATTTCGCTGATGGGCAACAAACTACCATAATGCGAGATATTGTCAATGGGTTTAACCGATGGATTGTTAAGAATGTTGTACTCGACATTCTGGACCGGGAATTCAGCGTAAGTCTCACCAATGCATTTTATTTCGATTGTACCTGCACGTCATCACGGGCGCTAGAGTCTGAAACTAACTCAGGAATGTAATTATCAAAATTTATACAAGTTTTTCGAGCGGCAGATTGTTATTGGAGCTGGCGTAATGAGTATCCGCCGTTTCGGATTGGACCAGATAGCCTTGCTTCCAGAAGGGGACGTGGAGTACGGTAGCCAACCGATACGGCTAACAACCACCCCGCGGACGACGACACCGCGCACTACCACCACACCACGTCCAGCGGTGACGGATGAGCATGTCACCTGTTCATTTAATTTCGACACGTGCGGCTGGCGGACACATCCTTCTTCCGAGGGCCATTGGAACCGCACGGAGGATGCCGGCGTGGCGAACCTGCCGGCGACCGCTTCGCATCAAGTTGCCGGTAAAAAACGTTTTCCACTTTCGCTAGTTTGCGTCATGACAACTCAGATCGTACTGTTTTAGTTGGGTTGCCTAAATGCTTTTGCAGATGCTTGGTTTGTGGCATTTCGGGGCAGCTCTGCCTCCGATCTGACGCAAGGTCTTTTGGAATCTCAGCAGTTCGATAATCGGCGTCCGCGAAATTTGACCTTTTGGTACTACAAACGCGGAACCGGCAGCGGGGTATCGTATCTCGGTCTGCGGGTAGCTGACGCCACTGGACAGCAAGGTATCAATATCTGGCGCCACCAGGGGTCGCCTAATCCAACCTGGCAACAAACCACACTGACTATCACCGACACCGGGAAGATATCGGTTAGTTGTCAATCAGTCACCGGATTAAGGAAGTTCAATGGAATAATTGTATGTTTAGTTGGTCTTCTACTGTGGCGCCACAAATTATATCGTATGCGGTGTTGATGAAATCTACCTGGATGGCGAAGATGAACTAGACATCTCGGCGTTTCCCGACGACTAATTACTGCTTTCGATAGAAATACATTTTAACTGCACATAATGGCTTTTTGCCACTAAAATACTGCTGTTGTCGCTAAAATACGTTTTGCTGAGAGTTGTTCCATTGGTTCATAGCTTTGTTATCAAGTTAACCGATGACGTTACCATTGCTAAGCCGACGACTCCTCCCTCTCCTTCTGCATAGCGCATTGGTTGTCCAACCGGGCCGCTGTCGGCGCTTTGATGGCTGGCGGTAGCACCCGCTTTGTTAGCGTCTTTGTCAGCCGCTTTCTGCACATTTTGTGACGCAGTACGCTCGCTATCCGTCTTGCGTTTGTTCATTCTTCGGCAGCCTCACGAGTTCTCATTTACGCATTTATTCGCTTCTCGATTACGACGATTGGTCTATACATAGACAAATTTTTTCCCACCTGCCGTGGACATGTTGTCTTTTGCTTGTTGTTTTGCTTCCACTGAATCAAAATAAGGGGGTTATCTGTGCGGCTGGAGCGATCAGCGGTGCTTGACGCATTCGCGTTCACGCATTTTATTCGTGCTTCCGGTTAGCAGCTTCTCCAGTTTCCCCCACACGGCGGACGAGACGTAGAACATTAACAGCCTGTTAACAACAGGAGTTTATCTTCAAAAGGAAGAGTACGGGTAGGGTTTTGATTTTTGAGCAGAAATTGGCAGTCGCGACAGGTCCGGTGTGTTAAAGGCTTAAGGCTTATACTTCGTTGCGACTTTATTTGTCTGTGCCAAACTTGGTACCTCTGCATTTCAACGGCTATATGACCATATCACCCAGTCCCTGCTTACTGGTACTGCCATTATGACGCAAACGTCCGCATCCTTCGCGAGTTCCCAACGCCGAGGTACGATCTCCCAGGTTACAGATCGCTGGAAGGATGCCTTGTCGAAGAACGATTTGTGCGATGTGCAGTTCGCAGTTGGACGCCAATTCGGATCAGTAAAAATATTGGACGCACATAAGTGAGTGCGGCTCAGCAGAGTCTCGTCTTGTGCGAACAGCCGTGATGTAGTTGCCTTGCTGGCATAATGCGCAACACTGGTTTTTCGATAGGTTGGCTCTCAGCATCAGCAGCGACGTATTTCATACCATGTTTTACGGAAGCTTGGCCGAGAAGGGTGACACCGCCATCGATATCCCGGATATTCCTTCCGACGCTTTTAGCAATATGCTCAGGTACGCACCTCTAGTCACCGATTTCTTTCTCTGTGCACGTCTAATTCGGATTGTTTTTCCCGATATTTCAGCTACATCTACACTGGTTCAGTAAGCGATATCAATCCGGAAAATGCTTTGCAGACACTGTATTGCGCTGATAAGTATGACTTGCCATGGCTGGCTGAGCTCTGCACGGATTTCATTCGCGACGGCTTAAACGCCGATAACTGCCTGATGTATCTAGAAAATGTTAGTGTAAATACTTTAATAATTCTGTTTGTGCGACCCAAGCCTCAAGTCAAACATTGGCGCCGCCAGGAGCCAGCAACATTTTCAGCCTGTGCTGGTTCACTTTGAAACACAAGGTTCTTCCTTGCAGACACTCACTCTTCGTGTTGTGTGTGACAGTGTGAATGCCACATTTCTGCTTGTCAAATTCGACTGACGATACTTCTGCATGTATCTGTACAGTATAGAGAAGTCTCACAGATCTTTTTGTTTGGATATATGAGTTTTCCCATGCGCAGGGCAATGTTCTGACAAGCTTAGTCAGTGTGTCATTTCACTACAGGCGCAACGCTGGACTCCGGATTGTGATGTCGTGATGGAGAAGTGCTGGGACATCATAGATGTGTTCAGCGTGAATGTTCTCCAGTCAGAGTATTTCAACAAGTTGGAGCGGACAACGTTGGAGAGGATTCTGCAGCGCAACACACTGTCAGCGGAGGAGAACGCCGTCTACAGGGCTGTCGAAAAGTATGTGGCGCTCTCGTTATGTACCGTTTGCGTCGTCCCTTCTCTTTTGCTACTAAATGAGTACTTGTACTAATAACCAATGATTGCGCATCGGCTGTCTGCGTTTAACCTTATGCTCCATTTTATTGAATTCGATGTTTTGTGCGTAGATGGGCGGAAGCCGGCTGCATTAGCGAGAATCTGCCAATTTCAGTTGCTAATCGCCGCATGATATTGGGTCCGGCATTCTTTCTGGTTCGCTTTCCGCTGCTGACTGACGCTCAGCTAACTAGCGGGCCGGTTAAGGTTGGTAGATCTTATTGATCATTAATTCTGTCCGGCTGAAAATAATGCGTTCTGTATTTTTAGAGTGGTTTACTGAGTCTTGAAGAAATGCGTACAGTTTTACTACAAAAACATAAGGCAGACGGAGAAACAGCCAAGGAAGGACCGCCGAAATTCCCTAAGAAACCTCGACAGTGCATAATGTGCCCGTTCGCGTCCAAGTATGTTTACAAGCGGATGGAGAAGGTTTTCGTCTTGTACAACAACGACTACTTTTATCCGGCAGAGGTCACAAAAGATAATGAGTGTGCCATGTATGGGGAGTATGAAGTGGAGAAAGAAAGGGAGGAAGGTGAGGCTTCCCGTCAGCACATGGCAGTTCGGTCCGCCGATATTTTGAGGCGTGGTTTGCCAGTGGAAGCACATATTGATGGAGGCTATAAGGAGGCCACCTACGGCGCACTGCGTGCTGGACGACATACCGTCAGTGTGGCCGGTCGAGAACATAATGTGGGCTGGGTGGAACTGAGGATTGCTGGCCAAAACGTCGATGAATGGAAAGCGGCACAAAAGTAAAGAAATAGGTGTTAGGAAATTTGGAATCTAGATCTAGAGAATGTCAGTGCAGATTGACTCACTTAATGCGTTGTGTCGCTTCCTAGTCCGATAGCTTGCTTACTGTAGTTAGCTGCTTTTGTAAACTTGTATTTAATTCGTGACGCTCGCCGAAACTGCACTGTAAGACACGTCAGGATTTTATTGATTTGCGGGTTAAAACTGGGGAACACAGAAACTGAAACATATGCCGACAGACTGAAAACAACCAGAACAAACGCCCCATCTAAGAAACCAGAGGAGAGGGCGGGAGGGGAAGATCTTCTGAAGCAAATTCACACCAACGCTGCAACTAGACAATAATTCTTAGACTGCGTTACTCGCAGCATTTATATAGGCACAGCCACACGCATGGAAAACGACAAGGTAATTAACACGTCCGAGGGAGAATCTTGCAGCTGGGCGCTGGCCAATAAATCAGACGCGGTGCATTAAGCTGGTGCCGGTGAAGATGATGAAAGGAGGAGGCCGCTCGCTTCTAATTAACCGCTTTATCTTCGATAACGCTCATTAATTCGTGACGCTCGCCGAAACTGCACTGTAAGACACGTCAGGATTTTATTGATTTGCGGGTTAAAACTGGGGAACACAGAAACTGAAACATATGCCGACAGACTGAAAACAACCAGAACAAACGCCCCAAACAACCCCCAAACAGCCATCAATAAAAGGATAGTGGTGGTATAATGATATTGCTGCGAACGTAGCGATCCAGCGCCGATGATTTCCAACGGCCAGCGGCTTGGACTTCGTGATACGGCACGTTGTTGGCCAGAGCTGAGGACGCGGCTCCGATGCGAAAACTATGAGTATGCACAGAAGGATAATCTGGCAACAACTTCCGGAGCGATTGCTCCAGATATAAGCGCGACAAAACGGTACCGTCAGAAAAAATAAAAAATGCCGATAGTGGGGTACTGAAAACACGAACTGAAATAAATTCTGAATACGCCCGAACGGGGCATACGGATCGTCCGGTAGATTTCAAAGAGATAGTGTAACCACACCCAAACTGATCAGTCTTCGAACTGGGGATATTAAGCATAACTTGAACACCATCATAAAACACATGGCGCAACTGGATAAAATGGCTGTAATAAACAGACGAAACTGCAAATTCGGAGACACGTAAAAACCCGAAATACGCAAAACAAAAGGCGCACCACAATAATATTTGATCATAATGCGATAACGTGGATGATCGTAGCCGGCATTTGAGAATGCGCATAATGTCCAGAGATACCGGCCGTCTACTGTCGACTGCCACTGGAAGTAGCCGCTGATAACCTTTTAAAGCATGGGATATGCGAACTGATGAAGATGGATCAATACTGCCGTGCTCAACAGCGAAATTCGAAATAGCGGCTAAATAGGTTTTAACAGAGGCAAACTTCAGACCGCGACGAAAAAGATGTGCAATGAAATTCAACACGACAACTTCAGAAATGACAATTTGATCCAATGGAGAGCCAACAAAACGCGCGAACTGCTTCACAGCCGACTCATAGGTGCGGCGCGTAGACGCTGAGATATGATGGTGCATTAACTGCCAGGCGGTTGCATCTGTAAAAGGTCATGCCAACAATTAGGAATGCAAACCGGAGTAAGAGAAGCAGACGGTGCCAGTTTACGAAATCGTTCAAACTGCATGCGAGAAAGAGAATCGGCTATAGAGTTATCGATTCCAGGGATGTGTTTGATAGTAACGGTGAAATTAGCCAAAGCGGCAGTCATTAAGATTTTACGCATAACGTGCAAAATGAGGTGGTTTTTAGAATTTAACGAAGACCAACAGTTAACAACCGCTAAATTGTCACAATGAAACATTATTTTTCGACCACGAAAACGATCACGCCAAGCGATGCATGCCAGATGAATTGGAAGTATTTCCAAAAATGCTATACATTGTTCCATAAACTGCGGGGATGGCCATTGTAAAGCAAACCACTGTCCATCATAATAAGCTGCACAACCCGTACCGGCTGCAGCATCGGTATACAGGTGTATAATATCAGGTAACGACCACTTGACTGCCAAAAACGATGCAGTGCCATTCCACTGCGGCAAAAATTTGTTCCACCAGAGCAAATCATCACGGACATTTTTGTCTAATAAGATCTCAGTTCCATTAGAACATGACAAAATGTGAATCAAACGGCGGGTGAACAAGCGACCGGCCGGCACGCACTTAGCAGCAAACTGTAACGATCCAATTAAACTTTGTAATTCGCGTTTAGTGCAGCACGATTTACTTAGCCACTGCTTAACCAACGACATGATCTCTTGTAATTTACCAGCTGGAAGGGACAAAGTTTGTTCAACAGAATTCAACAGGATACCCAAAAACGGGAGGGATGTGCACGGATTTACGGCTTTATCGGGTGATAAGGGTACACCCAACTCATCACACACAGAAATCATAATATCAACTAAAGCCGCACAGCCAGCCAAAGCCCGAGCAATGAATAAAAAATCATCAACATAATGCAAAAAAGAACTTAATTTCGAGCGATTAGCGACAATCCAGTGAATCGCTTCAGACACTAGACAAAATAAACGAGGAGATGAACGACACCCAAAGGGCAAGACGATATCATAAAAGTAATTAGGACCAATTTTAAAACCAAGCAAATGCCAGTCATCACGTCTGACAGGGATTAATCTAAATGCATGCTTGATATCTTGCTTGGCCATAACTGCGCCGACACCGGTATTAATTAACATTTCAACTGCATCATCAATCGCACAATACGACACGGTATAGGCATTGCCATCAATATAATCGTTCACACTATGACCATCAGGACTGGAGAGATTCAAAATAATGCGATGACCGGCGGGTTTTTTCGGGATGACAGAGAGGGGACTAACCGAAAAAACGCGGAAAGGTGGAGTTGAAAAAGGGCCAACCGTGTGGCCAAGAACTATTTCTTTTTGTACAGACTTTTCAATAAGCGGTTGATTTTCACAAGCAGATTTAGCATTAGGCGTGAAACGAGAACATACAGGCCCAAAGTAGCCTAAATCGGCACCATTAGATAACATGTCAACAATGCCACTTACAAAGCGCCGATCAGGATGATTAACCAGAAGACGCTGAAATGCCTCAGGTCTAAGAGGTGTCGATCCGGTTGGTAGCGGCTTCACCAATGTTGAGTCGCTTTGTGCACGTGCGTAAACCATGGGCACCGGAATCGCAGGCGGAACAACGGTGCAGTTTACCGTACTGACACGGTGGTGAGCAAAATCCTCGCTGCCACTGAGAACAGAGAGGGTCATCCCTCTCGCCGCGCCCTCGAAAAAGCTGCTGATCTTGTCCGACGGAAGATGATGATTCAGGAAGACGTAACGGACAGTTCCGGATCCAGTGACCGGGAACATTGCATTTGTAGCAACAATAGCCAGCAGGTGGGAAACGCCCGGCAGGTGGAGTAGCTTGAGCGGGTTGGCGATAGTTTCCAAAATTTTGCAGAAAACATTCGCGGTAAATGTCATTATGAGTGATGGACCAAATAGACGGCACCGTAGGATTCATACGGGCAAACATGCGGAAACGGATGTCATAATCAAGCCACTGAGTTGACTTATTGGGATCCACAAATCTGGCAATTAAATCCAAATACTTCATCATGGGAGCAACAAACTCAGGCCGGTTATAAGTCCGATAACGGAAGAAAATATGATAAGCTCGGACCCACTGCGCAAAGGTCATAGATGAAGCCCGTCGGCTTGCAGAGCTTACGATAGACACATGACCCAAATCATCTCGGCGTATTTTCGGCGATGAAAAATCAGTCGCATGCGTAACAGGCATTAGCTCGAGAAAATCGATAAAGACAGAGTGGTCAAACAACAAGGGAACCAACTTGTCTGACACCGAAGGCAAATCACTGATATCGGCTGACGGGATAGCATGCTGAGAGGACAGCTTAAGACCCGAACGGTCAAAGAATTGTGAACTACTATTCCCGGTTGGAACGTAAACTACACTGCCATTACCTGCAGCAATCTGAGTACCGGCGTTCGTGGCATTGTGAACCGGAGAAGCCGATGATAAACGGGAAACAGAATCATTCGTCAGCTTGGCAATTTCCTCAGATAGCTGCTTATGCTTGACAATTAGCTCCGCCAATGCATCAGCACGGGAATCAACAGAAGAGGTGATTTTTAAACCTGCGTTGCGTCGCGTAGAAGCTTTCTTGGCAACACCACCGACGATAGGCTTTTTAGGTGGCATAATGACGATTTGAATACAACGCAAAACGAAAATAACTGATGAAACCAATAACAAATATAGCCGTCGATGAAAGGAAAACCTTATCTGCATATAACTATCTATTCACATGCACCAAAGAATGAAACTAAAAGTCGATAAGAACTTTACTTGAGTAAGTTGAAAACACCGAAAGGTCACGTCTTCTGAAGCAAATTCACACCAACGCTGCAACTAGACAATAATCAGTAATTAACACGACAAGGTAATTAACACGTCCGAGGGAGAATCTTGCAGCTGGGCGCTGGCCAATAAATCAGACGCGGTGCATTAAGCTGGTGCCGGTGAAGATGATGAAAGGAGGAGGCCGCTCGCTTCTAATTAACCGCTTTATCTTCGATAACGCTCATTAAAAAGCCTTCGCTTTCGTTGTATGGAATGGATTGTTTGTAAAGTGGATGTGCTTTTTTCAGACTGCAAATTTGAAAAAAAGTGTAAAAAATGACATCCATAGTTCAGATCACGTACGATGACACTTTCACGATCCTGTACTATCTGACCGTAATTTTATCAAACGTTGGGCAGTCGTGTGTTACAGAACAAAAAGGGTCTAAGGGACAGCAACGGCAAAGTCACGTAAATTCGTCATGTCGCCCTGCTTATGAAATATCAGGACGCCGCTTTTGTGCGTCGGCTAAGTGGTAACCGCTCAAGGATCCACCGCCGGCAGGCAGCTACGTTCGTCTAGCTATTCTGGTAAATCTGGGACGTCTTCCTTTTACCGCCAGGGCGGCAATTACTTCATTCGACCGCTGCATCCGGTAATGGTCGTTTTCTGTCATCGTGCGCCGGCATACCGGCTTAATGTTAAGAACTTCATATTTCATTCTGAAATACACCGTGTTTTCATTTTGCCCTTAGGCGCGTAAATAATTTTACAGCTACTGCGAGTGCGAACGCCTGCAGGCTGCAGAATGAATGTGCACGAAACACGACCAAAATTGCAAAATGCAGGTGTTTAGTATAGTGTTCACTACCACGCTGTCGGGGATTGCACGCCTGTTGTATACAGTTAACATGGACATCTGACATTCACCACAAATTCTAGCGAACCAAACGGGACGTTTTTGTCTTCCCCGGTGACAAAAATAATGCAGTCCATGGATAAAGTGGCCAAGTACGTAGATAAATAATCTGAACCCTTATCGAATACGTGATGTACTTTAATATATTGCAGCTACAACGCCCCCTGCGTTGTGCTGGGGAAGCCGCGACTATGGTGGATCTTCCTTCTCTCCAGCATCCTGACGCCCTTCATCCTGGCATTTTTTGTCCTGGTCTTCCGTTTCACTCGTTATTTCGCCTACAAACGACGAATGGAGGGCATGGCCAAGACCAGCATTGTTATTAACCGTGAACAACGATATGGACCCAAAGGTATTCAACGGCTTGGCAGCGTCCATGCTTTCCAGTATTTCACAAAAAAAATTGACCTCAGTAAAAATGTGTGAAGACAACAATTGTTCGACTCTGAATTATTAATAATGATTTAATCATGCACTTATTTTTTTCAAGTGATATTTTTGTCCAGCTTGTTAGCAGGTTTTAAAATTTAAAAAGCGGTAAAATGTTTGACTTGCACAAGCTTTCTTTCCACAAGTACATTCTGGTGATTTCCAATTCATCCGAAAAAGGTTTTAATTTAATGTAGATTTAACAATAAATGCGCATTTATTAACATTAAATGTACTTTTTAAACGGGCATTTTTCTAGTAATAAAATTTATCTCCTGTTTGTCCTAGTAACATCGTGGCGTGTCGGAGAGGTATGGCGGTGGTTCAAGAATATGCAAATGGTGGAGGATAACATTGTCGTTTTGCTCATTCGCAATTTTGCTGACCATGTGGTCAATCCACGTTATTTTGCCGGCAAACTTATGGTAGGATTTACGTACTTAAACACTGGAGGTACACACTGGGGTTTCATAACACAACAATCATATTTCCAGTTGCTGCTGGAGTTCTGCTTCAGTATGGGCTCGCTGTTCATCTATTACCAAGATGTCTCAACGAGGTACAGTAACTGCATGTCCTGTGATCCGCACAGTGTCGGGGCATTTTTGTTGTACGCGGTTTGTCCGTGAATGTAGTAAAATTGTCGATGTGGAGATTTGTCGGCCGTTTATGCGGAATGTCAGCCAGCAAGTGGACTTCGCCTTCAACTGTTTCTTTCTCTTCCATTTTATCATGCGAGTACGTGGGGATGACACTTAATTACGCTCACTAACTTGTTACTATTTTAGTCATGAAATTATGGGATACTAATGCAAAGTGCGTTGTGCAGTTTTGGGCGTCCGAAGAGAAAATCATCATGATCTTTGATCTATACAGCATCATCGACTATTTCACCGTTCCGCCGGCTTTCGTCGGACTGATATTAGACCGGCGCTGGGTTGGTACGTTACGCTCATCTGTCGCCCCTTGCTTCTTCCTTGGTTATCATTAAACGTTCAACTCCACAGGTCTGCGATTTCTCCGTGTGATCTATCTACGCAAAGTGTCTACACTCTTAGCGGCACTGCGCATTCTAAAATCTCCACCCCACATCAAACTCCTGCAACTGGGATTAACATGGATCGCTATTTTACTGGCAGCTGGCGGCTTCTTTCATTTGGTAAACGAATGGCAGCTATGCATGGTCCCGTAACCTGCAGTACCGGGCATATGTGGTTACAGCTGGACGCTTCGGGTGACTTCTTCTTCACCGATTACAACGGCCAGCGCGTATCATACTGGGAATACTGCTATTTCGCCTTCACCACCATGTCGACCATCGGCGGTTCGGAGACCAATCCCAAGACGATCCTCGCCAAATTGTGCAACTGCATTCTTGTCTTCATCGTTTTGGTAAACTAACAAATTAACCATGAGAATTTTTGTCGGGGTCCTTGCTAACTAGAACTTGAAATATTTCTAGGCTGTCATTTGTTTTGCCATACCGGATGTAAAAGACATGATGGGATCGCGAAAAAAGTGGGCCGGCGAGCATCGAGCCGTACATAACGAAAGGTGGATAAGGAAATTTTAAACCGTACCGTTACTTTAAGACATTGTTAGTAAAGGTTTATGTGACAAAAATCCATCTTTTTAAGTTATGGCTTAGTAAAGTTCACAGTGTGATAAACTTTGTAACTGGACAGGCACATTGTGGTGTGCGGTGACGTCTCCTTCGACTCGGTGTACTCACTTTTTATGGAACTCTTCCATCCGGATCGCGATGTACACGATATCAAAATCATCTGTCTGGACGAGTATGTGAACCATCTTAACAACAGACTATAACATACAGAAATAATGAATTTTTCGAAGGCGTGAACCCGATCTGGAGTTTACGCGTTTTCTCAAGCGCAACACCTGGCGTATCGGCTACCTACAGGGCTCGGTACTGGAACTGGAGGATCTGCGGCGAGCTAAATTGCACGAAGCCGACGCGTGTATGATTTTAGCCAACAAGACCGCAGCCGATATTGACGCCGAGGATAGCAGTAATATTATGTGTGTGGTTGCCGTCAAGAACTACCATCCCAAAGTGCGGGTGATCATGCAGCTCCTGCAGTATCGCAGCAAGGTATGCCGACTACAGATACATCATAATCAGCTGCAGAATATAACATTGTCCGTTACGTTGCGTTACACAGCACTAGCTTTTTGACTTCGCCACTGAAAATTTACTATCCCGGTTAGCAGAAATTCTAAATTCTGTGACACTGTAGACATACCTCACCAGCATCCCTAACTGGGACCCGATGGGGGGCGACGATGTCATCTGCTTGCCGGAAATCAAACTAGGACTAATCGCGCAGAGCTGCATCGCACCCGGCTTTTCAACATTGTTGTCCAACATGTTTGCCGCGCGCTCCGGGGAATCGGGACGAAGCTGCGTAGGTAGCGGCATCTACAACGCTCTTTCTCAGTTGTCATTCCTTGTAAATTTTTTTAGCCCGAATACATGGAGAACTACTTGGCCGGGTATGTATGATACTGCTGACACTCGATGTGATGTCAATTTATTAATTATTAACACAAATGCGTTTGCAGAGCCGGCATGGAAATGTACACGGAGAGACTGAGCAATTCTTTCCTTAATCTTCCCTTTATCAAAGCTGTCGAGTAAGTACGCCTTCAACAATAGATTTTCTTGCTGCATGAAATTGGTTTTTTTTTTGCAGAATCTGCTGTGAGCGCTTGCATATTCTTCTCTTTGCTGTCTCCATTGAAACGGCCGGTAACGAACTCAGCCAGGTCATCGTTAATCCCCATCCCAGCTACGTTATTCGTACCGGCGCCAGTGGCTGCTTTGTTGCTGATTCAGCGCAGCAAGTGCAACGGTAAATGCAGACTGCGCGCTTGCCCAGTCAAGATACAATCACTTAATATTACGTGCTAAACAACCTACTAGCTGCTCTTGCAATGCAGATCAACATATTCCTTACGTAAAACTCGACTTGAAAAATAATAAGATTTCAATAAACACCACTATTGCTATCTTGATGTGCAGGGAACAGTACTTCATTGAAATATCGAAAATATCGTGTATTTTTGTTATGTACTGTTAAATACAGTTTGTAGACAGTATTCACAAACAGCGCTATTTTATATAAATGTTTTGTGGAGAAGGGGAATTTTTACTTAAGGGTTCTCTACTACTGCTCCATGTGTCACGCCGATGTTGCGGATCCCGACGCTATCAAGCCGTGCCAGTGCGAACACATTCAGACAAAAGGTACACAGCACAGTGTTTTTGTAAGCGGTTGTGTGCTGTACAACCGTACAAGTAACATAGTGTTAGTATAGTCAATACTTAATAGTTAATACTCCATAAAATTGGGAATGCCAGCAAATTCTTTTCCAGCAATTCATTAGCTAAGGTTAGATATTAATTTTATCGTTACCTTCCTGTAAACGTGATGTATGAGCTTGTCTCTTGAAGAGCGTGCAGGCAGTAAAAAGCTCTCCGTTGACGACCACCGGCGTGGTTCCAAACTGTACAAACGACGCGGCACACGGATCGGCAAACGGTTAGTACCCAATGGATTAACCAAAAACATTGCTGCCGAAAAGGCCTATGGTTCGGAACGGCTGGAGGATGCGGAGACATCCATGACGAACTACAACCTCGGCATCGTCTACGTCGACGACGAGGATGAACCTATTATCGACGAAGAAGCCCCGGTCGTCAGCAGCAGTTCAGAACTGGAATTCTCGTCCTTTGAGGAAAAAATTGTCTATTATATGCGCAACTTTGGCAGTCTGTAAGGAGTTCCTCGTGTGCCGTATACGTTGCCCTTAACACATTGCATGTACAACATAATATTATACTCTATGAGACAATTAACGTATTAGACAATAGGTACGACTTGTACTTAGACTTAAGAGTTGTAATTTTTCGGCAGAGAGCACTGGGAGCGAGCGCGCAACACATCGCATACTCCCGATGCTTCTAAGGAAGAACTGAGTCAGTTAATGGAATACAGTGAGGAGCCGCGTTTCGACTCTACTGGCATGTTCTGGTGGTGTCCGCCGCGAGCTTTTACCTCGGAAGTCATTGTTAGTATGCTCTCCATGTCTGATGGTCCTAAGTGAATAATTACTTGAACAAGACAGTTTTGCCAAAACAGCCGGTAAACGTCCGGGGGTATGTGTGAAACAAAAGTTGAATTGATTTATTTGTTGGTAGAACCGTTTTGAGGCGGCCCAGCTCAACTTCCATAACCACGTCGTCATTATCGTCTTCGCCGACGAGGACTCCACACTGATGGGCCTGAACAACTTGATCATGCCGTTGCGCTGTAGTAACGTCCCATATGACGCACTGCCGCACGTGGTCATTCTCGGTAATCCCAAATTCTTGATCCATGAGTGGCCAGCTATTATCAACTTTCCCAAGATCACCGTTGTCAAGGTAGGGTTGCTCTTATGATTATGTTGTTCTGATTTAATAATAAAAATTACGTATTGCAACTGTTTTGGCGCTTTCTCCTAGATTCACCATTTGAGCCGCGCAGACCTTCGTGCCGTCAACATCGACCAGTGCCGACAGTGTGTACTGCTGTCGGCAGCGCTTAGTCGTGGCCATGATGACATGTAAGAACTTAGAACATTTTAAGCATTGCAGGGAATGGACGTCCTTTATAAACAGATATTCAGATCTCGAAGAAAATTGTTCTACCGGAATACGGAATTTTAGTAGTCTTGCAGTTCCTTTTGCTCGACACGTTTGAGCTTCCTTTCCTTGATACACACAGATACAGTCTACTTCATTTCCTTAAGCACTGATAACCAGGGAAAGTATTTACCAATAAATTTGTGTACACAGGCTCCTCGCCGACATCGACCCGATTCTGACGACGCTAACCATCAAAGCCATGCCGTTTGGCGACAGTTCGCTGCCTAGCCAGCTGGCCGAAACAGCGCCCATCTTTAAGGCGAATAAGTCCACAGGCCAGCCCAGCCCGTATCGCAGCCGCGCGTCCAGCAATTACCTGCTTGCCAAAGGTGATTCGTTGATAGCCTAATTATGACCATTCCTGTGCCAGTCATTGACACGATACCCTGATAAGCTACGAATCTCATCAACCACAAAAATTAATCATTCTCAAAACTGCGTTAACCGGCATTCTTTAACTCCTAAGACCAAATGGCGGCCAACCAGTCGGCGCTGCGTAACCGGCGCTCCTTAGCACCATCCAACAGCGACCTGCCCAACAATCATCCGCTGGGCAACCCCCGCTCGCCATCCAATCTGAACCGGTCCTCCTTCGAAGTGCCGGTGAATTTCCGTGGGGTGGAACACGGATGGTCTATTCCCATCCTGACCGAATTGGGTACGAAGTCCTGCATGTGTAAAAAATCCCGGCGATCACGCTTAATTGCTCGAGGTTGATGGTTTTAGTGCATGACTCCAACGTGCAGTTTGTCGATCAGGAAGACGATGATATCAACGACTTCTTCATGGCGGAACCGTTTGTCTGTGGACAGGCTTTTACTACCAGTGTTTTGCAGGCGCTTATGGTGTCGGTAAGGAATAGTACTGTAATCTGACGTTGTTTTATTTTTCCATTTTATTGTTACTTCAAACATTTATGCAGTCAATTAAAATTTAAAGTAATCCTGAACGTAACAATTGTCAATAGCGGCGAGTGGAAGTATAATACGCTTTGTGTGCACAGACATTCTTCAATCCCTACACACTGTCCATCATACGTTCGCTGATCTTTGGCGGTGTGACACCGGAACTGGAGCAGATCCTGGCCGAGGGTACTGGTCTCATTGGTGGACCGCATCTGTCGCAGGTTAATCCACATCCCGACCGCTGCCGGGTGGATCAAATATCTTTGGAAGACTATCGCTTTGCGCGGCACATGGTAATGCCCCCATACTAAAATGGTTAAGCTTACTCGCTAATGAATAATGTGCTCTTATTTATTGAACGAACAAGCGGCGCGTGGTGATTAACCGTTAAAAAACATTCTACCATTAACGATTGTATCTTAAACAGAGAGGCACTTATGGGGATCTGTTCTTCGACGCCCTGCGCAACTACAGCATGATCTGTCTGGGCCTGTACCGCCGCATCCAGCCCGAAGGTACCGGACCGCGTTCCGCCCGCCGCTACGTCATCACCAATCCACCCATCGACTTCCCGCTGGTGCGCGATGATAAGGTCTTTGTTATTGCACGTTTACGCTGGTCCTAGTCGAGAACCAGCCGCTAGCGTAGCGCCTGGCGTCGCTCTATTTGCGATGGCGCTTTCATTGCTTCTTAAATTCATCTGTGTTTATGTGCGCTCCACCGATTTTAGCCAGTTTATTGATAAATAATATTGTAAAGGTTAATAAAAGGCATCCTATGCCTCGATTAAAAAGGTCACGCATTTTAGCGCTTGGAAATAAATTGGCATTACACGTTGCATAATGTACTTTGTTATTCAGTTATGTATTTTTGTCGTCACAACCAGGGTATGAACAGACGATGTGAACAATGACTATGTCCTTATTTCACTAGACAGGCATAAGTATTTACCCAAATATAAATCGTAACAGTTTGCAGTGATTAACCGAGCCAACTTAGCGGCTAATCAGCCATATGTGAGCGGGATAAACTATCCTCATAAATAAAGCCTTGACCACTGTTAATTAGCGCTCCCTGACACTCGCACCGTGTAACCTAACCTGACTGCGCGTTATCCATTCCTTAATCATCAAACACCGTCAACTGGACACACTAGCCAAACAGTCCTCCTTACATGGTAAAAAGCCCGTAGCCACTTGGTGGGATTAACATTGACCGCGCTGTTTACCGTCGGCATTACACATTGCCCTTCCCTTATGGTGGATGAACAATATCGGGAGTTATGTTGACATTGACAGCGCGCAGAGAGTGCTTCGGCGTCGCTGCCGATCATCCCCGTCCATTCTCCACAGGATTCACATAATACACGTACACACAGGTAGAAAGAGAAAGCTGACTGTCAGTGTCATCGTCTGATGGAAAGTTAAGACTTGTATATGCCGGTGTTTGCCAGCGGAAACTTGAATAAATCGTCACCACTTATCCTTGTCTGTTTTAGTGGGACCGTGTGTAAGTAGCACCGGCTGACACAGCAGTATCCGCTCGTGTTTTATCAACAGTACAGCCAGTACAGAATAAACAAAAGGTGACCTTTTCATAGAATAGCATAAGTGAAGTTTTCGTTTTATTACAACGTTTTTACTGTGAAAAATTTCGATTGAGCGGTAGTATCCATTGATACATGTATGACTGTATACTGCATGTTGTTTATTATAATTATATGTAAGCAGCTGTCTGTATGACCCATTTATTTAATTTTTCATTTTTTTTATGGTTCCGCAAGCCACAATTAATTTTTAAATAAGTGTTAATTATCTTTGCAGCACAAGCATTATCTCTTGTGCAATTAAGTACAGAGTAATTCATTAAAGTTTTTATTGTATGTTTTGACTTAAGAAAACTGTTGATTACCGGTTTTCTTAATGTACAGGACTTGACATGTCCGCTTTAGAAAGACTCCAATGAGAATAAATTACTTAATTCCCATTGTGTTTTGATTGCGCATCACAGACCAAAGAAATTCAATGTTAAATACTTGATATGTTTGCCACTTATGTCTAGCGATACAAATTCAGCCGGGTCTGATCCGATGCGGAATGTTGCACTGTATACATTTCCCTCCTAAACACCGGTACACAACGAATGTATGATGATTGTACTACTGTATCCGAGTGGCCTGGCGTAAGCGGTGATGTTGTTTGAAGAGGTATTGCATGTCTATGCAATCATTATTGAATGAACTGGTTATCATTTACCTGTAATATATACAGGTATCTTTCTATACAGTCGTACATTATGCAGGCAAAGGGAACATCAGTGTCGTCGTTTGGCTGCCCACTTTCCACGTTAGACGCAGCCAATCGTCTTCACAATGACCCAAGCTATCGCTATTCCACTAACATTTACATTTTTCACACTAACCGGCCAAACCACTACGCTCCGCTGCCAGCTAACACTGTATAATCATTCCATTTTCTAAATCAATCGTTCTGCCATGCTTAACTGCCAATGGAATTTGTTGTTGCAGTCGTAGCGACTACAAAGCACTGAAAAACATCGGCAACTATGCTCTTAAGACAGTTTTCTTGTGACTGTTTCAAAGCGTAGCAAAATACTTGATAACGATCTATCTAATTCTACTTGAAAGGCAATTCTTTCTAATTTTAATTTCGGCAACCACTTCAGAGATTACGGGACGTAAATAATTAATTTGTTGAAACCAGCCGGTAATTTTATTAGCAATTGTATATGCAAAATTTGTTACAGCATTCTCCATTAACTTTAAGCGTAAATGTTGTTGGCACGGTGCAACTTTAGTTTGGTGCTACAACTTCCAGTAGTACTTCCAATAGTTCCTTCCAATAGCATTAAATTTAGCAACCGAAATTTTGCTAGCCAAAATTGTACTTGCCTTTCGTAAACCGTCATCTGTAAATTGATGGTGCAATTTCTGGAATATTATTGATGGAAACAAATTTCATAAACATATGCGTTGCTCGGCCGGTTAATTATGTACATATTGTAGTCCTACTGCATACGCGCACAGGTAGGCAGCAGTACCAAGTCAACCTTGAGTGGCAACGGGGACTGTTTAGATGGCTGTTGGGAATTATCTATCGCAGTCAGCTCATAGCGCAGCACTTGACTGCAACGCATCCATTGAGATTGTATTACTAGAAATTCTTCCAATCGTTCAGGTCGTTGCATGTATTAGGCTCGCCGACGGCGGGGATACAATTACTCAAGCCGGCTTTTCCGCTTAATTCAAGAGCCCGCCGAATAGCATGTCGACCGTTAATTCTCCAAATATGCACGCTTGTCGTCAGTCATCCGTTGTATATTATTCTGTTGGCTATTCTCTTGTATGGATTTAAGCGCCCTAATGTACGGCATCTGTAACATTGCATTGTGTAACAAAATACGAGCACTGGAATCATCGGAGTCGATTGCCAGACCGGTAGTAATTATGAAGAGTTCACGAAGAAAAAGTCAGTTCAGTTACTGTATATCTATTTCCTGCGTTTCAGATTTAAGAAATTAAGCAGCCAGAGTCGTTAGCTAATTTGCCACTGCGTTAACTTCTCAAAGAAAACGCATCTGTTTAAATATTTTATAAACAAAAAATTAAGGTTTTGGCCAGATTCTTCATAAGTATATACGCATAACGAAAACTGGTACGCCAGATTTTTTGCTTTGTGGCTGCGCTACTTTTACTCTATCTTTGTAAGCCTATATGTATGCTCATGCACACTGCAGCACACATATGATATACATTTTCGTCAGCATTTTATTTCAACTGACGCAACCAGTTCGCTACAGTTTCAGTTTACACAAAGTGGAAAAGGAAAATTAATGACAGTGAATGTTTTCCCCGCTACATCCACACAAATGTTTGACAATCGGCCAGTAATGGGCCAATAATGCGACACTGATGGATGACGCGGCAAGCAGCCTAACGGCAACAATACACAAACACACACACACAATCAACCAACGACATATGTGCACACTCTCCGGTTTCCCTTGTCAGAGATACATCCCGTCCCCGCAAAAGGAGGATTTACTTCCCCAACAGATTATAACCATGATGCAATCCCGCTGCGGCGGCGGCTGCTGCCGGGGAAGACATCCCGTAACCCGGCATCTGATGAGCGATGGCCAAATGTTGGCTCATGTCGGCGGAATGGACGTTGGATAATATTTGCGCGGCGGCAGCAGCGGCGGCCGACGGCGGGAACAGCACATACGGGCTGCACGGCACGGGGAAGAAGGACGCGCTGGGCGGGAAGGCCCCGCGCGGAAGGTACGCCGCCACGGGAGCGGTGGACCACAGAGGGAAGGGTGGAAAAAACGCCGAGGGTGGTAAGGTACCGAGCGGCCGGTTAGAAGGCGGGACTTTGCCCTCGGGTGAGGCGCGGGAGGCGGTGCGCGGAGTGTCGTGACGCTTAGGCGGCCGGTGACGGCGTGGGGCGTCCTCTGAATGCGGTTTCACGGGGGTATCGTCCAGGAGATCATCGATTAGGAAGGAGCTCTGACGCGCACGGACGTTGCCTGTTAAATAATTAATATTAGTAGTAGTTCTTTATTGTCGCACCCTGTTTCTTTTAAGATATGAATTAGAGCATACCGTATACGCCGATTACACAAAAATACAACTTCAGTGTAGTTTGCATGGCTAGAATATCGCCGCGGGGTTTGTCTTATCACAACTGATTAGCTATTATTTTATACCTAAGAAATACTGTTTACATTGGAAAAAAGGAAAAATGCCTAACTGCTTTATGAATTGTTATCCAACAATTATGATCCCCGGCATTGTTGACGCATTAATAATTTATTATTCTCAAAGGTGTGCGATTTTCTGTGCAATAAAAATATACTTGGTAACATGCTGTACACTGGTAGTGGTGATCAAAAAGCGCTAAGTTGTTGAAAGGCTAATTATACAAGTGTTTTGATAACGCTAACACACAGACACCACTATACGCATGCGGTAACCGAAGCGTTGGTGAAGGTTTTGAGAAAACATCTTCAACGTGTAGTTAATGTGTTACTCAATGCGGCAATGAGTAAACAGCCAATGAAGGCTGCCCGCATCGCTCCTAATCTAAACACAAACACAACACCCGCTGACTATTGTACAGCGCTTTAAATGGACAGCCGATTAGTTAGTGCATCGCGACAGCCGGGTCAGCGCCGGCCACCGCCAGCCAGTGGCCGTCGAGTGTGTAACGAGGACACTCAACTAGCCAACAAACATAACCGAAGGTTTCCTGCTTGTACACAGCCAGTCATCGCGGCTGTGTATATGCTGCTGGAGTCGGCAAGCAGTTAGTTGCCCGTGTCCGATTGCTTACGTGGCCTCACCGTCGGCTGTCAACACTCTCTAACACGACCTCAAATGTGATGCAGATTAAAGTTTATCTTTTATGCACGGGGAGCCGGTCTCGCGCAGGCTGTACGCTGTAAAACTGTTTGACACACGGGCTTGCCGGCCGAAAAAAATGAAGTAAAATCAGTAAATTATATATTTCAACGGCTCTTTAATTTTGTGTTGCATAAAATTTATTCTACATATTACAGACTTGATAAGTTGTGACTATTAGTTGTGACTTTAGGGTACTACTCAAGCGTAAAACGCTCTCTCACACGCTTTCAGATGTCAAGCAACTTCTTCTCGTGTAATTACGATGTACCCGTCCTTGTTTATAAGTAGAAACATATAGCCCAAAGAACAACTTGGTTTACCTGTTTTGCACTCTTCATTGCTCCGGTACATTCCACCGGTCTCCACGTTAATCTTCGCAGCAGAACTCTTACTCCCGCATTTCCTATGCAGCCGCTTTCTCCGGCGGCGGAATACTCCATCGGCGAATGTGTAGTCACTGGACTCATTAAGCATCCAGTAGTTGTCTTTGCCCCACGGCCGATTGGGATCGCGCAGCACTTTTTGGAAGCACTCGTTCAGCGACAAATTATGCCGGACGGAATTCCGCCAACCGGTATATTCTCCACGGAAGAAGGGAAATTTCTTCATGAGATAGTCGTTAATCTCCGCGAGGGTCAGTTTGCCGGTTTGTGAATCACGGATGGCCATGGCGATGAGGGCGATGTAGCTGAAGGGCGGTTTAGGACGGCGTTGGTAGGCCGCTTTGTTACATGTGGATTTCGTTGGGGATGATTCGGACCCGGTCTCGGAGTTGTCCATATTTGTACTGGGCTCACTGAAGAATCGTGAAGATGGTACAGTAATCAAAATTGAATTCTGGAGGCTTGTATGCTCTTATTGTTATAGTTTTTTACAGTAACAGGTTAAGTTGTTCCCTTTTTTAAGAAGATTGCGTAAATATTAATTAATGTTCAATCTGTTTATTTATTTAGCGTAACACTGATATCTGATACAGATTATCTTTGTTTGGAAAACCAAAATTTTATTGTACATTTAATTCTATTACTTCAATTACAATGAGGTTCCTTCTTCGCAACTTAGAAGCCAGTACGTCAGATAATATGCAATATGCAAAGTTACGCAATACTGCAGTCGCTAAATCATGAGCGCTTTATCCCATCCTTTTAATTTAATTTATTACTGAAGGATTTATTCTTCTTGCAGAAATTGTTTTTAGCTATTAACAGGGGTTAAAAAGTTAGCGTAGATTGCACAAACTGTTGATAAGCAATCGAAAAGCAAAAATAATCAAAAGCGGCTGGGAGCATTTGACTTACCGTTTTTCCACAATATGACACAGTTCCGTCACCGCACCACAAATGCCCCCAACAGGACTCTGTGTATGGGATCGCGCTTCAATGGGCATGATTAAGAAAAATTGTTGAGGTTTTAGCCTAGCGATAATCTCCGCTAAACAAGCATACAATGTCAAGCGGCCATGAAAGGGCCCGTCAACGTGTATTTAAAACTCCTGAGTGTGTAATAGACCGGCTATACAACGTAACACACTGCAGAAAGAAAAGCCCCCAATGAATAAACTGCCGGGGTGTCGTCGTCGAGTTAAGTTGCACTGCAAAACCGCAATGGGCAATCTGTCAAAAGTATTGCTTCCTTTAAGCCAGCCAATGGGTGTACGGGATGTCGTATAGGCAGCGTCAGCGACAGCCGGTTTTCGGTATCGCGTTTATCCCGCCTCCACATGTACTCGTACACTCTCACACACACAAACAGCTGGGCTATCATGACCGGCAGTTAAATGGCCAACAGGGGCTGATTGTCAAAGGTTACGCTCAAGTGCTCACCGTTTAGCTTTCATCGCCACGGTAAATGGTTAGTGTACACCAAGGCATAGTTTACCACGATGACGCGGATTATGTTTGAAGCAATGCTGGCGTATTGGCGGTGTAATTCGCAGCCAGAGTAAAGAAACTCGTGCTTTACTGCTTAATGTATGGAAATTTTTTAAATATTTGCTACGTAAATTTGGCCTGAGTACCTTCTGTTATTGTGCAATATATGAATTTCCACTGAGAAAAACGATACTGTATCATCCCAGTGCCGCACAATGACGCTGTCTAAGAAAAAAACTCACCAATCAGTAACAAATGCTTAAGCACACTAGATTGCCCAAACTTTTTGGGTTGTGTAACATTTAGCGGGTACTTCAAGTTTTAAAATTCTTTTAGAATTATTGAGTACTCGTAGAAGCGTATTACAAAAACTGCCCAAAACCAGGTATTGTGTTCTGGTATAAGAACACGATACACTGGCAGCATGTTTTACGACAAAACGTTTTCGTGGTAAAAAGAGTACAAACCGTTCATTGGGTAACTGTTCTGATTTAATTAACTAATGTACGACTACGCGTTTTATGATTCCCCCACACATGCACCGCTGAGCAACAGGTAGCCGCGCGGTAGCACCCTCCATCTGCTGCTACGCCGGTATTTCACATATGAGTTACGAGTCAAGTCGTTGATGGGGCTCTTGACGCGCTGAACTGTGTGTCTGAAGGAGTCTGTAGCCTGGGCCAAACTGGCTGCGGGGGGCGTTTGTCTAACGTGTCTAACGTGGCTGTTTGTCTAACGTGGCCCACGGCTGTAACAAAAACTTTACCTCCAGCCTGGGATATGATATACAAGTCGACACTACTGCAAATACATCACCTGCGCATATATACGGTAGATGATGATGGCAGGTAGCGCTGAGCCGTCCAGTGTAAACAAACAGTCTCACATCCATCACCATTGGCCGCTGCTGTCACGCTGCAGCGTAGTGGATGTGTGTATATAGACACGGCAGTACTGGCTACTTGTTGATGCCCGGTGGATGATGACTGTGAGAAACACAAAGTACAATCAAGCACACCGGCCTCCCATCCATTATCCGCCACTAAAGTAGCAACATTTTCGCACACTCTACATCGCGCCACTGTGGGCTTCCTTATTTTTCAAAGAGAACCGCAAGCGCGATTCGCGAAGCGAGCATCAAACCGAAATATCTTCAGGTATCGTTTCTTGCTTTCTCGGCCTTCGTTTCTTCGTTTCCTTTTCAGTCTTCAATATCGTTTCTTGCTTTCTCAGCCTGTTAATTGATTTAACTCCTAGGGACGCAAGCGTATTCTATGATCGGGTAAAGGAAAGGTCACACATACTTTTTTATTATATAGCCATCTTGTATCGATAACGATATACATAAAATAAATTCCGGTGACCAAGCTAACCGGCCTAAAACTTTTTCATGCTAAGTTTGTTTTCTTCTTAAGACGCCTAATGGTAGGTTTTGAGGGGTAAACGCTTAGTGTACGATATATTTTAACAAAGAATGTGCACTTCGTGCTTTCGGCATAAACGAAGTTTCTGAAGTGCGCATTACATTGGTATGTTGGGAACGGCCAGGTCCGGCGAAGCTGTATGATAATAATTATTTATGCTGAGTTGATGCATATTTACAAGTCAAGTGGACATTTTCTCCATACATATCATAATTCGGCAAAACTTAACTCGGCTTGGCAGTTGTGTATCCAGTGCTAGCACGACAAGGTACTTGTGTGGTTGTGAAGCAAAGTTATTATTAGTCGCGCAACGTTTACTTATCGAAGATAGTGGATTCTCTTAGCTAAACCCTGTGTAGTTGATGCTCCGTCGTCAGTGACACCTACTTAAGAAAACTGCTTAGCAGATTGTTATGCGAGAGGCCACCTGAAGAGCGGGGACGTGTAGATACATATTGCGTGTTGTATTTTATGAGAGCGGCGACGCGGCTTCTCATCCAAAATATTGTCATTAATGCTCACTCGGCACATAACTTATCGCACTCACCTACCATGCTACGTGTTTGCACGCCGGTGAAATAGTCGGATAAAAATGAAAGTTAAAAATTGCAATGGTTTATCGATTTTTTATGCCGCTCGCTAAGCTTGTACCGTATTGTATGTAATTCGTCGTTTGGAGAAATGAAGATGCAGTATAAGATTTCTTACACGGTATAAATAAGATAAACACAGTTGTGTAAAACAAAAGATTAAAATAATAGATGCCTAATACAGTTTTCCATACAACATAATTTGGCTACAGGTACACAACATCCGACTGAAGATACGCACACAGAAGCTTCACTCATTTTGAGGTGGTTTAAATCGGTAGGCAAAACACGGCAATGCAAGGAAAAGCTGCGACCTCTGGCTGCGCTGAAAACTCTGCCTTTTAATCCAGGAAACGATCGAAAACTTGGCTGCTATTTTACTGTTTGATAATTTAATAAAGTAGTGTTATGGCGAATGCATGCCCTTGCGCAAGTAATAAATCAGTCATTAAAGAAAATTAATTTCCTTTACAGCACTAATCCTCATGTTTGTAGTCGAAGCTATATAGCTTTGACCACAAACAGGAGGATTAGTTAGCAAAGATATATCTTTGCGTTCCATTTGTTTATTTCGTCTATGTTTGCAGTTAGAGACGCCGATTCGCCACCAAAGACGCCGATCCAAACGCAGCCGGAAGTACAGTTGTACCGTACAACCACTCTGATTCAATTTAATTATGCTAACACTGGCAAAATGCCGGCATGTATATACGTTTATATATATGTGCGTAATACATGATCACGCACGCCATAAAGAAGCCCGCGAAATTTTAATTATAAGATACTCGTATTATGTAGCCGCAGGGACGTACATACATTTGCATTGGTCCGATAAATGGCAAAGATACAGTTACAATTAGTTACAATTAGATACAGTTACAATTAGATACAGTTACAACTTAACTCCGCTTGGCAGTTGTGTATCCAGTGCTAGCACGACAAGGTACTTGTGTGGTTGTCCGATAAATGACAGTTATTTTTTTATTGATTTTATTTTATTAACGGAAATAGCTTTCGATACGCCTGAAAATTCTTTTCATTAATTTTGAAAGTTTTATGCTTTTTTGGGTTGATTCTTTGAAAGAAAATTCGACCAACCTAGGAATCGAACCCAGGACAGACAGTTCTTAAGCCTAACGTACTACTACCAAGCTATACGCAACTAAGATTAAAATGTGAAATTGTTTTTATCGAACCATAGTTCAAGACTCCATCGACGGAGATATGATCAGCACACACGCACATAATTTATTGCAATGCAGAATATCGTACGGTATACTTGTATTGTACAATTTGTAGATTTCAGGGTGGAATGGCTCATGGTCAGGTAAACTCCAGGTCAGTTAATGATTATATAACAGGTGAATCCCATGAGTTCCATATTGGGAAACACGATGCAAAATGAGTGCGCACCATATGGGAAGCGGTTCACAAAACTGCTACCGCGGACACTATATCTTTCAAGTCACCGCTTTCATCAACATTAATCTATTACTGATCGTGAATATACCTGTGCAAAAATAGTATATATCAGTGAGTGGTGGTATCGAAACCGAAGGTACCAAGAACTTCCTAGCTACATCACTTTAACGGGCAAGTAGCCAACCGGGGCCTGAGTTAGCGGCCAGTAAAGCTGACCATAAGAAGAGCCGGCTTCCCTTCATTAACATGTCGCAAACGCGAAATGGTTAACAGAGAAAACAGATATGGTTAACAGAAAAACAGATGGGTTGGATGTGTACTAAAAAAAGCGTTCTCTCTCAGTCGGTGGTATTGTTAGGAAATGAAATGGCATTTAGCATGGATGCAGCTAAATCATCCAGAGAAAGATCGGTCGCATCCGTTCGAAGGAGCTGGGATAATCACATGTGGCCGCAGCACCGCGTGTAAAGCACTGTATGCGTATGGCGAACAGCAGAGAAGACAAGAGAGAAAGAGCGGGAACGCATGTCATTCAGTCTTCAGATTACGTACGTTTACTACGTTAACAGCAGCAACACTTAAAAGGTAAAACTTAATTTTTAAGCTCGGTTTTTTTGTGCTTCTCCAGGTACTAATTTTTTTATTTTTCGTCACATGAAATGTACGTATTGGTTTACAATACTAAGCGCTCATCGTTTCGACAAGTAAAAGACCGACAATGTATCCAAATAATGGAAACGCTTTTGGCGCATGGAATTATTCGATGATTTCGATCGCGAGCTGACCCAAGCTCCCGTCTTGAGTCCTTCAGTGACGTCAACAGGGGGGCATGGTCCAGCACAGAAACAAGAGCAAATTTATAACAGCTTAATAATGGCTTTACCGGATGAGAGCGATTACGTACTTTGTTTGTAAAAAAGACCAGGAAATGGCAGTTCCTTAAATGCAATTAAATCGCTAAGCGGAGTTATAGTGCAGTCCGTGCTTCACCAGAGTTTATCTCTCTTGTTTACTATTTTGCATTTTTGGACAAAGCCATGATTGTACTAAACATGGTGAGTGTGTGAGAAAACTTGTTAAACATGTCTACAATAATTATAATTCAAGAATTCCATTTAACCAATAGCTTGTTAGATGCACGTGATATAAACGCCAAGTTTAATACAAATATTCCGTGCCCAAATCTAATATGAAGTTGTTTGAACTACGTAAAAGAAGTGGAAGAGCAATTGCGAATGGGAATAATTACAGTAGTATTCCCGCATGCGCGATGGACCGTCATATTGATTCAATGAATACGAGAACGTCATCCCAGATCCGGCCGTTAGTACCACTTCCAGTGTGAACTTGAATATGACCACTTGCACTGTGGTGTGTAATCGGTTACCTTCTGTGTTCGACTCCGCGATCTGAACAGTAAAGCAACAAGAATGTTTGTAGAGTTTACTAAATTACTACTACCATTAAGAATAATCATAACCTTAATTACCACAGCTCTCTAAGAAACCATTAGTAGCAATTTACACTATACAGCAAGCTCTTACTTCTGCCATCATGCAGTGGATCTCTAGGTCAAGGAAGAGCAACATCCCGATGGAATGGATTAAGTCCCAGAGTTCCAAGTTTCCAAAAGTGCCAAAACGATTTATGCCGTTTCTGTCATCGCTGCGCTGCTTTTATATGGAATTTTTTGCCACAAATCCACTGACACCTCTAGCACTTATACCAAAAACTGGGGGTGTACTGTTCGTTTTCCGAACATTCTGGAAAAATCTAGCATGTAGACATTACCCGGGGACTTTTTTCCACCGTACGCCTGCCACTCCCGTTATTGTCGCATGTAGCCATCAAGTCGAAACCCATTAACCTTGTACGATTGCATTGGTTTAATACCTGGAACACGTGCAGTACCTACATATTATAGCTAACGCATTCCCACGATGCAAATTTATTTACACAAACCCGATTTTTTCACGGAGCAAAGCTTACCATTGTTAGTCCCGGATAAAATCTTGTTTGATGTCGGTAACCAATGGGATAACACTTTGGGATGAATGAACTGGCAGAGTCCAGATTACCCATTCCGATTTTCCGCATGGTTTTCGTTGGGAAGGTCCGCTACCCATGGGTTCACGCAGTTGATATCAGTGTGGCGCTTGCAGACCTGCGGTTACACTTCTCGACTGACAAGTAACCCCTGCTGCCAGAAAGTGACGTTTGGCAGCCTATTATAGCACACTGGAACAAGGTTCCGTAGGTCAAAGGTCACCATTATTCCTGTTGTTCTGTTTGGGAACAGTAAACTGGAAATGATCGAAAGTCATTGGAGCCGTTTGCGCTACAATGCATCACCACTAGGTCCGGCCACTGTGCATCCGGTGCCGGGCGCAGCATACGTTACGGAAAACATCGTGCAGTGCGTGTGACGTTGCCGTGCACCAGACTTTATAGTGCAACGTCTAACCTTCCACCGTGCTTAGTAATACCAAACGGAGACTGCGCTAAATGGCTCCAATTTGCATGTACGTACAAGTACTACGAGTAGTATATAAGTAAGAAAACGCGTTGTTATAATCTGCATGTGTTAGTAGTACGTACAACAGCGTCGCCATTGGTTAACTGTTGTAGATTTTATGTTTTAGGCGTACAGTAACTGCCTATTAATTACACGACGATTAATATTAAATATTAATCGTCGTGTAATTAATAGGCAGTTGTGGTAGCCCGGCGGTACTGCTGGGCAGCCGGTTGCGTTAAATGCGGTTCATTAACCGCACTGAATGTAACCGCATGTTCCGAGGCGAACAGTAGAAGTACCACCGAACCACAAAAACGTCGTTAATTTCCCGACGAACCAAAATCCGTCTGAACGGGCAAACAACTAACCGGGCCGACAAGCTGACGGCAAAATCTAAATCGGAAAAGTCATGTCAGTTTAGGACTGGCTTCTCTTTTTTGCCTGTGTAAGCTCTGTGCATTGCAACTGAAGTGTTGTTGCTTGTGGCAACCACCGAAGCCTTACAACAGTTTTGGTCGAACATAGGGTGTGCCTCTTGTGATCAACCAGAAGGCTTGAAAAGCACGTAAAATTCGCATAAGACATTTTATGGAACTCACGGACGGCCCGTGCCGAGAAAATGTTTTAGCTGAAAGAAAATGCGCTAGTCGAGAAAATTTTTGTGTATGAAATTTTTGTGCTCAAATTGCCGAAGAAAAAATTTTTGGGAGAAATTAGCTAAGAAAATTCTGCATTCTACGTAATTAAGACTGCTTATAACAACGGATCAATATTCCTGTTCAGTACTGTATCTGTATGGTATGCTGTAAGACGTTGTCTGTCTTATCTATCTAACTGCTCACTGCTGTATTCGATGTTCTACTTCGAATAACTGTTTTTAGAAATTAAATAATATAATTAAATAGTATTAACTTTCTAGTTACATATTTCTTTCAAAGAAGTTTTTTTTGTAAATTGTAATACTGGCAACCGAGCTTTTTGTTCAGCGGACATAATTTCGCCGAACCTTTGCGCACGCGGAAGCCTCTAAAAAGATTTGAAATACCAAAAATGTTTTCGAATTTCAACCATGGTTTAGTGCAATTTTTTTTCATTGCGAAACCCTACTCGTACTCGTAGTAAAAGCTGAATAATAATCCGGCGCATGTACGCAGCTGTACATGGAAACTGGCGAACACTAAATTTTTTAAGCCCATAACGCCGCACATGTTGCCCATACTTAACCGTTCATTAACTGCATGCAGAGCGTGTATACAGTTATTAAATTTTACTAGGTCGTAGACATTAGCCAGCGTTATAATTCATGATTGAAATTTAATTATAATTCTACGAAAAATACGGGTGCAATCGCAGCAGATATTCTTCCCGTACAAAATTTTAGTGTTTGCATTGAATGATTTACAATCTTTGATACCAGCGTTTGGCAACAACCTGAGCGACTTTGAATGTCTTAACTAATTCGTCACCATCGACATGCCAAATATCCACAATGGTCTTATTGTATCCCGGCATCGTGACGTCCATGGTCAGATCCGTGCTCGCTTGTTCGGTATATTTGAACTGCAAAAACGTAAACTGATGCCAGATTTTTCTATAGTATAAAACTGCGCTAGTGGCTGATATCCCCATATTACTCGTCGGCAATAAGACAAAATATTAGTGCGCGGGACGCAAATGCTCGTATTTAAAAACCACGTAATCTTTACGCAGAACACAAGATGATGCTCCGATCCACGCAAATTAATCCATCAAACGAAATACATAGTATAGCTATTCCCTAACTTGTAATCCAGATTATTGAAATTTACGTTAATAAATAAAGTAACTTATTTGAGAAGTGATATTGTTGATCGTATCCAGTTTTGCACATAAATAAAAAAAATTATAGCATGAAAGTGCCAAAACTTCCACATATTTACCGTGAATTCAGTGCCGTTGTAAGAAGATTTGCCCTCTTCGCCCAACTTAAAACATATATGCTTCTTATAGTTGACTTCCGGAGCGGCAATTTTATGGTGGAATTTATCGCCTTCTTTCCATAGCTCGTGAGTGGTTGCCGGATCGTGGACGTCGTGATTCGGCAGACCTAACATTACGGGAAAATGTCATTTGCCGATGGTGTTCTTCAATACGAAAGGCGAAAGCACGAATGTTTTTCCATTACGAAAACACGAATATAATGTTCGAACATTGTTTCGCCATACCTAAAGCTTTCATGAAATCTTCAAAATGCTCCTGTCGTCCCGTTGATTTCCATTTTCCAATCCATAGATGCTCGTTGTCCTTGGCGATGGTGGCCGGACTGGGGTGATCCTCCGCCGAAACCGCGGCGATAATCACTATACACAGAACAGCGGTTATTTATTCGTCATGGAGAAATTACTACAATGGTGATATTTTGTGTACAACGATGTTCTCCATAATTGCAAATACTTTAGAAAAGTAACGCCTCTACGCAGTACTGGGCTATTAGCAACAGAATAATGGAGGATAAAAAATTACCGAGTGCGAAAATGAAAGCTGCGTTCATTGTGAACGATAAAAAGTTAAATTCCGGGTAATTAATCCAAAGGGTTGCTTAGTATTTTTTATAATTATTACGAACACCCCTGTGCGTATCAAAAGACTGTAATATGGGATACTGCGTATAAATTTTTCTGCTTTGCCGGCTACCATATTATTTATTACAAGCATTTGGCCCAGGAACCCGTGACCTTTGCTCTGCTCTAATCAGATCATCCGATCGGCTGTAAGATATATTTTACCCTAGTTATTTGAGTTCCTAAAGTTTACAAGCATTGACAACTACAAAAAATTCTATTTCCGCGGCGTGTTTTAAACCGGCCAGTTCATTTTATTTTTACCGACGCATTTCTGGTTTATCGCTTCTTCTGATCGTCTGAGCTGTCTAACGTGTACTCGTATCCCCGTAATAAGTACATTTGCACACGAAAAGGATTTCTAATATCTAGATGTATGTTATGGTACGAGAACTGATACATAATTAACGCAAAGTAAACAAGCGGTTATGGTCATGCATTTCACGCACACTGGTAGTCCACAATTACGATAAAACTTATCAGCAGCTTTCTGACATTAGGAGCGTTGTATAATTAAAATTAGCTCGTTATTATTTTAATAACATGGAACAAATCAGGTATTGGATGGCTTAGACGTGGCTTTCGCAAACCATCGCTTGGCTTCCACGTTGTCCACTTTGTAAGTTTTAACGAGCTGCTCGCCTTCCACATGGTAGGTGTCATGCACTACTTTGTCCTTAGCCGGCACTTTCACTTCCACGTGCAAATCTTTGTTTTCCTCCGTGTACTTATACTGCAAACAAAAAAAAAGATAAAATTAGTGATGTAAATTAAGCATCCGTATGTAAAGTACATATTTATTGCACTTGTACAACATGAAAATGATCTAAGTTGCAGATTGCCTTTTTGTATTCAACTACTCTACGGTATTTTGGAAACATCGCTGTTTGCACAAAGTATGTCTTTACAGGTGCCCCGAAAAAAGGTTGAACCCTGATTTATTTAAGTTAGTTCGATTATGGCGGTTTTGTAAATTTCTTGTGCTGTACTTACTACTTAATTATGGGATACAGAACAACTAGAATATGGCTTAAGGATAAGATTAATACGTAATTTTAAATTTTGTCATTAATAACAATGCAATCTTTGGATGCTGAATCACTGACTATCCCTACACGCGCTAGCTTCCGGTGGTTGTCAACGAATTTTGATATATACCTTGAATTCGGTGTTGTTCCACGTAAGGGTTCCTTCCTCTCCTAGTTTGAATTCCACAAATTTCTTGAAGTCTTTTTCTGTGACCGCAATGCCGTGATGGAAATGGTCATCTTCCTTCCAGAATTTATGGTATACCTTGTTGTCGGCTCCGTAATGCGCCAAACCTTTGAATACGCTTTGATGTCGTGATTTAACAGACACAATATATGATATACATATAATTATACCTATATATAACTACGAGTATATTTTTTTATAGTGTACAATACCGTAGCGTACAATAGTTTTTTATAGTGTACAATATTGTACGGTATGTACCAAGATGTTTGATAAAGTTTTCAAAATTTTCATGGCGACCGTCAATGGATTCCCATCTGCCGATCCACGGATGCGCAGGATCAGCAGCAATATCTTTGGGATCGTTTTGCCCATGGCCAATAACACACGCAATCAGGCCTGCAAAGTTGAATAAATAAGAACGGCAACGTGCACCTTCAAATGATCCGCGATTTTGCATACTTTATTGGTGAAAAGCGAAGTTCCTAATGGAAATCTGATCCATCTGTATATACGTACTCGTAAATCCAATGGCACAGCACAAAACCCCACAATGAATACTTCTTAGACCGCAACTACAGATACAAAATATCCTCGCACATTTATGCCAGAAGATCGAATAAAATTAATACTGGTATCGAAAACAGTTTTATTAATGTAAGAAATGTAACATGATCGCATCTTGCGCTCTTACCAGCCTTCATTTTATGCACGCTGCGCACAACTTTGCGTCTCAACAACTCAATTATTTATATATACGTACTTAACATACATAATATTACATAAATAAAGCAAAAAGTAAAAAAATAAAGAAAATAAAATTAATTTTTATTCGGCTTTATTATAGGTGTATGGTGTACATACTTCGAACAATAATCACCATTGTATGCCTGTACCTTGAGTTAACAAGTTTCCCGCTAAAGAAACATATACTCACTGCCCTTTGTAGCTTCTGTATTATGCAAAAATAAGCGTAATTTCAAAACCCTTCACATCGTATAACAAGCAAGCCTTACCGAATATTATAGCGAAAGTACCGTACATCTTCGATCTGAATCAGGGTGGTATTGTATCAAATATCAATAAATGTTCAATCCGTGGATGTGCTACAAAGACTTTTCTGAAATATAAATCCTTCTACAGCTAGAGTAGTACTCGTAGGGATTCACGGCAGTCGTATATACGTTTTTAAAATTGTGCCGGGTAATTCACAAGGTAACTCTATGATCTTTTCTCCCCGTAATCAAATGTTACATCGTCTAAAAAAGCAAGACAGAGACCAAATTCAACTTAAGGTTTAAAGGTCAGTCGTGCATAAATTACCAGTTAAGTACATATGGCTAAAGATTTTTCACGGAAGTGCATTCTTGTAAATATTCCATTTTTCATGTACTGTTAATGAAATTGCTTTACCTTATATATATGCGAAAATCAGGAGTGTTAAATAATAGTAAGCAACTTTTGTTAATTTTTATTTATTTGTTCTCACATGCGTTATTTTGTATCGTATATCCTTATTATAAATATTAAAGATGTACAAAAATTTGTGCGTAGACGAATTGCATGTGTTAACTGCTTTGACCTGCCGTTGCGCATTTTTTACGAAATATTCGCAGTATATGAACGGGATTTAAGAATGTTGATTAATGAGGTGCCATTATTAAAATGGACTAGGTTAACCGCTAAGTCCTCTGCATCTGTATTACCTATATGACATAGTCCATCTGGAATTACTGATTGGCATTCTTAGTGCTAATATCTTAAAGTTATAAATGTAGGTAATAGTGAGATATAATAATATACAGTACGTGCAAATTGCAATTAGAGTATACTACTCTAATGGTACATAAGTACAATACATAATTGGCTGTTCCAGGATCCGGATTGTGTTCCAGTTATTTGAAAATATATAAGCACTTGCGCAAACCGTTGAAAAATTACAATCAGTACTTCTACCTCTTATAAAACTCTTACAAATAGTTAGTAGCGGTACAATCACTTGTACAAAAACGGAATGATTTAGGAAAGTTTTCTCTTGCCTGATATTTTTGCGTACAGAGTATAACTGCGTTTTAGAGTATCTTCAAATAGCAGGAATTCAGATAACGTTGCCACTTCTCTGTTCAAAAACATTAACCGCTTAAATAGAATTTTGACGAAATTGCATTTGAGTTGTTTGATTTGATTTGTGATGATATATTTTGCGAGTAGCCAAGCCCGTAAACGTGCACTCTCACATATTCTTATTCTAAATTTGTAAATTTGATTGTTGTATCCCAAATTTTTGCACATAAAAAATTTACTTTGGAGAAGACGCAATGTTATTTAGAATTTCGCACATCATCATAAGTATTTCTGACCAACTACATGTATGAATACACATAAAAATGCCTTTCTACAATAATTTCACAAGTTATTCTCATCACAAAAGAAAAGCCGGAACCTATGTATTTTGCCCTTCTTGTGGTGACTGGCGAGATTGCAGTAAGCGTTAAGGCAGTAACCATTAGCGTAGCTTCTCATAATTTCCTTGTTATTTTATTTTTGAAACAATATTTCAATTCCGTTGTTCTTTGGGATTCATATACCGTCACAGATTTGTGGCTCTGGACAAAAAAATTGTTCTCTGTTTTTAAATCATCGGACTGGCGTTATTCTCATATAACTTTACACATAATTCCAGCAAAACATCAAAACAAATTTACAGAGCTAGTACGAGAAAGAAATGCATAGTTGAGAAACCGAGACTGTGCCATAATGGATTTAGGCATTGGCTGGTTTGGAAACGGCCTTCTTGAACCATTTCTTGGCCTTGACATCGCCGACGGTGTAGGATTTGACCAGCTCTTCGCCTTCCACATGGTACACGTCGTGGATGGTGACGCCCTTGGCGGGGATTTTAACGTCGACATGCAGATCCTTGTCTTTCTCAGAGTAAGTAATCTGCAATATTATAGCCCATGTTTAAAAGCCTGCTGCTTGGTACTGTCTTTATAGTAGGAATTCAGATGTATTAAATTAGCTTTATAACCGATTATTCGGTCATGTTATGGTAATTTATCAACGTTAATCCATCGTAAAATGCTAGAGGAACCAGTATATGCAAAATAATGTAGAACTCTAAACTACAGCAAACTGTTTTTCAGAGCTTTACACGCTGAGCTGTATACCTGGGGTTACTGTACAAAATAAGCGCATTACTTAACATGTTTTTGCTTACTTTGAATTCGGTGTTGTTGAAGGTCAGACTCTGCTCTTCGCCGAACTTGAACTGGACGAACTTCTTCAGCTGCTTGTCAGGAACAGCCAGACCGTGATGGAAGTGATCTCCCTCTTTCCAGAGTTTATGGTAGACTTTTTGGTTTCCGCCATATTGAGGAGCATCTAATCAACAGCAAGGAAAATGGATAACAAATCAATGTTATAATTGTACTGCTTCAGCATAACCCGGCAAAATAACAGGTTAAAGGAAGTATAAACGATTCAAATTAAAATTAATAATAGTACTATTTCCCAATACTGCTTTTGGAATCGTTAATCGCCAATCATAAGATTGTTAATTAACGTATCAACATCATTACGTACAATATCTGCATGTGACTATGCATTGGCATATAATGAGTACGCAGTACGCAGCAGTACCAGTACATAACAGTACGCAGAAACATAAAAGGTCACGCTTACTGTATTATGCTAAGTAAGTTTAAGAGCAGTCAAATAAAATGAATTATAGTTAAAAAATATATAAATATGTTAAAAATATCTGATTATAATGGTGGATGTATTTTCAAATATTGTCATGATACAGTTATCCTGAATGCCATACCGAGTTTGGCAACGAGGTTGTCGAAGTTCTCCTGACGTCCGTCGATCGATTCCCATTTGCCGATCCATGGGTGCTCTGGATCCGGGGCAATTTCTTTGGGGTCGTTGCCGTGCGCTTCATGGTGGTCAGCGACAACGAAGGCCGCCAAACCTGCAACACAGCACAACACATTAAGACACGCGCTACAACTAACTTCAGATATCGTAAAATTCTGAGACACAATGATTTAATGAAATATTATCGTAAAATCTCGGCTGATCAATTCTAAAAAAACTATTATTAAATTACTGGTATTAAAAAAATAGCAAACGAAACAATATTTCTGCAACCAAAAATGGTCTAAGATATATAGATCCGGCTATAGGTCTTTAAATTATAAAAAAAATTTATCGTTGGAAAAATGTACGAAATGTCAAAGTCAATATAAGGAGTGGAGCAGTATGTAATACAAGATAGACTCACCCAGGATTATAACAGCGAGGTAAGACATTGTGCACAGCGAAGGAACGTCAAAGAAAACTAGACAACCTTTTACAAGACTATCACAGCGGTAATTTGACGGCGGGACAGCAGCCGGTCTTTTATAGGTAAAAAATTTAGGCTAACCTGTCTAGATGGTGCAGATCATGCGTTCCACTTCGGGTGTCCTTTCGCACCAGGGCTTATCGAGCAGCGGAAATCGTGAGAGGAATTTGGCGAAAACATCCATTTTTTGCAAATCAATCGAGGCAACCGATCCAAGGTTGAACTGCAGCAGAAGCAATGATAAGCCCCGCTCCAGCAATTGTAGCATGGCCACCATGGTCGATCATCACGGAAAAATGCGTGATCACAAATCGCGATTGTCGGGGTGCAAAGGACACTATCGTTGTAAATAAACAAGAAGAAAAAGAATAATCAAGGCTCAACGCCCTCCTGCCAAACTTAAATAATTTTTTCGTACTTTTCGTTTTGTTCTTGCCGGAAAATCAGCATTATTATTATCATAATTGTAATATTATCAGCAGAACGAAGATTACCGCTTCTAAGAGCCTGGTGTAAAGCTGCGTAGGAGAGCGATGTTTCTGTAGTCTATAGGGTTACCTGATTATGCTTTTTATACAATTTTGCATTTTCTGTTTTTAAAAAAACCGCAAGATTTATTGGAAGTAAAATTGACCCTTTCGAGGCCGGTTTTGTCTAAGTAAAAGATTCCAAAAAGTGCTTGTGATGTGTACGTTTATAACATGGTTTGCAAGAGTACTCGTATCAATGGGGAAAAGGTAAACGATTTAATGTACTCCACTTTTTAAACTGATTGCTAACCAGCTTACTATAGCTGCAAATCCCAGCACGGCAGTAATAAATTTGAAAATACTGTACTCGTACCCTCGTTTTGAAACGTATGTTTTTTAAGCTTGTCTGATATCAAGTGACCAGAGTAGTTTTAATTTGCGAGTAAGTGCTGAATGGAGAAAGTTTTCGAGTGAAAAATTTACGCAGCCCTAGCTACGCAACGACTAAATTTGAGGAAAATTGTAAATAATTTAAATCTTTACTTTAATCAAATTATGTACATTGGCGAGCTTCGCTCAATAAAAACTTTTTTTCTCAAATTATTGTGCTTGGGAATTTACAACGTAAGATAACTTGAGTAAGTTTGTCTGTAGCATCGTGTGTAGTGTCTAGTAAAAAATGTTTGTATCGTCTTTTCCTAACCTTGGACTGAAATATGCGTACTCTAGCTGTGGAAGTTGGAAATATTATAGGCCGGCTGGAATAGCGTTACGCCGTACGCGTAGTTTTTATCAGGCGGTCCCATCGAACGAGAAGCTTATTTTGAACTTCCGGGATAGCTAATGTATATCCACAGCTATCACTGAAATACGGATGAGAAAACATTTCCTGACTTCCAAAGTTTCATCGGATTACGCACGAGTCCTCCTTGTACAAGCATAGACAGCGAGCAAATAACATTGCTAATATAGCGGATAATTACTCCAACCTGCTTCTCGTATATGGAACTGCATTATGCCCAAAAAAAAAGAACCATTAAGAACAAATAGGCCTTCAGCATTAAAATTGACAAACTGTGCCGTCTGTGCGCTTAATTTAATTACATTAAAACTCATATATGCTGAATGCCTAACTAAAAGACGATGAATATACAAACTGTACAAACCCAGCTACGTGTTACTTTTTTACAATTTTAGTTAGCGTAAGTGATATGCGAAATGGGTTTACTACGTTCACACACTTTTTAATTGCTAGAATTTGTGTTCAAATGGAGAATTATTGTTTTGAATTGTGTATTGTTCGTTTTTCCTCCTCTTCTGTTTTTGAACGCAAAAAAATGTCGGCCGGAAAATGAAAAAGAATAAAAAATATTTATATTTATAAATACATTTGCAGTTGTTACAGCACGGCAAAAACGTGTAACGAGGACTACCGCAGATTATTGTTTCACTGGCTGCTTGTGCAGTTGGTACATGTACATACAGTACAATCATACAAGTAACAAAAAATAATATGAATTAACAACTGCAAATATGCAGATTTGTCTTGCCCAGCTGTTGTACAATTAAGGAGATTTCACTGGACTTGGCGATGTTCTCCGGAACCACCGCTTGGCTTCCCATGTGCCTCTTGTAAATGTTTTCACCAGTTCATCGCCCACCACATGATACTTGTCATGAAATTTGCTATTTTTCTTTGGTACATTCACTGTAGCGTGTAAATCACCATTTTCCTCGGTATATGTAAACTGCAACGAAACACAGCATTTATAATTATGTATACTAAAATATACATACAGATAGCTCATTATTCCATTTGCAAATTAATTAAACCGATAACCAACAGATCTGTAAACTTCTCAGTCCTTGCGGGATTAATTATGCTTCTGATGGGATACTTCTGATGATATATATTTCAACGAATCCCTGCATAAGAATTCGAAAGCGGCTATGGTTCTGCTGCCTTAGTGAGGATAAAAGAACTACAAGATTAATTTGTGTATACCCGATATTCTGTGCCGTTAACATTGAGTGTTGCTTCTTGTCCCAACGTAAACTGGAATACGGCTTGAAAATTCCGCTCGGGAACAGCCACCGCATGATGAAACTGGCCACCTTCCTTCCACAGATGCCGGTACACTCTCACATTGCCGCCTTCGATATAGTGCGGAGCATCTAGCGTAACCATGCGGAATTCATAATTAATTCATTACACAAGGCCCGGCTTGCGCGTGGATAAAAAACAACGTACTTATAATTATCGCTAGGGCTGTGCAAGTACATGTATAAGAAAAAAATAAAACAAAATCGACAGCAGCCATTACACCTACGTACATATCTGTAGTACATACTCAGGTCCTTCAACTGGTCGTCGCTGGTGGTAAATCGTCCATCCACTGATTCCCAGCTGCCAATCCACAAATGATCAGGATCCGGTTGGATGGCCTTGGGAATAGTCTGTCCTTCAATATGGGCACAACAGCACACTGTTAACCCTGTACAAAAAAAACCAATTTACTAGGTTAATTCTGAATTTCTCAGTTACAGACGCGTCTGCAAAATCTGTTGCAAGGAGATAAATGCGCTGAAAGGGACGTAAACATGAATTGCATAAAATGCCACTGGCGACCGGAAGACATTATGTGAAGTACCAAGAAAACACAGCCAACGTTACCTATGAGAATAGCCTTTCTCGCAGAGGACATCTTGTGGAAAGTTCTTTAAGGGATCTGGTGTCAGTAACTAAGAATTTTTCCACTCCGCAACATGGGAAACTGGGAATACTTACCGGGTCGTTAGTGGTGATGCGTATCAGTATCAGCCGTGTGAATCGCTAGGAGTATTGCATAAGAATGTTCAATTAATGCCGAACGACTCGCAGGAAAAGCTTAGCACGACATTTTATCAGGTCGATCTATTTAGCTACCATGCAATCTTCAAAGTCGGCAGCTTGACTTCCGTATATTGGTCTCATAGCCAGTAACAAGTTTAATTGCAACGAAATTATTAACAAGCTTTTATTCATAAGCTTATAAAGTAAGTAAACAAACACCAAAATTTACTATTTTGAACGAGACTATTGCGAATTTTACTGTTGACGAATTTTACTATTGCTGCGGGGTGTGGAATAAAAGAGTATACGTACCTGTATAAAATTAATTACAGTATCATATTATGATTGTACGTTGCAACTCATGCTACATAGTTGTGCATTAAGCGCTCTAAGCCAGAATCCCAGATAACGTTGTGTTATCACAATACGTATCCTACAGAAAATAACTTTTTCTGGGTTCAAAGCGAAATGGGCGGACGGCTACCAGTCCGCAATAGCGCACCAGAAGCAATTAAAGGCCATTGCTATCATCAAAGAACTGGGAAAGAGATTACGGCTTCATTCCGGAGAAGCCCGCTCACATGAATTTCTTCGACAGCGGCTGTCTTTAGAGATACAGCGTGGTAATGCGGTTTCTGTCATGGGCACTGTGGAGAAATGTGAAATGTTTAATGACCTTTGGTTCTCCTAAATTCGTTTAAACACATGTATAGTAATGGTTTGAATTAAAGATGGCAAAGACATTCCGCCACCAACAGGCTTCTGTTATGGCCGGTTCACAGAGTCCATACTGTCATTGGCAGCGTGTCCATTGTTTTCTAAGTGACTGTGATCATCGTGTCTTGGCGGTGACTCCGTTCTCCTGAACCACCGTCTAGCCTGTAGTGTCGTCCGGGTATACGTCTTCAGCAGCTCGTCTCCATGTACTTCAAAAACATCCGTGAATGTAATGTTGCGGTTAGGGACTTGTAAGGCTCCATGGAGGATCTTGTCGTTTTCGTTGTAGACGTACTGCATACACACGGCAATATTAAACTCCGACACTTATTATGTGCAGCGAAACAAAAAATTAGTAGCATCAATGCCTAACTCGAGCTTCACAACCAAGTTAAGAGTTTAACCTTTCTTTCGCCAATTACGAACTAATTTTGCATGATTACCTGATAAGTAATACCGTCAATGGTTACCGTTCCTGGTTGTCCTAATGCAAATCTGAACACCTCTCGCACGTTATCATCAGGAACAAGTAGACCGCTGCAGAAATACTCCTCTTCTTTCCAAAATTCCCGGTAGGTTTTTACATTGCTCCCAGCATCGGTAATGCGCGGGTCGGTCACTGTAATATGCATCTAGTAAGGTTTGTGAGACCGTTTTAACTTACCTTTGCGTCGCCATGTACGATGTGCAATAATTACAGTCAATACACAATATTAATTAATGATTTACTTGTACACATACAACAATATTACATCGCCAGTGCATCGCCCAGATAATACAATGTCATATAAAATTAAGAAAACGTACGCACACAACATAAAATTATTGTGTTATTGAAAATATTTTCCAAATTTTCGGGTGTTTACTGTTGACGTTAGGATTGGTGTCGATATTCTGGTACCGCCCATCGATGGATTCCCAGCTGCCGATCCATGGATGGTTCGGATCTAACTGAGGCTCTCTCGGGTACTGACACTCGGTTCCCAACACACACGATACTCCTGGAACATTTGGCAGTTTACGGATTATGGGGTCTAATTTCAATGCATTTTTATCAGGTTTTGGGTACCTTTCACCGCTTTTTAAGGAAAAATATCGCAGAAAAAAAAAACTTAAGCGTGGCATTTCTTAGTTTGCATTCGTGTACATTACGTATTTTGAAATACAATGTATTAACGGTCAGTTTTTCCAGACATAGATTTGAAGGATTCTCCAAACCAATACAAGCTGAAAATCATATTGGCACGGAAAATTACCTAAGGCGGAACAAAGAATGACAATAATCATCATCTAACAAATGGTAAAAAAATTAGCCAAAAAACTGGACCGTAAAGTAAAGGAAACTAAAAAAAATTACTTGAAATAGCTGTATTCTAAGTTCTTAATTGTGGAAAGCACCAAGGAAGTTATTTCGGCTGGCGTTTCTGCAGTTACTTAATGACAGAACCGTTAACTTGGCTTTCCTATCAGATACAGACGACTTTTCCTTTGCGGTTTCACTTACTAATAATCCCTAGATCTTTTACCATAATACGAGTATATACCTAATCTCCTATCGTATTACTGCTGGCAGCGCCGTTCAAGTAAGCATGACCAACATTAGATTATGGGAGATCATAGTTGTACCACGCAAAACGGTAGCATCCAACAGGATTACAATTAAAACCAAATTTGGAGCTATCGCATGTAGGCGAGCGATTAAGGCGTTGCACAATTCGCAAAACTCATTTGTTTTGCAATATTTCAGTAAAATTTTAACGGTATCGTCGTAATACAGTAGAAACCACAACTTTATTAAAAAGCTTTACACCACGTCAGGAAGATCAAAGCAAAATCTTAGTTAGTTCCATTACTTATTTTTGGCAAGTTGTGAAATTATTCCAGCACGATGCAGTAAAACGAAAACCTTTATGAAGGCGTCTACATTATAGCACTGCGCATTTAAGAAAGGTCAAGGTCATCCGCTTGCGGTAGATGCCTTAATGGCTGAGCGTTACAGCATCAAAGTCCACTTCATAGGCATTGGTAAATCGATAATGACTGTGCAAATTACTTTTCAAGTGTACCAGTACATTAATTACAGTAAACTCTCCTGACCAGACCGACAGGCATATCAAGCAACAAGATCGTAACCGTAATACATCAAGATCGTGTTTGTTGACTTTTCGCTAAATAACAGATACGAGAGCCGGCATGTAATATGTATTCAACTTAAGAGTCTTATAAAAAGCATCAAATCTTACAAAAAGCATCAAATCTCACAAGCATTGCTGCGCATGTATTCATTACGTGTACCGACAAAAAGACATGCGTGAATTATTCAAATCGTTGTAAAGAATCAGCAGCATGTTTGCGTGAAATGCTTTGACGTAATATTGTACAGAGAAACAAACACAGCAACTATAATTACACCATCTAATTATGTTCAGTATGTTGTACCAAAGGCCACAAATTTATGCGCTGGCTGCCGTGGTAGCCTGGTCGTGGCTTTTGCGCTTGTACCACCGTTTGGCCTGCACATCGCCGACTTTGTACGTCTTGACCAGCTCATCGCCCTCCACATGGTATAAGTCGGTGATGACCTTATTATGTGTCAGCAAGTTAATTTCCGCATGGAGATCTTTGCCCTCTTCGGTATATTTGTACTGTGCAAAAGAAACCCGTATTAATTAAATATGCGATGACTCTGAAGGCTCTTGTAATTACATTATATTGGCCGCACTGTTATTCAAATAGCCAACTATTATGAAAATTATTAAAATTATTATGAAGATTATTATCGTAAAATTATAAAGGTTGTGAAATTTTCATAATTATAAAAATTATTCTAAGACAAATTGCCTTTTATTTCTCGCTGACCTTATGGACACATCGGTTCACATACAAACTGCTTACCTTGAAATTCGTGTTGTTGAAGCTGCCGGTGCCCTCCTCGCCCAGTTTAAACTCAACGTCCAATTTGTAGTTCTTTTCCGGAACTTTGATACGATGATGATAGTGATCACCTTCTTTCCACAGTTTATGCCAGACTTTGTGCTCGGCCGTGTAATGGGCAAAACCTAAACATAATTCAGACATGGAAAATTCTTAGTTTATTTAAAGAACTCAATTTTTACAGTAAAGTATTGGAGATGTAGTAATTTTCACTAAATTCAGAAACCATTGTTTCCTAAACCCGCAGTACAATACACCAGGAAGTTCACTGTGAGCAGATACTTGTACATACACACCTCAAATTCTCAGAGAAAAATCGTTTGATGCAAATTACAAAAAAAAACCAGAAGTAGAAGTATGTAACAATTTACACCGCAAACGCATTGTGCATACTGCCACAATAGTGTTTTTGTCCTTGCAGTATGTGCGTTTATTAATTATGAGATGCCGTTACTGGTGAATTTCATTGTGCTACAGTACGGTATATGCAAAAAACTTACCTAAGGCGTTAATAAAGTTAGCAAAGTTTTCCTGGCGTCCATCGATGGATTCCCATTTGCCAATCCACGGATGGTCGGCATCGGCAGCAATCTCATTTTGCTCCTTATGTTCGCCTTCAGCGGGTCGGCCCGACACCGCTGCCACCAGTGCTGCCAACCAATACAACGGTTAAAATGATTAAAATTTAATTTGAACTTTATAGTAATATTTTACGGCGCAAATTGATTGAGATTTAACCACCGCAAACGAAATATTAACTAATATAATTCTGGATGGAATAATTTGACGGAAATCGTACTAAGCATGACAAATTTGCAAATAATAATAATGTTAAAATGCATACTAAATAAATTGCGACATACCGATCAGAAGGAAGGCTTTAAAGGTCATTTCCACAAAGACTGTTTAATATTTTGAAACAAATTAATTCTACGATCCGCAGCATTGCGGATGGGTTTTATACTGCGGAAGAAAGATGGCTGTTGCGTGATAAAATTCTCAACAACAAACAGTGCTGGGAATGGTGTTACGTGCACGTTGCAGCATATCTGTCGCTATGTGTATACAGTTCGGACTACGGATGACAGGGACTTATCGGTAGCTCTGCCATTATCAAAAGCAGATCAAGAAAAACAAAGTCGCTACCACGATGAACATTGCCGACAGTATTCGTTTGGTTATCGTGTATAGACTTTGGCAATGCTAAGATAATTTTTAATTTAAATTTAAAATTACAGTTTTATTACGAAGTATCTTTAACAAATTAATGCTTGAACTAGTGTAGTGACCTTCGATCGTGAGGGTTCTACTCGTGCGACGATAAACTGTTTTCATTGTCACCGGCAAGGTTTTTTCGAAAAGTGGCTGGTGAAAGAAAGTGCGGTAATATTAGGGATACTTGACCAGGTCGCGCTAAATGAATGAGCGTATATGATATATGGTATATTTGTATATGGTACTCGTATATTTAAAACGGTCTTCTACGGAAACTTTTGAGAAACGCTAGAATCAGAATGGTATCTGCATAAGGCTGTACGAGTACTCGAGTACCGGTTAGCAGAGTAAAAAATTACTCGAATACCAGTTTCCTAACGCTTTTATAAGCATATGTGGTTGTTATTATTCGGTTACTCCTGGCATACTGCGGCAATACGAGTACTGTAACTAATTGATGTGAACGATGAATAATAATTATTTCCAGCCGATTATCTTAATTATTACCAGCCGATTCTCGTTGCGCCTGAAATCAGCCTTGGGCTTCGTGGGTGCAGGACCGGTGTGCACGCTGTAGGGCTATCGCCTGCCACCGTTTACTAGTTAGGCCAAATTCGTTTTCGCTAGCTCCTCATGTGTATCAGAAGTTATGATCCTGATAACGTTAGCGTTGCAAAAGTTAATTAATTAAGTTTCCAGTCCGTTTCCTTAAGTCCTTGGGGTTATAGTGGCTTCTTCTCTCTTCCTCATAACTCTTTGAATTATAGTGGACTTCGATTAATGTCCGCTGCACAGCGGTTACGGAATGCTTCATAAAAAGAATTAAAGCGGTACAGTGTACCAGTCTGTTGTTACACGACCAAGGCGTGCCGGCAGTTAGGTTTAAGGCCACTTGGCGGCATTCTTTCTCTTGGAACATGATTGCATTTCAAATGCAGCTACCGAGAAAACTTTTACATTTGTGGATAGTGGTGTGTTGTTGTGTAAGTGGGTGTTTTAGCGAGATCCCCAGCCTACCACGCTGCCCCCACTGGACCTGGACGCCTTGAAACCATGCATTTGCGACAACCCAAGCGTGCGCGATTTGCGCATTTCCTGTCCCGGCGTCAACCTGCCACAACTAGCCAGACGCCTGCAGTTGCTGCAGGGCACCCGCATCGCCGTCTTCGAGGTGCGCGCCGGCGTCATCCCGGTGTGGGACGCCAACCTGGTCGGCAACATCACGCTGCTGGAGATGACGTTCGCTAACAGCCAACTGCGCAACGTCGGCACGCGCATCCTCGACACCTCCGCCGACCAGGTCATCCGTCTGGCCCTTCCCTTTAACCTCCTGGAGGAGGTTCCGTCCGCGGTGGGGACCTTCCCGGCACTGCGCGGCCTCGATTTGTCGTATAACCGCATAGCCAGCGTTCCCCGCGACCTCCTGCGGGTTCTGGTGTCCCTCCAAGATGTTAATTTAGCCGGCAACCTCCTGCCCAATGTCGACACCGGCGCCTTCGACGGTCTCTTCGCCCTGAGGGAGCTCAACCTGGGCGCAAACCTGCTGCAGCATATACCCGCCTTGGGCTTCGGCTACCAGCACGGCTTGCAGGTCCTCAACGTCAGCGGCAACAATATCAGCGCAGTTTCCGGCACAGATTTGCAGAATTTGACAAATCTCTACGTCCTGGACTTAAGCTTTAACCGCCTCGACAGCGTGGACAGTGGGGCGTTCCGCGCCAATCTGAAACTCATCTATTTATTCCTGGACCACAACCATCTGACCTCCCTTCCCGCCGGCCTCTTCCCCATGGGAATGGCCGTGCAGAATCTGACTTTATCGCACAACCGCCTCACCACTTTCCCGTCCGACACCTGCCAGGGTCTCTCCAACTTGGTCGGCCTCGTCGTCAGCCACAACGCCCTGACGGAGGTTCCGGCGCGGCTGGTCACCAACAGCTCCCGCATCGCCGCCATCGATTTCTCCTTCAACCCGGCACTGAACGTCATCCGCAGTCAGGCGCTGGACGGTCAAAAACACCTAAACAGTCTCTCCTTCAGTTTCTGCAACCTGACCACCATCGAGGCCGGCGGTCTGGGCGACCTGCAAGAAGTGACGGCGTTGCACCTGGACAACAACAATCTATCGCAAATAAAGGCCGCCAGTCTGGGCTTCTTGCCGTCCGTGCAGCATCTGCAGTTGAGTTACAACAACATCTTCCAGCTGAAGCTGATGGAGATCTCAGGGTTGCTGGGCCTGATGTCGCTCAACCTGTCTCATAATTTTATCAGGACGGTGTCACCAGACGAGATGCCAAAATTACCCATGTTGATGACGTTGGATCTCAGTTATAACGGCCTGGTGGAGGTCATGCCCGGCAGTTTCAAAGATTACTTAGCGCTGCAGCGATTGTACCTCCACAACAACCTTCTCGAGGCGGTCAACTCCTCCACTTTCGGCAGCATGTACAGCCTCCTTGAAGTGGATCTCAGTAAGGCGACCATTGTTTTTTATATCTCTTTAACTTTCCTGGTATTATTTTTATTATTAGTGACCAGTGTCTCCAGTGTGTGTGTGTGTTTATTTATTAGCGACCAGTATATGGCTGTTCTTCTTATAGAAGTGCAGTATATAAGAAGTCTTATATAAGTACTACTTTATTAATTTGGAAGCAGCCGTGAGATAGTCAGTTCATCTGCGCAGATTTACATTAATTAAAATTATTGAATTTTGGACATTAAAATAACATCCAAAATCGTTATTCGAACGGCGTACGTGCATTTAGAACGTGCGTTCCGAGTGACCGCCTTTTCTCCGACTACCGCTATACTTAATCGTTATCTCAAAAGGCGGGTTCGCCGCTGACCTTTTTTCATTTAATATTATTATACAGGTAAGAACAACATCACCAGTTTCCACCGGCTCACTGTTAGCAAACTGCGCAGTCTGCGCCGGCTCAATCTGGATAGCAACTTCATCAGCGAATTGTGCCAGGTGCCGGTCAGCCTGGCGGTCTTATCCGCCCGCAACAACTCCATCGCCACCATCCAGGCCGCTAGCTTCCCCGTGGTGAGTGTTCTGACGACGCTGGACCTGTCCTTCAACAACATCAGCGAACTGGAACCGGGCGCTTTCCGCCGACTGGTTATCATTGAAACGGTGAAATTGCGCGGCAACGCCCTGACGGCGGTGCCGAAGCGCGAGCTGCAGAACTACGTCATACTTCGGCAACTCGATTTGGGCCAGAACAGGATCGCCGGCGCCGATTACGACGCCTTCAGTGGACTGAAGCTGCGCATGCTATACCTGGACAACAACCAAGTACGTACATTATTCGTCGCACAGTCACTCATTTTAAATTACGTATATAACGTTGCTTTTAATTGTTAATATTTTTAAAAATAAATTTCATAATTTGTCAATATTTTGTTTAGTTAATTATTATTTTTCTAAATACTAACGCTGGTCGCTGTAGATTGTCCGCTTTAACGAAAGCGCACTGAACGGTCTGGCGGAGCTGTCGGAACTTCGTCTGGACGGCAATCGCCTGCCGGCGTTGGACTCGCAACTCCTGCGCGGCCTGCAATCGGTGACGTCGGTAAACCTAAGCGGCAACGCCTTGAGCGACGTCACCGGCGACGTGTTCAACGACCTGTACTCGGTGCGGCATATCTCCTTGGCCGACAACGCCCTGGGTACCCTCCCGCGGCGGCTTTTCGACCGTAACAACTTTCTGGAAAGCGTGGACCTCAGCGGCAACCGCCTGCGCGTGTTCCCCACCCACCTTGAGGAGGCGGTAAACCACCTGACCTCCCTCAACGTCTCCCGCAACTTCCTGCAGGAGATCCAGCGCATCCCCGCTCTTCCGTGGCTCACCGTCCTGGACTTATCGCGCAACGCCATCAAACAGTTAAACGTGCACGCCTTCTCCAAGATGCCGCGCCTGCAGCGCCTCCTACTGGACCGCAACCCTCTGGAGATCGTCGCCGATGCCGAACTGAACTCCGATCTGCAGCAACTCAGTCTGGACTACACGCTACTGCACGCGGTGCCCGTTTCCCTGTTGCTCTCTCTGGACCAAGACAACAGCACCCTTTCCTTCCGCAACGTCAGCATCGTCTGCGACTGTCGGGCGGTGGGCCTGCAGGAGTACCTCCGGCGTCGGCGGCAGTCACACAGCGACACCACGGCGCATCCCTTGGACGCGCTGTGTGCCGGGCCGGCCCCCGTCAACGCCACGCCAATCGTGGACGCCCCATTGGGGACCGAATGCGAGGCGTCGCGGCAGGCCATCGACAAGCTGCAGTACTCGAGGACGGTGTTAGATCTGCACGCGGTGCGAGCGGGTAGCGCGGTGATCCTCCAGTGGGACACGCTGGTGGCCGCCGACATCTTCAGCTTCGAGCTGAACGTGGAGTACGCCAACCGGTCGATGCACACGCCCATGACGCGGCTGCCATATTACATCAGCCAGTACACCGTGTCCGACCTGTCACCCTCCACCACTTACAACGCCTGCGTCCAGAGTTTTGACTCCCGGGGGCGGATGGTCGGCTCGCCTGCCTGCAGACTGGTGCAGCTCGGCACACCAGGCCGACCAACCTCTATCTAGCAAGATCGTAACCATATCAGATCACAACATATTTGTTGACCTTTTGCTAAATAAAAGGGCGAAGAATAATGCCAAGATTAATAGTTTTGCAAGGCTACGTTTTGTGAAATAATTTAACAATAATCGACGATAAAACAGTTACGCAAATATCTATGCAAATACAACGGGGAAACGCGATTTGTGTAATGGGTACGATCCCCGATCAGGACAGCATAGAGAAAATGTTTCTTTTGTAAACGCTGTGTTGTTCTGGTGCATAGTTTGTACTCGTACCATGATATTTATTAAAGGTTCTGAGACGTTACGCAACCGTGAATAGGTAAAACAGTTTGGGAGTAATTGGAGCATTTGAGCAACTGATTTTTTTGCTTGCACCTTTGGTGTATTATCATCGCTCAATAACGCATGCTAAACTGCCTGGACTTCTGAGTTCTGCCTGTCTAAATGTCATAAGAATAAGCTTCGTAAAGGTTTTCATGACTTCATCTCACCCGAAGTTTTTTCATAAACGTTTGCTCTGCCACCCGATGAACGGTGGCAACACTTCACAACAAACTGCATATTGTTAGTGAGTAACATATTGTTAGTAACATATTGTTAGTGAGTTTCAGTGAATCCACATCAGGTCTGTGTTAAATGCATTTACATAAATTGTACAGAAATACAACCACAGCAGCGAAAATTACAGCAATTCATCTTCTAAAAAAATCAAACACTTAGGCACTGGCGGCCGTGGTAGCCTGGTCATGGCTCTTGCGCCTGTACCATCGTTTGGCCTGCACATCGCCGGATTTGTACGTCTTGACCAGCTCATCACCATCCACGTGGTAGATGTCGTTGATGACCTTGTTATGTGTCAGCAAATTTACTTCCACATGGAGATCTTTGCCCTCTTCGGTATACTTGTACTGTGCAAAATAAAAAGTAACTCACTACACGTACAAGGGTAAACACGCAGTAACGATAGCATTTCACATTGTAATCAGACTATTATAAGCCATAAGGTATGCCTTCAACTGGTTCAACTGGTTGACCTTTAGGATATCACTTTCAGAACAGTCTTCTTACTTTGAAGTTGGTGTTGTTGAAGCTGCCGGTGCCCTCTTCGCCCAGTTTAAACTCAACATCTAGTTTGTAGTTCTTCTCTGGAACTTTGATGCGATGATGATAATGGTCGCCTTCTTTCCACAGTTTGTGCCAAACTTTGTGCTCAGCCGTGTAATGGGCAAAACCTAAACGTGAATGACAATGAGATTATGGAATTTTTATTTTATTCAAAGATCCTAAATATATTAGGGATTACGAAAATTTAACGATTAAATTTTATAAATTTTGCAACACAGGTATTCTTACCACTGTGTCTCAAAAAGGTTTCGTTAAATGCGAGTACAAAAGCAAATTACTATATACAAAATTAGCTTAACCGCAAAATTAAATTGTGAATTTTGGCTCTTGTGACACTGCTTTAACTGAATCTGATGACGAAGCGGACTGAAAATCAATGCGCCTTATGCAAAGCAGACTTACCTAGAGCATTAACGAAATTTGCAAAATTCTCCTGGCGGCCATCGATGGATTCCCATTTGCCAAGCCAAGGATGGTCGGCATCAACTGCAATCTCATTCTGCTCCTTGTGCTCGGCATCACTAGCCGGTCGGGCCGACACCGCTGCCACAAGTGCTACCAAAACAGTCCAACGGTTATAAACTGGCAGAATTTTAGTATAAGATTTAGAATAATTACTTTTCAGTCCGATGTAAATCCGAGAATTTACCACCGCAAGCAAAAATTAATAAAAACTATGCAACTGAATCAAAGCTGTTAGACAAAATTAAATAATTATTTATTAATCTAATTAATACAGTGTATATTGTGACATACCGATCAGAAGGAAGGCTTTAATGATCATTTTTGCGACTATTTTCCAAGATTTTTTAACAATTAAGGCAGCACTTTCAGCAAACTGCAGCATTATGTGGATTTTATACTGCGGAAGAGAGATGGCAGTTGCGTGATAAAATTCTCAACAACAAACAGCGCTGGGAATGGTGCTATGTGCACTTCCGCATGTGTGCCGTTATCTGTACACAGTTCGGACTACGGATGACAGAGACTTATCGGTAGCTCTGACAGTTATCAAATGCACATCAAGAAAAACAAACTCGCTACGACGGTGAAGATTGCCGGAACTATCCGTTTTCTCATCGCCTGGACTTTGGCCGTGTCAAGGTAACTATATCTGTAGCTATAGTTTTATAGCAAAGTGGTTTTAACAAATTATCCTGGAAACAGTGCATTGACCTTTGGCCGCGAGAGTTTTACGGATGTAACGATAAATTGTTTTCAATGCTGTCGGCAAGGTTGTGAAATATGCTGCAATTTGTTGATAAACAGTGCCTCGGAATTCCTCATTACGAATATGCAACCATAATATTAGGAGCTCTTATATGAACTGCATTGCTGCCTCTAAATGTTTTGCAGCTTATTTGAAAAAAATTGGAATATGTTGAAATCATTTTTGTGCATGCCTATTTATTATTGCAGCTTCGGTACTTACCAGCCTGCTGAGCACAGGCACTAATACTGGCTTGTTCGATTAATCTGCACATGCAAAGAATATTTTTCAGACTTTATTATGATAATACTACAACGCACAATATTCCCGACGCTCGTTATTGAGGTGCAGTACTACCCGTATAGTCGCTTAAGTGAAACACTATGTTAAGTGAATAGGCGATGGTCGTTTAAGTGAAACACCCGAAATATTTCATTCCACAAACCGATTTCCTTCTGGTTTTCTTCTTTACCCGATAGAGCTAGGCGTGCTCTTCACATAGTACTTGAAGTTATTTAAAAAACTTGAATCGTTTTCTTGCAATTGCGTCGGTAAAAAAACAGTGACGAAACGCTTAAGCCACGCCACCCGAGCCACTGCACTACGCCATGATAATTACAGTCACTACCTCACATGTGCGGCTGCGCTATTTAGTTCAGATTTGTTTGTTTCTAATGCGAGTTATTTCTTTATTTCTTAAAATTATGCTTTCTGGAGTGTGATACTGAATGATAAACAGTAATATGGATAAACGTTTAATATCAGCTTGTTCTGACGTGAAAGAAAAAGGGCTTTCGCTTTCGCTGTCCGAAAGAGCCAAGAAGAAAAAAAGCAGCACCAAAATCCAAACCAAAGAAGTCCCGTTAATCACCGCCCGCCGTCTTTCCCTGTTATGAATTTTTAGCCTGTGTTCACTAACCTGTGATTTTTTAATATTAACCTGCGATCCAACTAACCGGTGATTTGTTTTACTCGCAGAAGTTTTTTTGTTGCCGTTGATTCAGGATTTTATAAGTACAATAAAAATTTTATTGAATTAGCTGCTCTGGCGCAACACTGTCTTCGTATTTAAGTATTGTGTACATATGCAGTCTTCATAGGGGTGGCGCAGCCGCACGTGTGAGGCAGTGACTGTAATTATCATGGCGTAGTGCAGTGGCTCGGGTGGCGTGGCTTAAGCGTTTCGTCACTGTTTTTTTACCGACGCAATTGCAAGAAAACGATTCAAGTTTTTTAAATAATTTCAAGTACTATGTGAAGAGCACGCCTAGCTCTATCGGGTAAAGAAGAAAACCAGAAGGAAATCGGTTTGTGGAATGAAATATTTCGGGTGTTTCACTTAAACGACCATCGCCTATTCACTTAACATAGTGTTTCACTTAAGCGACTATACGGGTAGTAGTACGTACGTCTTGTTGTTAATTAATGGCGTATTTATTAGTTCATCTTCTGATTGGTCAACCATTCCACTGAACACAATAGCAATTATAGCAATCACGTGAATCGTCTAGATACATGAAGAAATAATTAATTACTTACGCATTTAAGGCAATTTAGAATTTAAATTATTCGAGCATTATCAAAAGCATATCAAAAAATGAAGTATATGAGAAAATAATTAATTGCGTATTTAAGTCAATTTAAAATTTAAATTGTTCGAGCTTACGGCCTACGATGTACAGTAACTATAACTGCGCTTATGTGTAAATTATTTGGACTTGTACGGAGTGCGTGCTCATGCGCACTCCAGCAGACAAAAGGGATTTGCTGTTCTCAGAGTTGTACATCCAACATACGCACTCCAGATAATACAGCTTATTATTTTGAGAAGACAAAAATTTCACGGGACTTATGTACAATACAGTAAACCAATAATTTGTCGTCATTCAGCAGTACAATGATGACGGCTTATTTGCGCACTGAATAACTGGTACATTTCAGTTCCCTATGGTACAACGCTGCGTTCTACAAATTAGGTCACATCAGCAAAAATTGCGTAATTCTGCAATATTTTCTTGTCATTATAATATTATAGTATGCTATTTCAAGAATACTGTACGTCTTACCGTTCTGGCAATCCAGCGCTGTCTTTCATAATACGAGTAAGTGCATCCAATCGTAGCAGCGCGCAGTCATAACTAGAATGCACCGCGATGATCAGACTTTAATAAGATACGATATTTTGCAAGTTGATGTTTCATTCCGATGTACCGATGTTGAATACTGATGAAATACATCACTAATAAAAGTTATAAAAATGCATATATTATGTATACACATTCCCTTCTTCCTGCTTATTGTTAGTTAATAATAGTATATGGCCTTTGGATTACCGTCAAATACTACTCTTCGGACAAACGTTCCCAGGAACAGCTTTTTCTCTTGGGATTACCGAATACGGACGCATTCGTGGCGTGACGAGTGCTTATGCTTTAATTTCGAGGCTATCAAATTCGCTGTAATTTGCTTAATGCAGATGCTTTTCAAAGTCATAAACTTGTGATGAAACATCTTGCGTTCTCAAAGCGAAGTTTGCATGCTCAAGTGTGTATCTGAATATAATGCAGATCCATTTGGATTATTAATTCCGCTTTATTTATGATAAAAGACACTTTTAAAACTTTGTTCTTAGTAATTTAGCTGAAGAAATACAGCGCTAGCGACAATTGTGCCGTCCATCGTTTTTAATTTCGAATTTTTCAATAAGTGACGAGGGTAGGTAGAACCACATTTTACTCGTACCGAACTTTGGCATTACGAACTACCGTATTATGAGCTCACAATGTAATAAGTATATAGAAGTTACGATAAATAAATCATGCGGACTCAGTTGTCTTCGAAATACGAATAATGCAAAATAAAAAGTATAAAAGTTGTCATATGCATGAATTGGTTGGATATGCGTTATGCATACAGTAAGACATGCAGAATTCGGTTAAGCGTAGCATTGGTTTACTCTTTATGACGCAGTAATAGAAAAATAGCTGTTTTTATAGCAATAATTTTGAATACAGCGTGATAAACGGACTGGAAGCAAACTGAAAACAAGAACAGAAATGTATCGTACTCGTACTTTCGCTTCATTAATTCATCTTATGCTTGAGCTTGCGCCACCAAAGGGCATAACTAATGTAAATAGAAAATCCAGGGCACGATTCCCAATTTCTCACTGTTTTCTCATTAGATACGCTAAATAAAGTGACAAAGATACGTGAAATGAAAAAAAAATGTGCTGTAAAGGCATTTTTCTATGTATATTGCGTAATTTTAGAATTGTGACCTTGACACAAAGCATTACAAAAGTATTTTGCCGAGACAGCTTGATACCAACTGACTTGTACGAATTTGACACAATGCCTGTCGCGTCAATTACGTGTTGTTAAAATATTTACCATGTTCTTCGTTCGGTTCACGCTGCAACTGTCTGTGTTCAGCGCACAAACGAGACAAGCTAAACCAAAAAAATCCATTACACCTTTAGTGTACTCATTGTTAAACTAAGTGCTCTTAACGGACAACACTCAGTCAGACGTCACGGCACCGGTGACAATGGCGTAATAGCGCAGTCGTTGAACATGACAAGTTGGACCACGCACAATCCGTCTGTCATTCTAAGCGCCCATTTCCAAAAATCAGCAAGGCCACCCCTTGAAATCACTCTGCCAGTCTGCCGCATAATGAGTGCAGCCTTCCGAACCGTTATTGGCGTTTTCAGTTAACGTTACGGGATCCGTGCTGAAGTTGCGGGACATACAGCATGAAAGACCCAGCCTTTCATCGTCTCCCCTCCTTTTTTACCGGCTCTTAATTGCCGCATGGCTGATTGGCAGGAGCTTTCTAATCTGTGTACATCTCGCAACAACGGTAACTTCCCAGCAGGTTGCTCCAGCCGTACTCCGCACCGGAAGCTATTAAGGCACGAGCCGCGGCGCGCATTTCTTGTTAAATTACCCTTTGTAAATTGTGCGTGACAAGGGATGACGGTGAAAAGTTTGGCCTTTAGTTTAGGGTTTTTTAAAACTGGAATATTGGATTAAACGTCGATTAACGAAGCTTTTTAATGCTTTCTACAAACGGACACGGTTATACAATCTCGAAAAGGTCGATGTACTTATACGAGTATATCATCAAACAGCCCAGTTTCAGTTATCGTAATAGAAAAACAACATCATCGATGCATAAGTTGCCATATATCGAATCACATGCAAAAACTATGTATTTAGTACAATTTTCCGCACAAAAACAAGATTTCGGCATGCCCATTTATTTAACTTGATATAAATATTTGCACGCTTTACGTTTTCGCGGAATTAATCGTATTCCGTGAACGTTAATACTTTAATCACTCCGAGCCGCCCGTTTTATTGGTAAGAAAGATCAGAGCAAACATGATGGGATCCACCACGGGCAGGAGATCAAACAAGAACAGACTGATCTGCGTCGACAACGTCCAAGTGCTGACGTCGATGAAGCCGCCTGCCGTATATATAACATTACACGGTGTCCAGCAGAGCATCACACCCGCCGTCAGGAACGTCAACAAAATAAACCCCTTATAATTCTCCGAACTCCGCCCGGTCTTCTTATCGGACGGCGCGGCGGTGGTGCCCACACTACTCGGCTGGGCAATGGCGTTAATACTGGTATTGGTCGGGGCTTTGCGCTGCTGCCGAATCCGGTTGCGCTGCTGGCGTTTCCACACCAAGAACGGATAGAACGCCAACATCAGCACATTGGGGATGTCGTAGATAATAATCTGGATGGTCAATAACCACTGACTGACTGCCGGTGCAGTACTCAACTGGCAATTATCCGGATAGTCCGGGGTGTTGTAGGCGTGCAGGACAATCCCGGGCACGCCCATCCCGTACGCTAGAATCCACACGACAATACAGGCGCCCAGGGCGAAGCTGCGGCTGTGATGGTGGGCATAGGTCAGCGGTGATTGCACCGCCCAGATGCGGTTCAGCGCGATCAGGAGGTGGGTGTTGGTAGTGACCCCGCCCGGCACATTGATAGCGTACTGGTATATGGCACACGCCGCATTCCCCAAAAACCACACCGGATAGATCTGGTTGGTGACGTCCAGCGGGATCTGGAAGATCAGCCAGATGATGTTGGCCGTGAGGAGATTGCCGAGGTAGATGTGGAAGGGCTGCTTTAACATACCGCGTTTAATAAAAATCCCTAAAACCAGGGAGTTGCCGATCAAACCCGAGATACAGATGATAACTTCCAGTGCCGGGAGGACGGTCCATCTGGCCACGATCGGGATGGGTATGGAAGAGTTTGATTGGTTTTGCGGCCCGGAGTCGTTACGCTGAACGGTGGTGTTTAACATTTCCGGAGGAATATACATCATCACAGTGATTTTTTTGCCGGGCAACTAATCTGTCCGAGCGCACATGGAACAAATTATGGAAGATAGATGGGTGAATGCACTAAAGACAGAGTGATGATGATGGTTTATTAACGGAATGATACACGCGGACTACGATGGAGAGCAGAATAAGACGCCGAATAGGCACTTGTCAGGCTTTATACGTGACGTGAACTGGCCGTGAACACGATGTATGCCGGCACACCTGATGACATTTCCTCATCGTTATACCGTGATATTGCCGTAATCAAGTTGCTAATCGATATGGCCGGCGATCGATGCCCATGATCGGGGGGGTACTGATTGGCCAGTCAATCGGGGATCCAGCTGGCTGTCGATTACCTGAAACACTCTCGACGCCGGTCTTCTATAGTCGATGCTACACTATCCTTTCTAATTCTTAGAAAAATTGGAAAGCTTCTGGTCAAGTGGAATAGCCGTTATTGCCTGATTACCGTTGACTGACATTCCAAATTATTCCTCCCCAAAAGGTATATCTGTATTCTAGAAATCACCTTTTTGAGCACTAATTGACCGTTAAGGTGCATACTTGGAAACCGTCTTGTCTAGTTTTGCGTCAGTCTGTAAGAAAATGCTATTGCAGCTATAAAAGGAGTTGGAATCCGTCGATACGCACTGTGATATCTGAGATGTAAAAATACACACAGTGCGCCGGTTCTCCAACTGTTAAGTCATCACAATAACCTATAAACGTGGTCAATATCCCTGCGTATATTGATTCCACAATGAAGTTATAATATATTGCGGAAGGCAAAACTAAACGACATCGAGCGGGAATTATGTTTGATAGAACGCGACGCGGTTAATTTTTGATCACGTTTTCAAAACGGCAACAGATTATTCCGCAAGGTTTCTGCTGAAATGCTTCATTAAATAAACGTGTACAACGTCAAAGGGAAATCCTGCTGTGGAGTATGCGTGGGTGTTACCGTTCCAGTATCTGTACTGCATGCTTTCGTCAGCGCTTCCGGCATTGCATAAGTCTTTCAAAACAGACAAACATAATTTCTAAAGCACAAGTTAAACGATGACTTGTATCCCCATGGTCGAGCTTGAATAATAATAGCAAAGGTCACCGTAGGAATCCAGGCAGAAATATAGGGAAAGCGTATTATGAGCAATAATAAAATTATTCAAGGCAGAAAAATTGTTTCTGAACTGCAGTTCTGGTTCAACAGTTACCAGAATAATAATAATGACCTACTCCGATAATTCCCATAACTCCGTTGCAGAGTTAAACTTCGAGGAAGTTATTACCAAACCAGGCCGAGTCGGTACGACGAAACACTAGCGCGGTGCGACTCCGTGCACTGTGACATATGACAACACGAGCTGGGAATATAAACAATACGAGGATGCCAAAACAACAACCGTCTGCTTTTATTTTTGACTTTTGAGTGACATAAAAAGCAGCTGGCGTGCGGAGAACAATGGTGCCGCCGCATGTACCTTGATTAAAAACGGGCTTGATGTTCCGGGATCTGTACATTGTGAAAGACCAGTAGTATGGTGGCATCCCTATGTTAGTACTAGTTATTTGTATCAGTGCGCATTATCCCAGTTTGGAATGAGACTATGGGAGTACGGGGGTTCCATTGAATTGGGACGGTTGCATGCAGACATGCCAATAAGGAAATCCTTCGGAGCCGTCCGCAGTTTGTTTATCTGTTCAACATCACCCAGCAGTAAACCGTTGGCTAATGGTTACTGGAAAATGTGGCTGGGTTGCTTAATACCGCACACGTCAATGTACAGTGAGCGGATCGGAATGCTAAAGTAGCATGTACGTTAAGTACTGTAGCAACTTCCGGCTGTAGCACTCGAAATTTATTCAGTAACTTATTTTCTACTTGCCGAAAGCTGTCTTACAATATTATAAGCACTACTTACGTACGTACATGAATTTAGCAGATGCAGCTAAATATTATTGTCGGTTATGTTTGTCAGCAGCAATATGCGAACTAAGCAAATGCCTGTAAAAAACAGCAATACCAACATCGCCAATGACGCTGTTGATGGGTGTGGTGTTATATTATGGGCATCGATTTGTAACTTATGTCTTGAAAAACTGGCCGCGGAGATCATTACAAATTTATTGTGCTATCTGGCCGTACTATGCTGGTAAAATCGCATAATCTGCCGTAGGTGCATGAACTATATCACAACTGTCCCAGTTTTGCTTACGTAAATTTTGGTTGTTTTTTGGGCCTTACAGCCCTTACTGTAGTGTACCGAAGAACGTCTTTGCTAATTAATATCCGCTTTGCTAATGCAAGGCGACGTGCGTAAAGCCTCCCGGGAAAGGGTGCATCACCCTCCTCGTTACCACACCCGTTTCCCCTTGCCTTCCGTAAATAAAGAAACTGCTACAAAGTGTCAAACATCATCATGTCACCGCCCACTGGATCACAAAACAACCGGAAGTAAAGGTACTGTTTTACTCAGTTGTGTTTATGCGACGCAATCACGTCACACTCGGCAAAATCGAAAATTCGTCACACTCGGCAATTTCGAAAATTTTCGAAACAACAGCTGGCATGCAGCAGTCGTTTCAGTTGCCCCTTTTTCTCAAATTATAAAAATCAATTCTTCCAATGATTGTCACATTGATAACGCAACGCGTAACGGAAACGCATTCGGCAAAGCCACAATTGGAAAAAACCATCCACTACACAATTCGGCAAAATCGGCTGAGTAAAAAATCAATCCCGATACAAACACTTCGTAATACTGAAAAGTGCGCGAAAAATTGTTTGAAAAAATGTACAAACACCGAAAGGTTAATTTTGATCGGTGGACGTTTATGTGCGTTTTTTTCTACTTCATCGCATCCAATTTACAAATGTGGTGTTCTTCCTTAGAAAATAAATAAGATCGCGCTAGCATCAGCAAAAACCTGCTTTAATCAAGAAGTGCTGCAACGCTTCGGTCCCACAGTGTCCGCAAAAAGCAAGAACATTTTTCTAGTGTGCTTCCATACATAGTCACAAAACAACATAAAGGCCACTCCAGTATACAAGTTTTTATAACCCATTATTTGCGTTATCAAGGTGACTAGAATTTTTTTAAAATTTCTCATAAATCATCACAATGCAGTAAATAACAGAATCAGTACAAGAATTCATTCATCAGGTTATTATTATTTTATGTACACCGGACATACAATATCCCTCACACCACCTCGATAAGCTTGTTGGTATGGTATGTACGGTTAATTCTTTCCTTAACACCACACATAATCCCATGACACTTTAATACGTCCAGCATCTAAACTAGCCAGTCGTCCGAAGGCAGCAGGCGACAAATCAATAGATCCACTGTTACAGCCCATACACTTGTCCACAATCTTGACCTTGACTTGATTGCCGTTGGAGTCGGCGCGGACATTGGCGCATTTGCCGCAGACCGGCGCGGTGTTCGGATTGGCCTGCCATCCATATTCCACGTGACTGACCGCGGCCACCAGTTCACCATTGTTGTTCCACCAGCCACACGCGCCCAAGCCGGTATTGTACCACGTAGCGTCCCCCCAGTAGGCCGAGGTCAAGGGTGACAACGCACACACCACTACAATAACAAGAACAGCACCCTGCAAAGACATTATTAATTATTTGAACAGGTAACCAAAAGCCGGTAAAATGTTAAGTACACCAATTTAATATAATTGTAATGCTAATGAGTATAATGGCAGAGCTTTCGTTAAATTCCTTTTATATACAACAACGCTGCTTTCGGTGGTAAACATCATCGTAAATTTGTTTGGCATTCGGGTCTTATTGTCTTGGGTGCAGCGATAAGTAACCTCGCATGCAATCACTTTTCCCAACAATCGCTCCATTCAAATTAGCGCCCAACCTGGAAATACGAAAGCACCATTGCTCTATTTTGATTTAGTACCACTGCACCATAACAATCGCTTTTGATAACAGATGGGAGACCGAGTACCTACAAAACACGGGTAACTTCCAAAAGTTTAGATAATGCGGTGTAGCTGCACTATGTTAATTATGTAGTACACCTCATGCAGATGCTTCGGTATAGTGTGTTTCTTGTGGGAATTATTCTTGCGCCGAAGTCCGAATTCACCTTTACTAATTGATTATTTCAAAATTGTGGAGGCACAAATTTACCACGTTTACAACGAAAGTGAAACCTATACAATAAATTACATGGAATTACAAATGGAATTAATTGAATTACATGGAATTGCAAATGCGTAAAACAAAATTCCATTTTTTTAGAACTAATATTTGCTAACAGTACGTATGCGGTATGAAATTCGTAACTTTGTACGTGGCACGTGCGCACATTTTCCTGCACGTACCTATGTTAAAAAAATTCGCAACTATAGATACTGTACCGTTCGCAAACGTTGGTATTCTGTATCTCGGGCCGTTATTGTGTCGGGTGTTTATTGTATACTCTGCTCGTATGGACTATTTTGTCTGCATAAACAAAAGTGGATGCATAAAAAGAGAAGACCATGCCGCAATGATAAAGAGTGAATAACGAAAATGCGCTGATCATGGGGCCACCACAGTACGGTAAAAGAATACTGCCGTGTGTCGCAGTTTTTTTCTTATTGACCACTTTAATTCATAATTCCTCCATCTTCAAATTTCAGCGAGACACAGACCGTAAACATCCACACACTACAGAGATCCCACCACAGTAATCACCGCAATATACTCTGGTATAAACCAAGATCCAAGTAAATCGGACAAAGTAACAAAAGAGCAACAATATTTTAAACTGCAATAATCAACTACCACACATTCCTGAGACGAGGAGAGGACTGCAGGTGGAATACAACAAAAGAAACTATATAAAAATACTGTATGTACATATATGATATAAAATGTTGAGATACTTGAAAGGAATAAGATCAATACTGAGATACAATACTAAGGAAATACCAACATCATAATGGCGACGTGCGGAAGCCAAGGAGGAAGGTGAGATACCCATCAAAGTAATACTAACGTAACACTGCATCCAACATGCATGACCACAATTTTCATCACTGACGGCCACCGAAATTCTCTCGCAAGTAGCTCCAACCGCCGCCGCCGACGTATCCGAGTCCCTCAAAGCTGCCCGCTTCATTAAACACCGTGCCGAATGTTCCCAGCCCTCCTGCTGAAGAAAACGGAAAATATTAGGCGTGTATTTATCCATGTACAGATATTACGTGTACAATACCAGCCTCATTTATCAGAAAATATTACCCACAACTACAAGCCCAAATTACGCACTACAAAATTTTCAGAAAATTTCAAAATACCGCAGATACTGAGAATTTGAAACGTTATTTCTTTTAGAAAATAATTATTCGGTAAAAACAACGCACGCACGTAAACTTGTCTCGTTTATCGGAAAACATGCCGAACCAGAAAATTATTATTATTTTAAATAAATTTGAAAATACTTGTTTATTTAAGAAAAACATTAATTCTGGTAAACGCAGGCAGGTAACCAGTCCGCTTAATCAGCAAAAAATACCAAAAACAATGACGCGCCAGAAAACTAATTAGAAACTTAGCTAAATTTGAAAAATTATTACGTTACAGAAGAAGCATTCATTTGGCAAATGCACAGGATGCACGACATTTTCTGCTAATAAGAAATTCGTTACGTACCGTTCGATGATAAGTCCGAACAGATGGAATAGCCCGAATCCGCACGCTCACGGCCAGCGTGAAAAGTGCCCTGCACTGACGATTCCACACCCAGAACGAACGGCACTCCCGAACGAATGCACTTGTGCTCCATTTCAGCTACCTGCGCCAACATTTGGCAAGTGGTAAGAAAGTTGGAACTCTGCAACAGACAGGACAGATAAGCGTAAAACATCAATAAAGATAAAGGCGTTTTATACAGATACAAGTAATCCACTGTACATACGCCGCCAGAGAAAAATCCATCCACTTCCGCACCGTTTCCGAGGAATCCCTGATCAAACCCGTCATCGCGATTCTACGACCAAATACCAATAATTAAACCAGCATAAAGAATTTCCAACAAGCTATGCTGCTAACCTGTAACTTGTAAGTATACCTACTCGCAGTATGCTGTGCACTACTCATTCAAAAAACGTAAAGGAAAATCGTATAAACATACTTGTATGTATAGGTTTATTATTTATAAAAGCTTACATTTTCTCTTATTCACATAGCCAACATAAGTGGATCGATTTAAAGCGCAGATTAAATGAAATAACTTTCTTAAAAGTCCAAAAATTTTCGCGCACAACCGGAGTTACTTTATGCATACTGCACAGCGTACAGATCAGCAGTACCAATTTCTCTATTCGAGTACGTATCTACGTCAAACTGCATAATTATTAAACAACAGTTCGCGTTTAATCTGAAGATCTCATCAGCACATTTCTTCCATGTGCGAATACAAGTAAACAATTCTGAATAATTTGGGATACCAATGTATGTTTTATTAGTTAATCTATTAGTTAGTTAATCAATACAGCACTATCAGTTAATCAATACGCAATTATACGGCGTTTTGAGCAAGAAATTATTGGCAGTTAAACTATGAAGAAAATTCAGAAAATGCACATCGGTAAACAAACAACGCTCCGGTTTTCATGCGCGATTATCTGGGTAAACGGCCATTTTAATGTATTATCAACACCAGGTTATCTTCAGACAAAAAATCCAAAAAACGTGGTAAAGATAATGGCCATCGGCTGAATAAATACGCCGATAAAAAAAGCCGTAATTTTCTTATGATGTTAAATGTTAATTATATTTACAGAAATACAGTATATTAGGAGAAAATTTATTAACATTAGATTAACAAAAATACAGCATCATGTCTGAACGTTGTATCGACTGCATAAAAGTACAGTACATACCTGCGAGAAGAAATCGACGGTCTTTCCAACGGTGGCATCCAGTTGGCGTCGGCGCTGCGCCAGGCATTCCGCACGGTTCACCACCCGAAAGGCCGCCTGCACACTGCCGTAGCGCTGCTCCGCCTGTCCCGCCCACTTCATCCACTCCTCGTCCAGCTGCGGCCACTTATCCCACGGGTGCTTAAAGTGGCATTTCTCCCCGAACTGGCAGATCTTGAAGTCCAGCACCGTCTTGCAGGGTTCGGTTTTGTAGCGCGGATTACGACGGCGCGGCTTCAGCTCGTTGGCCGTGTGCGCGTACTGGCAGTTGGCGTCCGTACATTGCTCGCCACTGTAGCACAGGGCCGTGTGGAAGAGTTTATTGCGCTGCTGGTAGCGGGGACGCGGGATGGCCCGCGTCTCCGTGTAGGTGGTCGGACGGATAAGCGGCGCGCCGGTGTAGTAGGCGCTGGAGAAGGACGCCATGCTGACGATTCTGTGAAGGAAAAAAGCAGAAATGGTAGAAAGTAGGTCAAGGTCGTCGCGCTGAAGAAATGTCAGCAAAATGGGAAATTCCCGACAACCGACGTTTATGCTGACATACGCGGGATTTTAAGATAGTCTCATGCGCCTAAATGTTACTTCAAGTTGGGAAAAAAAGGAATAAACGGGCAGCTGCTGTGGATAACATCAAATAACGCTGAGCAGCGATCGCAACGAGTCTGGCTGAAGTTAACGGCTCGGAACTGTGCACACGCGCTCGTTCTGTATCAGTACCTGTCTTGGCGCGTGTGGCTACGAGATTTCAAGAAAAAGTAATCAAAATTCCCAGGAAGAACCCAAACAACACGGGAAACGAAATAAACTTTGTAACGAAAAATACTAACAAAACGCAAACGGTCAACATTCAACAACGAAACACGTGGAGTGAGCGTTCCACGCCGTTAAACTCCGTCAACTTGGAAAATTTGCGGCGATCATTTTTGGCGTGACTGCCAAGAAGCAGTCCGGCTTCTTCATGGACCGGGCATAACAGTGAGTCACACCCGTTCAGCGGACGAGCGAAGGCTTTAGAAAAATCTTCGACGGTGCAACCTGGTACGGTGTACGGCGTACTTGGATCTTCCATCAAGTACTACGGACGTACGTAGTGCAGTACAAGTCTGTACTGATTGTTATCGGCTTCTTATCAAAGTATCAGCGATTGTACGTTCTCGTACGTACAAGCGGTACTGCCGTGGTAACGACCTTTGGTGCAGTATTACATCATCGGTTGTCGATTTATGCAACTGATAAGGGGCCTGGCTGTTTACAACTTTCAGCTGTTTAAAATTTCAAGCGATCACTTTCGAAACTGCAAGTTCAGTACGTACTGTGTTACTGTACGTATTACCAGACCGGGAACAACTAAAGATAAATAGATAATTAATCGTAACATTAATCGGTATTCGGTACCGAGCCATTTTAACGTTTTTTAGATAATTTTTAGTGACAGTTCACAGTTGCATACATACAGACGTTGCTGCTGTACATACTGGCAATATTTAAATAAAACGAACAATATTATATTAAATATAAATCTGTCTGCAACGCAGTACGTACAGAAAAAAATATAAATTTCAAACCGCGGTTCGTTTTATACAGTCTCGACGTGCGCGCGTTTCTGGTATTTGGCGGCATTTTTGGCCTTATCGTGTTTTCTGGTTTCAATAGCGCCGACGTTGTTGTTGGTTTGATCGTGATTCGTGATCAGAAGAAAACTACAACAGAGAATGCTGCAACGGCTGCATATTGCATAAGACACCATCGTCCCGCTGAACTTTAGACCAGAGAGACTGAGCGAGTTCAAGGACAGCCAGATTTTACACATGTATTTCCAATGCAGTGTTGTATGTACTCAGCTAGTGTGTACTGTAGTTTCACAATGTTGAATGCATGGGATACTTTTCCATTATTTCTATATAAATATTACAAATATTACAATGATAGATCCGCTTATGCATAGTGAAGAATATAGTGGGATGTTAGGAAGAATCCGTGCAGTCCCAGAGATCAGCTCGCGTTATATACGTGGCCCCATTCTGTTTGCGAAGATGTTACAGATTTCAGATTTGCATTATTTTTTTAATACTTCTATCGCTGATCATTTCACGGTTGTTTATGGCTCTTACTGTGTTGCTGGTCTGCTTCGGGAATGACAGGGAAGCGCGCAGTGGACCAGTCGAGAGGTGGTCGTTTTATTTTCAACAGAAACTCTCGGAATGCATGTTAGTGTCATTTATTCCATTTATTTTTATCCTGTTGTATGGTAAACTGTTTAGTAAGCATTTAATTAAGTTAGTTTGTACCTTGTAGTATTTATTTCGATTTTTTTTATTTGAATTTGTTTGTTTATGATTTAATCAGAACATGGAACACATACTTCTTAGCTTCTATATGAACATAAAATATAATAAACAGTGCAATATCTATTGTTAAATCTGCGAGTTCAGTATCAGGATTACTATATTAGATACTGGTTTTGGGTCCGAGTGTAAATTGTTGTTTTAGACTTTTTTATCGTCAGTCACCTACCTTGAGCGTCAAATAAATTTCATACTTTTATAGATATAAGTGCACGTTCAATACGTACGATCATGGTGTACAACATTGAACGTACATAGTTGTAGTCATACTTAATTTTGTAATAGTTTTATTTGAATTGTTATGCTGGCAATGAGGCGGTATGCGTGTCTTTTTTATGCATTAAATTTGTGCATGTGTTTTGGTCCTTGTTTGTACATATTGTACTCTACAACGATACCATTTATACGTATTGTACATCTGTTGACTAATTCTTTATCTAGGTAATGCACCGTAATGCACGAGGTCAAGTAAATACAGACACGGTAAATTTTGGGGATTATGACTATAAGCTAACTAATAATTTAATTATAACACAGTATTTAAGCAGTGGCGCGCGTCGGACAAAAGGGAAATGAACAAAACACACAATATCGCATTTCTAAATTTTTAGGCCAATGCCGGCACCACCGCTTCGATCCGTGAGCGACTGCTTATGCTGACCGGTACAGGTGCCGAAGGCCGACTGCTTTCCACCGAGCGTGAATGGTCGATGGCGCGCACTGTCCGCACTTGCCGCCGACCGCGGTGACCCCGTAGTTGCGCGCAGATCCACAGCGAATAATGGTGAACATCGCTGACGCTCAGGCAAAAAAACGCCGGATCCAGAATGGCCTGCAGCGGATACAATACAGCCTGTGCTTTATACAGTGTAGCGCCCAGTCGACGGTTCGGGAAAATATCCATCAGGATAAAGTACACCATACTCACACTACAATACTGCATGCATACAGCGTCAGCAACAGGAAAGGGCGACTGCCGGTTTCCTGATTTCGGCCGAAGGCGGTTGTGTAGTAATGCTGATCTCCCGCCCACCGCTCTCCGTCGGACATTTTTCCATAGAAGGAACGGATAACTTACTGGAACGAGTAGTTGTGGGATATTGAAAACCACAACCGCCACGAACGTCCGCCGTGCAACCTGCCGTTGGGCGTTAAACCGGCAACCTTTGTCAAGCGGTAAACGATAATACATGGCATCCAGTATCACTCCCGGTAGTGTTATAATATGGACATACATAATCATAGCTAGATACAAAAACCATGCGGTAGAGAAATTGTGGCGAGTTCTGTATGATTTCGGAAAAAATAAAGCCCAAGCGCGATTGACGTTAATCAGAAGATGACTGTGAAAGGTCACCGCGGTTAAAGTATAGAGCTTAATCGTGCAAGCATCGTTACCGATCCACCATGTTCCATAGGGATCAGTGAGGATGAGCATTGTGTGTTCGATTCCGATGAAGAGGATATTACTGGATAAGAGTACAACGGTGTACACGTTGAATGGCGTGCGCAGGTATCTTTGAGTGAGAAGGAGGAGGAGGGCGCCGCAGTTTAAAAATGTATCAAATAATGCGGCAGTGGATGTACTGATAAGTCCGGTGGACAGATCATGAGCGGATAGGATACTTTTTATCACCGATGAATTCTTCTGCTTATATGAGTAGTTACTGTATATGCGGAGAGGTTTGTGGAAGATCGAATCGCAGCCATATTGACACCGTGAACGACGATGACTTTACCAAGAAACCGTTTTGCAGAAAATAAGACGTAACTCCTAAAGGCACTCGTTTTGTACCTTTATACCGGTGTAGAGGTGAATGTACTACAATGACTACATAGATACAGTACAAAGCCTAGTGATCAAAGCCCGAAATTGTTAAATTGCTGTATTTTACTATTGTAAGGTGTCGAATTTTCTTCCTGTAAAACGGTGATAATTGATGCTTTTTCGGGCAGGGGGTAAAACGTGGCAGTGGCACCTGCCAGTGGCACTGCCAATGACATGGCAAGCGATAAAACCTGGAGACTCTGGCAACTGGCGCACGATAAAAAGTGGCAGATGCCGCATAAAATGTGGCACCACGTATGAGCGGGCTGAAAGTGTTTGGTGAATTGAATTGTATATGGTGTCATTGAGACTTGCCAAAACAGTCAGTTTTCCGGGAAAGTGTTAACAGCATGTGCCATGCACGAAGTGCGTAAGTGCGACGGTATATAATAAAATTTAGAAAGGTCAACTTTGAATTTGCTGTTCGCACGAACCGCCACGATAAAATGAATGAAAAGCCACATTAAAAATACAACGACGACACATCGTTAAGGTACAACACTGGAATAGAGGATGCCGGTTTTAATAAAACTGGAACCCAAGCTTTTTAACGTGGCGCTTTAAAGTTTAAACCGTTAATCTCTTATGTGCGGTAGAGTATTGAGTACAATACTGGCGCGATAGGTTATGCATCAAACCCGCCACTTGCGTTAGGAAGGCTGTGACCTGGGTTCTTCCCTGTGTCATAACTTAAGAAACCATGCCTCCAGGGTATTACAAGCATATTGCATTATGTTTACCGGCGCCGCTATGACCATACAGAGGATGATTTCGCAATATGCTTCCAGCACGGACACAAAGTTGCAATAATTCTCTCCCTTGTTCTTTCCTTCATTTCTTGTCGCTTAGAAATACTTCAATATGTGCTTTATAATTCATCAGTAGTTGAATTCGAAAAAAGAAGTAAGTGGCACTCAAAATTGATTTTAAAGCGGAACGCCCAGTTTTCCAAACTAAAACAAATTTTTGACGAGGAAATCTTTTTGGCAGTTTCCTTATTTTCTGAAATTTGACACAGACCATCGCAATCCGTGAGGCGCAGATGTAGCTTCTTTTTTCGGACGGAAGATACGAAATTCCGTGCCGCCACTTATAAATATCGTAATAACAAAAAATCAAAACTTGGTAAAAAACGAAAACGAAGGATGTTTGTTTTTCGAAATTATTTACCGGGACAATAATGCAGTGCATGTGGTCTCTCCCAGTGTTAAAACCACCGTAGATATCTATACTAAAAAGTCGCTTAAAAAACTTCTCAGGAAAAGCAATCTGGATTTGCAGCCCGGGGAGGAACGCAAGGGGAACAGTCAATATGGCTATCTTCCAGTTCACGAAGCTAACACAACGTACCAGTGCCTAGAATCTCACGGAGCCAGATGTTTTCTGAAGGCTACATAATGTAACAGTTCACTAAACCTGGCAACCGTAGATTATGAATTGATGACGATTTTTTAGCAAATTTTTAATGGAAAGCATAGGAAAACGTTTTGCGAAATGTTACAGTGTTGCGCATAGACCCTTGTCGGTTTGCAAAATCCCACCGTATTCTAAATTGTTTTCTATTTCTTAAAATTAATTTATTATGATCGCTAAGAGAAAGGGCTTTCAAACTTAACGGCTCTAAGAATAACACATGCACGGAGAGGATGGCAATAAAATCATAAAGAAAGCATATTGCAAAATCACCCTCTGTAGTAGCAAAGATCTAGTTGTTTATGGCTTTAAACTTCAAAGTACGCAACGTAACCTGTCTTGGCGGACTTTGTAATTCTTTTTAGTATTCGCTTGAAAAACTCTCAAACTACAAGTATACGTGCGATCTAAGCACCCAACCCTCGATTCTCATGTCAGAACGCTATTGTTGTGGCGTACGTGTTATATTCCTCATATGTCTAACATATTTACGTGTTTTACTGTGCTCCTACGTTTAGACTTTAAAATTACTTACTGTTAATATAAATTAATACTGTGCAGTACTAAATTAAAGTTTTAGATACAGTACACCAATGACGCTAATAAGTTATTAGCGTAGTCTTTGAAATCAACTTGACGCTTACAAATTTACACTCTACAGTACATATCACGCTCGCGGTCCGATTTCGGAAGTATATATGTAATTATGTACCAAGTTATCGGTAACATGACCTTTTAAATTAGCCTTTGAACCATTATTATTTTTTATTTACGGTGTAATACGCATATTAAAGGTACACAGTGTATTGTAGTGTGTTCAGAGTCTCAGGCTTATTAGAAACTTTAAGGTAAAAATGTGCCAAATGTCAATAATACGAAGTACAATAATTTAAGCGTAAAGAGGTGGAACAACAAATTAACTGCTAATAACTTACCCAAATTGGCATTGTAGTCGAATACTCGAATACCGAGAACACGGATACAGACTAATATAAATTTATTCTTACGTCGCGCGTCACTATGATCCTATGATTTCTAGCCAGTTTAAAAAAGTCTACATTTCACGAACGTGACCGTAACCGCAGCCATCGGCAGGTGCCGGTAGTGTAAGACACTCTAAAAACAACGCCACAAATCAGAATCACATGTAAACTCTTCAACGTTGATGGCACTATACGAACAGTCGGACACCGCACAGCAGGATAAAATTTACACGTACCGCTTGGGTTCATCTGCTGCTGCGGGTTCACATGGTAATGTTCGCCCCTATATGCAACGGGCAAAATAATCAATAAGCAAAACAACAAGATAAGGTTAGCTGTTTGTGGAGCCACCCTGTGAATATACAAGTGCGCATATACAAGGCGCCGGTTTTTTTGGAATAACAGCAAAGTTCACGTCCACTTGCCAGTATACCGAACAGATGGGACGAGCCGGCACTGAGTACACCAGATTAAAATTAAAACATGACACCGTTTAATGTTTACCACCATGCTGGGCTCTTGCCCGCAGTCTGTAGTCGAGACACTTTCAAAAATGCGGCTTCACTCAATTGTATTTTTTTCTGCAGACATGTTCTCGCAATGCTTTATATTGTACATGCGATTACAGCACTATAATATTTTCCTTTCCACTCCCAAACCGTTTCTGTCCCATGATATAGGCCTGCCGTAGAGTGTTACTGGGTATGTTAAGTAGCATTATAATATTGCTTAGCATTATGAATATTTCAATGAAATGACTGTTCATGATACCAATTTAAATTTGGGAACTGATTACTGTACTGCTACCCTGCACTTGTCCATTTATTTTGCAGTGCAGGCGCACGTACGTTGTATGAGCCCATTCACGATTCACATACACGGCCTGCAACTGCGTGCAGAGAGCAGGCAGCTGACTGAACGTGAGCGGCTTTAGCTCTCACTCGCCTACAGTGCAGTAGGCTCAAACTGTAAAAAAGCCTGGACAAGTGCAGGGTAGCAGTACAGTATGTGTGCGCTCCCTTTCGTCGTCTAAAATATCGACCGTCTTCTTAGCAGACACGACGTCGGGCTGATGTTTAACTAACTAAATCGTTCTAGTTCTTTTAAGTTGACATATTATGTATTCCTGTTTTCTTACGCCTTCTTATATTTTCTTATGTTCTCTGATCTTTTCTCATGTTTTCTTGGTAAGTCGACCTCGTGACGGTCGACGTAGAGTTAGTCGACGAAATGACGGTGAGCCATGTGTGTGAGTGCGCATAATTCTGCATATTAGGGTGCGCTATGTGTTGAAGTACGGCTACTCGAAAAAATGCTAAAATACTTAAAAACCAGTAAAAGCATTTTAAACTTTTTGAGCAAATCGTGCCAAATATTCTTCGGGTTTGGCAAAAGCTTTACTGCAATTAATCGTGGGTGGCGATAACTTATGGTAATGTTCCTCACAAACTAAGCCTCCAAACGGGTGTGCGGGATAGCTTAGCTACGATGCTAATGTTGACACTTGACACTTACAGTATAACTTGTCGGTCAGCTGCACTTAATTAATCGAATAAATCACCATGCTCAACTGTAAGGAATATTCCAGCGGTGTGCCTCCTAGATCTGGAAGTGCCGTAATTCAACTTGATTGCGCTTTCTGATAATTTTTCACTGTATCTGTGGTACTTTGCGCAAACAGCAAAATGCAATACCTCTTAAAGTATGTCCTTTCAAAATTTTATATGCCGGAGCTTACTTCCGAACTTTGCGCATGACCAATATTTGCAAACAGTTTAAAGGAAATTTTAATACTGGCAAGAGTTTCAAAAATATACAGTTGATACTGGCAAGAGTTTTAAAACTACAGTCGGCAAACACTCCGACCCGCAGCGTCACCCGTGCATACGTGGTGCCACATTTTATGCGGCATCTGCCGCTTTTTATCGCCTGCCAGTTGCCAGAGCCTCCAGGTTTTATTGCTTGCCATGCCATTGGCAGTGCCACTGGCAGGTGCCACCGCCACATTTTACCCCCTGCCGCTTTTTCGCTGCTTTCCATTATCTCGAAGTGTACGAAGGAAGCCGTTATCCATAAAGCTTTGCCTTAAATCGCTCGGAGTCAGTGATGCAAACTTCCAACTGCCTAAGTAGACTCCAACTGCCTAAGTAGCAGCACCGGTAAACCAGGAAGATGGAATTTACCAGACAAATAAATATAGTATTATTTGTGTTGTATCTGTACTCTGCACCTCGATGTAAGAGGTCTCTGCGTTCATGGTATGATGTTTTGCTTTCTTGTGATGGTTTACGACCTTGTTTCATAACAACTGCACGCGTGAATCGGCAAGAAAAGAGAGCAATCCTTCCAGCGTGAGTTATAAATGGGCATTTACAGGAATCGTATATTTTCCATTGAGAAACAGAAACGAAATGCTGACGCACAATACTTGCACTAGCAGTACTCGTACTTACTTTCAAACAGTACAAATTACTTCCACCGTTGGCAGATCAATCCAAGACACGTGCAGGCGGCCCACGTGGTAACTTCAAGTAAGTACTGTACATAAGTGACCTTTACTAGTCATAAAGATGTATGAAAGCAAATAAAGCCGTTGTGTCATCCTTAATGTTTAAAAACAATTTGTGGTTGGCTAAGTGTTGCAAATATACGTAAGCCATTTTAAACCACCTTAAAATCTGTACAGTAATTACAGACACCTTAAATGCTTATGCTCGTTCCCTAAGCGAAATGTTGACTCGGTAAACCGCATTTCGAAGCGCTCATTTTCGCACATCGACAGTTTGCGAGTAGGAGCAGAAAGCACGTTCGCAGTGTGAAAAATCTGCCCGATCGGTAATCAAACTATGTCTTATTATAATCCGTCCGAGGTTAAAACGACAGTTATTGGCAAAGAAACTCAAGTATTTGCACGATATAACCATCAAACCGAAAACCTTTGCTAAACGGTATGATCTTCTGATGAACCATACAGTAAACACATCTACCGAAAGCTAATACAAGCCCATTTCAAAAACAAGTGATCACCGTAACCGTGAAATCCGATAAGCAATGGTTGCAGCCATTAACCATACTACGGCGCGCTACGCTACTGAATTAAAGGGACCACTAACAGTAGAAAGCGGGTTTACGGAGTTTACACATCATCAAGAATGCAAATCTGCGAAGCACCGGCAGACGACAGCCTCTGCGCCACCTCCTTCAAGATGCGGTACAAAGCCGCGGCAGCCAGCGGAGTCAGCTGATTGACGTCGAACCCCGCCAGGACGGCGACCGTCCACAGGCAACGCCGGTGCTGGCTGGATCGCGGATCGGCATTCACATAACCGTGGAGACCCTGTAAATCCACAAAATAATATACCAGCCATGACCACCGCCACACCGATAAGAACGAGCACCTTTACCCTTTCCAGGCCGCACATGGCAAATACCCCGTGCTCGATGCACAGTGCGATCCATGCTTGCAACATGGTCCGATCCACCGGTTCCTCCACAACGATATGCTTCTCAAAGAGATCCCACAGCTGCATTTCGAGCTGTTCAGGTGGCTGGCAGCGGTGCGCATACTGCGACACGACGGCCGTCAGATTCCGGTCGGCCAGCGTGCATTTGGACCACACCACCCGCTCCACCGTGCCGCACAGTTTCATGATACTGCCGTGACAGGACAGGATTTTGTCGATAGTGAAGTTCCGCGTAGCGGGCCAGTTACACTGGTATAGCACCAGTGTCCCGATGCGGCCGCCCCCGCTGACCGTACACAGATAGCGGATCATGCCCGCGGCATCGTAGCCGTCGCCTAGATCCATATGCGTCAGAATGATTATTTTTGTGCGACGACTGACGGTGTGTAGCAGACTGGTTAACATCCAGAATTTGTGCTCCATCCCGGACAGGGGATGGTCCTCTCTGTTCGACACATGCACATCAGGGAAGTGTGGTCCGGTGGTTAGAAGGCGGTCCCACATGGCACACACGCGCCGGCAACGCGTGCGTCCTATGGAATCCAGCGACTGAAGGACTTCCACAAGCAGCTCACTGGGTAAAGCCAGGCGATCCTCCCTAGAGTTGAAATTCAAACAGTTCGAAAGCGAACTTCTTCTTTTGCGAAAAATTAAATTCTGAAACGAAGTATAGATATTCTAACATTTAAAAATATTAATATTTTTAATAAAATAATTAAAAATAAATTTTAAAAACAATCTAACATTTAAAAATAATATTATTTTCAATAAATTAATCCAAAATGATTTAATAAGTGATTATGCTTCATACAACTATCGCAGTTTCCCGTACATATACGTAAAACTTCATTAATAATTCACAAGAGAGATAAGAAATATGAACATACGTTACTGGATTCAGCTACTCGTACTATTGGACAGAAATTAACGTGTGTGTTAAAAAGACCGGTGTTCAGTTTGGAATTTGAAATCGCCAGTTAATTCAGTGATTTTGTCGACATAATCAATTTTAATTAAAATACATTTGTTTCTAAAATTTTTCTTTTTAACCGGTTTGATATGCGCCACGTCCCGTTTAATTCTGAAATGATAGCATTTGAAGAATAAAGTACTCGTATGAACCGTCTGAATGCACACTCACCTTTCCCAGCTGGCTGTACGCTTTCGTTTCGCCGGCGGCATGACAACCGCACTGAACGACTGCCGAGGAATAGTCTCCTCGTTATACTCCTCCAACGCTCCAAGGCACACAGCTTCCTACAAAAGTCAACATGCCGCAAAGTTTTACCGTCCTACATAACGCTAACAAAAGATGGCCGTTCAATTCAATTTGTCACGCACCAGCTGCTGCGGTTGCAGCGGATGATCCCGGGAACGCTGCACATACACCAGTGTGCGTCGAAGCACTTTCGTACACCAGATCGACAGCATTCGCTGTGCGTGCAACCGGCAGGTATCTTGCAGCACCGCCGACGCACCGGCCCATACCGCGGGCAAGGGACAGCAGGTACGTCGTTCAAATTCCTTGATGCGCACACGGCGGCTGTCCAGTAAGCTGTCCGAGGGCGGTCGCCGTACCTGCTCCCGGGGCAGCAGTTCCGTGACGACGCCATGCGGCAGCTGCGCCTCCACGGTAACCCACCAGTAGAAATTGTTCTCGGAGACCGTCTCACCCGCGAACCACTGCCACGGGCCATCGGGGGACGCTCGCAGAAGGACTTGCACATTACGATCTTGAAGGGCATTTAAAAAGTACGCTGGTGGGATGGCGAGAAAGATATGTCCGTATTCGATGAACTGCGCGCGCTGACCACGACATTCCATGTCAATGATCAGTCCCTTGTCCGCCACGTCGATCACACGGCCGTGCTGCATCACATCGTCAACGAGGATGTCCACGGCGTTCCACGCGTGCACGACCGTATCGTGCTGTCCGTAAATCTGCATGTTGTACGTCGCGCTGGCCTAGGGTGGGTACGGGTTGCGATTGTTGGTCAGCAGATGCAGCTACTCCTGATGGATCGACAATACATGCGAACAATCTCACGAAGTTTGGTTTTATCCAACAGCTGATCAACCCGGGAACATTCGCACGTCCGACGGTAGTCCTTGTGCACAAACTGCATTCACAAAATGCGATGCCAAGGAACTGACAAACTCGTAATCTCTGTCAAAGGCCATAAGCTAAAATGTTTGAGAGGAGATTTAACAACCAAGTACATTTGTGCTGCACAGACGTGAGATTTTACGGTTTTACCGTTTGTCAAAATGTGCGAGCTGCACCGCCTGCGCGAGCATTACAACAAGTAACAACCGGCCAAGGCGGTTGGCGCGCTTAATTTTTCATTTTGTGGCAGCCGCCAAGTCGTGAATTTTCAGTTTTGTACGAGTACCTTTGTGTTCTTATTTCTTAAGCAAAAACTTGAATCCATGGCTTGAAAAAATACGAGTGTAATAGTATACAGATACCATAACATACATAATCTCAGCAGTACAAATACATGTTTTTATTTTGCTGTCATAACATGTCAGCACTCTATGCAGTTAACGCTTCGCCGCTGACCAGATAAAAGTGCAGCGTTTTGTAGTATTTATATTTTGTATACGTAATTATGTAAGGACCAGCAGAAGTCTACATTAACAGATAAACTGATAAAGGTGCAATACCTAATTGACGTTACTGTATTCTGCAGCATGCGTTCGCGGCTCATGTACCGGAACTTACAGAGAAGAAACGAGCATAGTTATTAATAACATTTTTCATTAAACTGTAGTACGAGTATACTTGTACGTATGGCTCACCCTCCCTAATTTTCATCCTTGTTGGTTCAAGTTTTAGGCCAATAGGTTAGGAGAACTTTTACGCTCCACATATATGGCTACTATGTATTTGGCGCGCTGTTGAGCGTATCTAGGCAGCGTAAATATAAAGCGTGCGGAAGATAACCAAAGGGTCAACAGGAAGAACATTTCGGAAGTCAACATATTAAACACACCAAATGCATGTGCCTTTGTTGTTAGTATCGACGGTGTCGCTGGTATGTATGTCAAATGAAGGTATACATTACACACATCCAGGTCGAAGCATCATTGAAGATTCTTGTAGGAGCACTCGTATAAAAGCATGTGAATCGGAGAACGACGTAAATTTGTTCGTATCCTTTGCAATAGAATCACAACTGTTAGTCTGCTGCAAATTCAATATGGCATCGTGTGGATTTCCAATGATTCTGTTGGCCGTTATAAAGATACTATGTGGTAATCAATTCTGTATCTTTCACATAATCCATCCGAAGTTCGAATATATTTTACTAACTCGCTACCATACGTCAGTGCTTCTAGCGTTATCGGAGGCGGCTATTACCTGCGGAATTCCTCAGATATCACCACGATCGGATATGTCAAGAGTGAAAGGTAGTCTGTCGACTTCTGTATGCCGAATTTTGAAGCAATGAAAAGGTAACCAATTTCTTTATTTTTAGGCGGCAATGATGCGGTGCCTGGCAGTTGGCCGTGGCAGGTTCGTCTCGGCATTCGCCAGGCTAACGGCCAAGTGATGTGGAATTGCGGAGGCAGCATTTTAACCGAGAAATATGTCGTTACTGCTGCTCATTGTTTAGTCGGGTAAATATGTATTTTCTGACTATATGTGGATTCATACCGAATATACAGTCACGGATGGCAACACGTATAGAAATTCTCAGTTAGTATGATCTTTCTTATATAAAGTTTATAGACTTACTGGAAGAACTGGGCTTGTAAGAGAATTTCCCTCGTGTTTTTTTATGTTCCAGTACTCTGATAGAGACATACGGACCCATTTTATCATAGCAGCCACACAAGGTTAGGGGGATCCATAAATTACGTACGCAGCGAACCAGGGAGGGAGGGGTCCAAAAAACGTGACAAGCTGTAACGGCCTCGGCGAACCCAGGGGGGAGGGGTGGTCAGCTCCAGGTATTACGATTGAGCGAACCAGGGGGTAGGGGTCAAGCAAACGTGACGGACCGCTACGAAGGGGGAGGGAGGGGTGAAAAAATCGTGGTTTTCTGCGTACGTAATTTATGGATGCTCCCTTACTATACCCCAAATATTTTCAACATGTACGTATTTGCGGTTGCAGTGGGGTTAATGCCCAGTATATGATCCGTGCCGGTGATCACGACCAGACGCGCACCGAAGTGGCGCAAGTGGATCGCGCCGTACTGCGCATTGGTCAGCACCCGAACTACGCCGGCCAATCGGGCAACTTCAGGAACGACATTGCCATTCTCCGGCTGGCCACCAACCTGACCTTCAAAGCCCAGATCAGTCCGGTGTGTTTGCCCATCAGCAAGGAGGATATCCCGCACGGCACCACCTGCATGGTTACCGGCTGGGGAAAGTCGGGTCCGACGGGTACCAGCTACAAACCGGCACTACAGCAGGGTCGTGTGCAGATTATCGGACGGCAGCAGTGTGCGGCGCAGTATTGGGGCAATATGGTCACCAGCAATGTCCAAGTGTGCGCCGGGACACCAGCTGGCACAGTGGATGCCTGTTCGGTATAAAATAGGAATTAATTTTTCTTTGTAATGCTCCCATGTTAACCCTATTATTTTATTTTAATTTTCTATTAGGGCGACAGTGGTGGGCCGTTAGTGTGTCAAGATCCGACTAGCCGACGCTGGGTTCTTCATGGTGTCGTCAGTTTTGGACCTCTTACAGGGTACTTTATAATTAATAGACGGTGTATCCATTTATTTATTCACGTTTGGTGTTTTTTTACGTAATTCAGTTGCGGAAATCCGACAAAGCCGGCTGTCTATACAAGGATCACGGGATTGCTGGACTGGATCAAGACCACAACCGGAAACACTGTTTTGCAATATTAACCCACGGTGGACAAGGCCTGATGTCTTTCCGTTAGAAGATTAGCTGCGCTGGTTATAAAGCCATGTACTGATGCTGCACAAACTTTAAGATATCTATACAATGTCTTGATTCATTGGTTTCTTATGTTTGATCTCGCACACTACTTATAATCAACCGCCGGTGAATGTGTCGAAATAATGGATGTGTTCTTTATCTACAGATAGCAAGTATTAACTGTTAGAGACTCAGTTGTTATATGCTGCTTCGTTCGACATCCCGGTAATTTAATGTTTCATTAGCACATATGAAATAAACATCAAGGAATTGTGCGGAGTCAAAACATTATTCGTTTTCAAATGAGCAGTTTGTTCCGATAACAAAATATTTCATTTGATATACCAGATGGTTGTAGGTTTTTTCGATAAGAAAACAACCGAACAATTATGATTCTTACTACAAATGCAAAGGAAAATAATCCATCAATTGTCGGTCTACCGCGCTTTATAGATTGCAGTATTAATGGAGCGCAAGGTTTTCCATGCAACATTCCTGGTTTACGGACAAGCGAGTTGAGCCGGTGCGTTCACCTAAAAACCGGTGCCGGTTGATCACACAGCACACTTTTCACAATGTGGCGGTTATGTGGCATTTACCGTGTTGCCGGAAGTGTCCATGGTTCCACACACTGGATTGCTAGATGTATCGGTACCGCAAACCAGGATATTACCGCTGCTCAGGCTCAATATGGTCTTGATGCTGCCGAACTGGGACTGGAAGGAAGTAATGTCGATTCCTTTGCCATTCTTAAATAACCATGTCGGACTGTCGGTGGCATCTATCAAAAGCGATAACTATACGTGTACCGCTATGCAGAATATTTATATAATGAAAAAATTGGCTGCATTTATAAGCGATACATATTGGTACAAGTTTATTAGTACATTGTATACCATAGGTATAAGTATCGCTGTTGAGCATCGTCTGGATGTTGGCCCCTCCAAAGGAATTGAAGTTGACACAGTTGTACTTGGTGGCACCGCTGACAATCGTGCAATCGCCAGATCCCGTTGGCTGTAATACCAAAAATGACACTGGTAATTTTCCTCAAAATGGCAGCACGTTTTTCGATGCACTAGCCATATGTCTATGAACAACGTTACACGTACATTTTTCAGCCAGACATCATTGCCTTTGTCTCCTTTGTCCCATCCCACAATGGGTCCAGATGGGGCATCCAGGAAAACTTTACCAATGGGAACGGGATTACCGACCTGACCTACTTGACCATTCGCATCGATCTGCACTTCCACGGTACAATCACCTATAAATGTCGTCACAGTTTGGTTCAAACGCTTTTTCGAAAAGCATCTCACGGAAACCGGTATGCGTACCGCTAAAAGCGTAAGTTTGGGAATTCATATCCGAACTGTCGAGACGCACGATCTGATCGATACCGGATGAACAGAAGGAGCTCGGGCAGCTGCCGGCCACGTTGATGACAGCAGCACTGAAATCGCTTTCAATGTTGACGGCGTTCTTTCCCCGTTCGATCCAGTAGACTCCCTGATCGCCGTTCTCCACCCCCCAGGAGTTGGCAATGGTCCAGTAGGGAACTCCGTTGGAATCCGAGCACCAGCCGATGATGCGGATGGCGTGGCCGCCCAGTTTGGTTGCCCCGTCGCCTGGTCCGCGATAGGCTCCTGAAAGTAGGCGGCGGTATTTAATATTCACACATTTGTACATGCATTGATACAATATACTGATATTATATAAAACTGCATTATTAACTGTATATTATGGCAGTTGCTTAAACGTAAAACATGCCAACCTTGAGTAGGTTTCCAGTCCTGCCAGTCACTCCAGTCCTCGATCCCGGCGGTAACCGGACCATTGGTCATGATTTCAATCTGAATGTCTTTCACGATCTCGTCAATTTCTGTTTGGTTTTTGGCGTCCTTTAAACTGTGCACCCAGTACGAGTCATCATCTAGAAGAATCCAATTTTAATTAACTATCCGTCAAGTGCTCATACTGGCGACCCAGTTTTCTGGGCAAGCGCGTAATTAAACTGACTTGTATGGAAATCATCGGCAACCGTTGTCGGATTGTAATCAGGATTCGTGCAGTCCGATGGGCAGTTAAGAGGTGCCGACTCCGATAAGTCCGGATACGGTGCACATCCCACACTGGCGGAGCCGCCGCCCGTAATGTACCCTTTGATGGCCGCATTCTGGTACGCTCTCTCGGTGTAGTATGGGTTCTTGCAGCTGCAATTGGGCAGTAGATATAATTATTTAATCTAGATAGTATTACGAAGAGTTCTTGGTACACACATTTGCAGTGGGGTTTCCTCCGGTCTGTAGCATGCCGCCAATTGCAGCGCTGACACATACGTCTGGTCAGACTGTCCGGATGCGATACACAGCCGATCGGATATCACGCTGGAAGATGACACAGCCTACAGCAGAAAAGAGCCAATCAAAACATGTTTGCCAGAAAACCGCTGTTTCAGTTTATTATGGCTTGTATGTATTGGCAACAACTAATATTAATTAAGGCGTTACATGTTGGCGGTAAGTACATGTAAACGAATTTTTCGAATCGGTTTAGTTTGTTCCACACGTCAACATCCGGTATTATGGTTAAATATACAATTCATTGTCAGGTAATATCACCGCGCTCAAATTTGCGTTAATTTAACCGGTATTGCCTGTTAAAATTTATTAAGTGTTTCAGTTTGAAGTTACCCAGCACGTGTTGCATTGTCCTTGTTGGCGGATTTCTTTGATACTCTGACAGTCTGGCCACCGTGTGCGGGCATCAAAACAGTCGGGAATATTAACAACGGCTCGGTTCTTTCCGTGCGAATGTTTCTTGAATTGGGGATGCTTCTTTTTCTCTTCATCCGGCATATCTAGTGCTCCTCCGTGCATGGGCTGTATCTTACGGCGCGTGTTCTGCGGTGTATTGCTGGGATTTTTCGGGGACACTTGCGGCTGTTTGTTACTGGGCACAGCACTTCCCGAGGGTGCCGGAACCGCATTGCTAAAAATTTAAAAGCGTTATGTGTTGTTTACAAATATGTTACACATGACATTATTTATAATCGGCTTACGTGTATGCGACACCGAGCAGAATCGCTGCGAGGATACAGAGACGGCTCATTGTGACCTTTTAGTTATGCTATAAGCTCCAACTGTTCAATCAACTGACCGATATACAAAAACGCTGCATAGAAAAATCAAATTTATATACAAGCGCACGTGTACGACGCTGCATGCTTCTCGGTAACGCTTGACGGCAGTCAGCAACTTATTTGCAGACTTTGCAGATGTGTGTTTTTGAAAGTGCCTTGAACTGGCTTTCCCCTCTTCAACAATGCTTGGGCTAATGGCGATTCAAAGAAAACCAGGAATTTAAATTCAGTGCACTTTTGTCATTCTCGGTAATCTTACCTTGAGGGGCGCTGAATTCTGCCGGGATGGGCAAACGCGTGTCCCGTTCGTGGAAATTTTCGGCTGATGTGCAGAATGATGGGCTAATACCACGTATTTGTCTGCCAGATGAAGTGGTTTTTCCCAAAATGTCGCGTTAGTTTGCAAACGTCAGTATGTTGTGTCGGAATTTTACAGGTCGAAAATGTCACGCTTAGACCGCCGTTGTTTGCTGGTGATCTCATGAAGTAATGTACCCGCTTATAGATTTTTAGCTGTTTAACAAGTTTGCGTGCGTCGCACGAGAATGTACTGCAATGTACTGTAGTACAAATATTTTTACTTAACATAGAATCAATTAAAATTATATTGAACAATAACTGATGCTTCAGCGTCCTCGTGCACAACAAATGAACAGAAGAAATGCATGATCGATGTATGACTTACGGAAAGTCTGTTCTAAATTACGTACCTACTGGAGAAACTGTACCGGCAAACTCGGCAAGAAAATTTTTTCCAAAAGATTGCCGCATTGTACTATATTATTCAACGCCGCCGTAAAGTTTTGTTTGGGTTTGAATTATTTATAATTATTAGATGTCTGATGACTCGAATATCTCGATGTCGTTTGATGTTTCGATTTTTTGTAATTTTTTTCAAGTTTTTAAATACAATATTTAACATGGATTATTGAGTCGGCATACACTCAAGACTCAAGTAACATGACCAGGTTGTGCGCCACCAGAAAGCATTTCACCAATAGACAGCATGATTTACTTCACATGGGGCGCTTTTCCAGGTTCGAACCTGAGCAAGGATCCAGCAGACAGGAATTGATTTTAATGGTAACGACTGTACAGCTTAAACCTGACAGATATCTCCAGATGAACTATGATAGTGTATCAGTCCTGCATGCGCAGTTATCCGTAGAGATTACGAATCAGTTAACACTGGGTGAATGCGCTGCTAACGGAAGCCGGTGCAGATACCTAAGGTATGAATGAAATGCTACCATTTAATAAATAGTCCTTGCAAAGTTACAATTTCAGGGCAGTAATACCGTCTTTCCGGAAGTGTCAAAGGTTCCGCAAACTGGGCTGCTGGAAGTCCTGGTACCACATACCAAAATATTACCGCTGCTCAGGCTCAGTATGGTGTTGACCTTGCTGAATTGGGACGTGAAAGATGTTTTGATGTTGACTCCGTTACCATTTTTGAATAGCCACGTCGGGCTTGTGTTATCTATTAACAGCAGTATAATTACGTATTAACGCAAAGCGGTTCCATCAAAACAGAAATGAATTTAAAAAATATATCACTACATATAGGCGTACAATGTGAAATGTAAATAGAGATATTGGAGTGCTTAAATATTATACTAACCGTAAAGGTAGGTGTCTCCATTTAAAACAGTTTGGACGTTGGTTCCACCAAAAGAGTTGTACGCCTGGCAGCTGTACTTACTGGCCCCACTGACAACCGTGCAATCGCCGGATCCCGTCGGCTATCACCACAAAATAAGGCTCGGTTTTACTAGAATTCGCAAGCAAATTGTATGTTTTTAAAATTGTGGACCTACATTTTTCAACCACACATCGTTTTTGTCGCCCGTATCCCATCCAACAATGGGTCCAGATGGCGCATCGAGAAAAACTTTACCGATTGGAACCGGATTGCCCACCGGAGTTATCTGGCCGTTATCATCGATCGTTACTTGCACAGTACAGTCACCTACAGAACTTTGCTGTAAGATATTGTATAAAACTTATGTTGTAAGATGTAGCAAAATTCCAATAATTATGGCATTGCACTGTATAGCTTAACGTACCGTTAAAAGCGTACGTCGCAGAGTTCATATCAGAGCTGTCCAGGCGCACGATCTGATCGATACCGGTCGTGCAGAAGGAACTCGGACAGCTACCCGGCACTTTAATGATAGCTCCACTGAAATCACTCTCAATGCCAATTACGTTCTTGCCCCGCTCCACCCAGTAGATTCCCTGTTCACCGTTTTCCGTGCCCCAGGAATTGGCGATGATCCAATAGGGGACACCGTTAGAATCTGAGCACCAGCCGATGATGCGGATTGCATGGTGACCGTTTTGCTTAGCGCCGTCACCGGGTCCACGATAGGCACCTAAAATTACTCGGAGAAATTAAGATCGTATTATCATTCGTATAATGAATGCAAAGGACAGCAGATCGAACCTTGCGTGGATTTCCAATCTTGCCAGTCGCTCCAGTCCTCTACACTGGCCGTTACTGGACCGTTGGTCATGATTTCCGTCTGCATATCTTTCACAATCTGAGTTATTTCCGCTTGATCTTTAGGATTGCTTAAACTGTGTACCCAGTACGAGTCATCTACGAGAGAAACCTTTTTTCAGCATTGCCGTATAAATAGTAAAGACCTGATGAAAATGGAAATTTGAAAACGTATTTTACAGCCAACCTGAATTGTGCAGCTGATTTGTCACGATATTGATGTTTATTTTTAAGCAAAGTTTCAACTTTTTTTACCTGTACGCATGTCGTCAGCCGGGCTTGTCGGTGTATAATCAGGGTTCGTGCAACTATCGGCTGGACAGTTCAGGGGCGCAGAATCCGGCAACGATGGATAGGGAGCACATCCCACGCTCGGGCTGTCACCACCCGAAATGTAGCCCTTCATCGCTGCATTGGCGTACGCTCTCTCGGTGTAGTATGGGTTGTCACAACTGAAATTAAATTTTCACGATGGTATATCCAATGCAGACGTGAATTACTAAAGAGGGAAGTATATAGTGCGGCTCGATCGTACTTACATCTGCTGGGGAGTTTCGTCCGGCCTGTAGCATGCCGCCAGATGTAGCGCTGAAACGTACGTTTGGTCAGCTTGTCCGGATGCAATGCATAAGCGATCGGATATTACACTGGAGGATGATACAGCCTGCAGCGGAAAAACAGCCAATTAAAAAAAGCCTTTCATAAAATTAGGTAAGTATTTGAATTTACACGCTTGTATGGTTTATTGGCGATCGTTTTAGACCGCGTATATATGGTTTATCGGCAATAATGCGCATAAAATTTAACCAGCTACTAAATTAAAGCAGTTGTTATAACGTTACCCAGCAGGTGTTGCATTGTCCTTGGTCTCGGATCTCCTGGATGCTTTGGCAGTTTGGCCACTGCTGGCGTGCGTCAAAACAATCCGGGATAACAGCCACAGTGCGGCTCTTCCCTCTGGAATGACGTTTGAATTTAGGATGTTTCTTTCGCTCTTCCTCGGTCATTTTCAGTGCTCCTCCATGTCTGGGTTCCTTTTTTCCACCGTGCGGGTGATGCGGTCTCACAAGGGGCAGACTGCTGCCGTTATTCAGCGTCCGAACTGCCAAGCGATGCGGAGGAGCCATCGGAACCGCATTGCTAAAGATATATCGAGATAAATGCTGTTTTGTAATGTAAAATGCTAATTCCGCGTTAGTGTGGTAGATTTACCTGTACACGATACCGAACAAAATCACAGCGAGGATGCATAGACTGTCCATGGTGACCTTTTGATCAAGCCAGCAGTGCCAAACGTGACATCCGGTGGACCAATATTTTGAAACAGCATGGTAGAGCCGGATTTTATACGAGACGTACACAGTGAGTGTTAACGGCGTTGCTTGTTTCTGGGAAGCGTCAGGCTACAATCAGTCGGTTATTTGCGGCAATTTCAGATTAAGGTGTAAGATGTCCTTATACAGAAGTATACGGCTTTAAGAATATCAAATATCTGTACAGTGTCTATTCCAAGAAGTCCAGGGACATTTAAATTCCGTCTTCCCTCGGCATTTGCGGTATTTATGCCCTCAGAGGCAATAAATTCTGCGTTCATGTGTCAGCGCGTGACCCTCTCGTGCAAAATTTCACGCCGTTTGACCGAAATAATGTGGCAGTAACGCATAGGTTAACAGCGATCTGGAATTTTATCCTTTTGATGTCTAGCCAATTTGACGTCAGAATGTAGAGTCAAAATCATACAGGCCGAAAATGCAAGAGCTGTATCGTAGTGCATAGTGCATACGACGGCACTTCAGATGGACATACCTTACCATTAGCTTGTACCGATATTTGCAAGTACTGTACTTACAGTGTATTGTACACCTGCAGTCCATAATTATATATAGAAGTACACATGCATATAATCATAGCTATATTTGTGTATGACCGTTAACTATGTACCTGGAGTATATCTAAACTTAGGCCGACTGCAGTTCTCGTAATCGCAAAAGCAATGCATACGATAAATCAAACGCAAAGCTTTTATAAGACATTATTGAGCACGAGATTATAGTTATTCGGAACGTACGTTGTAGCGTGTTTTTAATTCGGAAATACTTATGCAGAATTAAAGAAAGCCAAACGTAGTTTGGCATGCAGCCCACGTTTATAACTTCATAAGCCCACGTTTTAAATTCTTGATCCTTTCAAATACTGGTTTCAGTTTTGATTTAGAATTGAAAATAGCTGATCATAAAGTAACAAAAGCAAGATTAGTCTTATCAGATTAGCAATATCTAAACATGAACATTTTCAGCGTTTCATCGTCTCTTGAATCTCGCGGCGATTTTCGAATACATGCAGTACGTTTCAGACTGTCATATTTTGTATGCAATAACAAATAGGAGCGATATTTGGAAGTATTCAAATGAAATCGAAATTTGTTGGCACGCGACCGGATAATACCAAACCATTTGTAACTGCCTTTTTAAAATTCTGCGGTGATTTTAATGAATGACATACATAATAGCAGTTGAACAGGGGAGCTAATCAAATTATGACCTTTAGAATCTTACTGCAGCTACGGTTAGATACAGTCGTCTAGACGAGTTTGCAATTAGCAGCTAACGTAATCCCAGGTCACCCGGATCCGGCCGGTATCCAGTGAGGCCAGGCGTTGAAAAGCGCCGGGTGATAAGTCAATCGATCCACTTGCACAGCCGTCACATTTATCCACAATCTTCACCTTGACCTGTCTGCCACCAGCTCGGACGCTGGCGCATGTTCGGCAGACCGCGGCCGTGTTGGGATTGGCATGCCATCCATACTGGGAAGGACTAATGGCAGCTACCAGTTGGTTGTTGTTGCTCCACTGACCGCACGCGCCCAGTCCCACATCGTACCACGTGGCATCGCCGCTGAAGGCGAAGGCCCCGCAGACCAGCGCCAAGAAGTAGAGAATAACCATACAATGCGACATTTTTCCGAAAATTGTTGCTACACTTTGACTTTCCGATACAGTATAATTCCTTAATAGTTCCTGAACAAAATAGAGAAGTCTATAAGGATTTAGTTTATAAATGCTTGCTTTTTATACGCTTGTCTGCAACATGGTAAATTTGGCTCCTGTGATGAAATCGTCATTTCTGGCTGGTAATGCGTTGGGTATGTAGATGCGCGTATACTATTGCGGATTTAGTTGCGGACTTCCTGTTTCCTGTTAACGCCTTTGTGGTGTGGCACCTGATTTTTGCGATTTCATTGGGTCATTTCCGTTGCTGACAAGCTACGAGAATTTCTGTTTTAAGAAACCGATTAAAGTTCAACTGTTATCTGCACAAGGTCTGACGTATATCACCAAAAGATCTGAAAGGATATCAACAGGGAATGGCTGTGCATGGCAGTGCCATGCTATCCTACAGTAGACGAAAAAGCAAAAGTTAAGATGTAAGGTTACGAAAAGTGGCGCGCATGCATCATTGCTTAGTGCTTGGGACTCTTCGGTCCATTGGAGAAAACCTGATATGCAGTCGTGGTAAATGTGTCTCTCTTGATCGTTCATCAAAACGTAAGAACATATTATGGAACTGGCATACTTCTACGCAAACTGAATTGTTCTATAAGATTGCCTAGTCATGATGCAACCGGAAATAGGTGTGTCTCTTTTTCTGCCATGTACAGTGTTATAGCATGAAGCCTGGACTGCGCATCTATGTTGAGATTTCTTGCATCCCAGTGGTAAATCAAGTTAAGGAGCATATATGCAGCCTGAATAGAGATCCATCCAATAACCAGAGTAACAGTAGCCCTTGTAGCTGTATCTCTGGTTCTCACAATCTGGAATATTTTTGGTAAAACGAAGCTCCGACGGATACTATTAATTTTCTTATTACACATCATCATGAGCGTGATGACGCGCAATATGTGGCTCCCAGCGCGTAATACTTGTTCTTAAATTATTGTCTCAAGGAAGGTCCACGCCCACTTGTAAATGTGGATGAATTTAAGGGTGGGAGAACACGGCCTCCCACAAAGGAAGAGGTTATTGGTCAAAGGAGAAAAAATTTAGGAAATGAAAATGATCCAAAAACCGACTACAGATATATCCACAGGAAATGTATGAGATTATATCAGCAGCCACCGATAAAGGCTGCTCCATACATGCATCAAACACAAAGCGACAGACACTATGTACTATGCCCTACGCTTCCATTCCGCTTCAATTGCATGAAATATTATTACAGTCGTATAAGAGGTCAGTATTAATGTGCATTGAAATTATTAATACTTAATTTCATGACAGATACAAGTACAACAGAGGTTCGGAGAGCCTGGAAGCATACATAGAGCTCAAAGTTGCTGGGGTCATACAGCTTGCTGACAACGAGCGGCATGTTCTGCTTATAAGATAACTCGTCCAAAAACTGAATATAATCCACAGGGGTACTCCAAGTTTATTTTCAAAACTGTCCTGCTGTAGTACAGTTACGCGTTGCTCGCGATAAATTAACCCATATACATTTGTATAAGTTTAAGGTCCGCCATTGGTCAATTACAAATCTTTTGCTGTCAGGACACCGGGTTTGGAGGTGCTGAGCTGCGATGGTGTCCACTTGGAATTTGTTGCTGTAATCAAAGCATCCGGCAGGTGGCTGGAGTCACCGTACTGTCGCAGCATGACCCGCCCATCCGGTGCAATGTCAATGCGGGTTATACTAGCATGGATCAACGGCATGGCTATGGCTTGATTAGGAACCTGCAGTGCTCTACAATTCACAGGCATATTTCACAATACATATAATATCTCCTAATTTATAGCATATACATAAATCCTAGCTCCATGCAAATAAATGTTAACAGTTTTTTACATACCGATCGACAAAATACCGTATAATGCTCGAATGCGTCATAATCAACTCGTAGGAATCATGCTTTTGCTCAGGGGAAGCACGGTGGATGAATTTATTAAATGCTTTCTGGCGACGCTCCTTATCGCTCTGCCAAACAAAATAAACGGATCTTTAAGAACTGTGGGAAAATCTATCATCGATAGCCTATCGACGATAGGTCTTCCACATACTTCCGACGGACAACTCCATATTAAATTGGTTGGTTGCAGTTCCATCCCGGGAAGAAATTTTGCAGCAATTCCTGCCGCTTGTTGTGTGCGATGTTTGCTGGAGACGACAAAGGTCTTCGACCAGTTATAATGCAAAGAAGCGAGAGCTTTGCCTAGAGCTTCCATTTGTTGCACTCCTATAAACCCGGAATTTTTTTATGTAGATCGCGGTTATTAGAGACCGTCAGCAGGAATAGCTTCTTGTCAAGATTTACCAAGCGGTGACATTTCAATTTTTTCCTCCGGCTCCGAATACTCGTAATGACCATGACGTAGCAAGAAGATGTTCCGGGTGGCGGTCACCGTGAGATTCTCTCCCATACGTGGATGCCGATTATCCCAATCTATTGCGTAATGCATCAGCAAAATTTATTGTTTTACAGTCAAGGTGTCACGTGCGACAGCACCGCAGGCTTCGTCGGCGCAAATTTTAAGATTTCTTCAGCAATGAATCAGCACTGCTTGAGTAAAACACTGGTAGTTTGCCTGCAGCATTTCTATAAGGTTCCAGACAAAATGTTAGTGACCTACTTCGCGCCCATCGTTCGCCATTATAAACCGTTTCATGCAGGTCCCAGTCTTCGGTGGCGTTTGATAATAAGATTGTTCCGTTCAGGAGACATTGCGCTTCCTTTAGACGCTTCCTGGTTTCAAACAGCTCCGACTGATGCATTCTGGATTTCAGTTTTTCTGTACGGTATGAAGTTTCATGGCACAAAAGCATTTTTTAGCGGCGTTGTTACAAATGTCACGACGGTGCACCACATTTCAAATACAGCAAACGGAAACATTCTATACAGCGTCAAACTATAGTCGTTAGGATTCTAGATCATACGGTCGGAAAATACCGTAAATACAATTATTTCAATGCAGGCAAATGAAACGCAAATAGCATCATACTGTAAGTACTGTATTACATATATATCCGCACCGTGCATAGAAAAATTTAAGTTTTCATACCGTCTTGCAGAAGAAGCATTATCTGGCTGTTTTCCAGCTTGTAGAGTTCCTGTTCGTTTTTCATTATCCTCAGGACTTCTTGAAAAACTTTAGCGGTTTTATCCCATTTGATATTAGCTGCTCGAGCGGTCTGGTACAAATTATTTGTGCTTTCCAGCTTCTCTAATATTTCCAGCAATTCCTTTTGCAGTCTCTCCGTGTACTGCAGTTAAGCGTCTTAAGATTTGCTGATCCAACATAAGCAGAATTCAACGATAGAGCTGATTTGCCAAAGCTTACCATATTTTCCTGGATTTTAATACCATGTGATAATCGCGAAGGTTCGGATCCTACAAAAAATTACGTTACTACGGAATTAACGTATTACAGTAGGTATATGCATCTAGCATTCGGCTGGTACAACATGTTACCGCTGCAGAGTTCATTCCAAAAGTATGTAATACCTGGATCACTGTAGACTTGTTCCTTGCCCACCATACTAATTTCGGACGGCAGTACATCGGCCAGATTTTCATAATGTATGGGTATTCCATTAATGTTATCATAGTGCTGCGCGTAAAATAAACGAATGGGTAGATTTTAAGCGACCTGGATCATTCGAACTATATCTAACGCAAGCCCGGCCGGTAATTACCTGCGCCCTTTCGATAATATCGCTTCCGGATTTTCGTAAATCGTTGTTGAGAGCTGGTAATGTTGGTATCTTGGAAGACAAATTCCGTCTCAGATATCTTTGACCATCCAAATTGCTGCTTGCCGACGTAATACTGTGGTATATAAAAAACATAACTATGGCAGCGAACCATTCCATTATATGGCACAATTGGGCAAGGATAATCTTTCGACTGCAAAAGAACAAGTGCCTCGTGTTGGCAGGGACCTGCGTGATCGTGAGTGTATTAATTGTGTAAGAAATGTGGTCGAGTGGGCATGTTTTGCGTGTAATTTGCAAATTTTCAAGTGGGACCAAGCAGTTACTGGAAGCGATGACTACACTTTTTTTCACGATATATGTGTGTTAATTTACTGTTGCTTATACTACGATCCCTTCGCAAGTAACATCTTGCGTCCAGCTTTTTGCTGAATCATAGCGGAAATACTGGTACGTTTAATTATCGCATTACTACGGTAGTTTATGTATCGTACATACAATACAGAGTACATAGCAAAAGTTTTCCCGCTCTTTCGCGCATCGCCAGTACTTTATACGTCTTACTGCACTTGCATTGCCTTGGAGTTTTGTACCACCAATGCCAACGCATTGCACAGGGTGCGGACAGCCGAAAGGAGGGCGTATATATGTGAGAACCGTGGTTAATGGGACTTGTGCAAGGTACCGCAGTCGCAATGCACCGCAGAACTGGAGTTAATAAACAATTTTTTTTAATTTTTTTATTTCAGTACGTACAATGCGTCTATAGGGCTGTGACTTGGTTTGATCTGGTTAAAACGTTCTTAGGGTTGCTTTATTAAAATGTACATACTGTACATCTTGCACAACTTTACATATTATTTCATTTCTTCATAAGTTAGTAAAGCAGTGTCAATATTTACGTAACGGGAATGCCGAAAACATCAAAAGTAGTGAAGAAAATTTATTTCACAAAGAAAACGTTGAGTACTAACGCATGGAAATTTATTTTTTGTTCTCAAGCGTGGCACTGACTGCAGTTAAAAAAAAACTTTGTTCTGACTGATGACAACATGTAGATATATTATGTATAATCAAATACATAATTGTGGGCTGCATAACAAAGGAATGCATTTCGAGCTTCGTGTATTCGGCAGCTGCTTTCTGTGCTCCTTTCAGACCCTGTATCGCGGGCATATGACGCAACGTAGAAATGTTGCCGCGTTGTGGATGCTAACGAAGTATAAGCGCAGATATCTCCAGTATCTTCATTTGCACAGATCACGCACAACAGTCTCCTTGACCGTCCTCAGCGCAGTAAATCATCTTGAGACTGTCTTTTATTTCTCCTCATTTAATTCCCTACCATTCTGCCGCATCTGATTACCCGATAAGCGCCGTCAATGCAGAGCATTCACGGTCACACATTGATAAGCAATGAATTAGAGGCTTCTTGGCGTTCCAGGCAATCATTACCGATCAACTAGCCAATGCTAATCAGCTGCAATTCATGAAGCGTCCAGACCCGGCCCGACCAGCCGAGACAATCGTGATTTAATACGACAGTTCCCCATTGGGATAAAACGTCCAAGATAAACAGCATAACCGTGTTAATGAGAACAACAGGGCTGATGAATCAGCCGCGATAAAACGCCTCATACAACACCATGCAGCCAATCGGACGCCGGGTGTATCCCTGCCATCGCGGTCTGGTCTGTTTATTTGATTCACTATTGAGTCTCTCTCTGCCCGGTTCTGTCTCGCTCGCTCTCTTATCGGTTTGACTTTCAGCCCAACGGCAAACAGTGCGCGTACAGGCGGAGAGCGGAAATAAGCCAAGCAAGTCCAAACGTGTATCGTCCGTTTGTATTAAATCGCATATTTTTGGCCGCGCGTCTTTAACTGCTCTTATCCGGACCCGATATTACATTTTCCCATCCCATGTATTGTGTATTATCAGACACCCCCCCAACAACCGGACGGAGAGAGTGTAATTACCTGACTAATAATCCTTGTTCAACCTGCCGAAAATATGCGCCACTGTTAGCATTTTTATGACAATCATATCGCCGCCGCTCGGTACACAAACGCACACACTCACACATATACACCAGGAATTTGTCACTGATGTTTCCCAGTACCGATTGACCATGTGAGAAATCCTTATAATCATGTGAAAATTGCAACGCTTGTAATACGGATTCTTAATGCTCCACAATCTATGGCTACATCTTCCCGGCTTTCGGTACCGGTTGACAACCGTTTTTATATGCATCACGAATCTAATATAAATTATTTATAAAGTATGGAAAGCTATATTGGGATATCCGGCTGCGGTACGATGATCCTGTGGTATTTGGCATCATGTTTATGCATCAGGATGACATATGCCGCTGCAGCGACGACGGCGGTCCAATCTAATCAGACCAGTCTAATCCAAACAACACCCGCAACACAGTTGGATAATTTCACTCGGGAATCAAGAGAAATCCAATGCTTACCGATTAGGCATGCCTATGCCCAGACAACTGCCAAAGGGATTGATGGCTTACAAGTGCCTAGAAGAGCCATTAATGGTAAGAACTTGATCGAACCACAGGGCATCTCCGGCATAGTCCCGTTTTTTTGTCACAACAGCTCGATAATGCCGCGTTATGTATCTGTACTGTATAGTGTATCTATTGGTGCTTCGATCGCGGAGATGATACAAATGCTTTTAAGAGGGTATGGGAAGCGACGGCCGGCATACTTAGAAATTGTTTAGATCCTGTAATGTCAGCTGTTTCATACTCCTTTCTCCCGGGGAGTGACGGGAGATGAACCGGAACCAACAGAGATTTATATGTACACAAGGCAGAAAAATTTATATACATGGATGTGTACCTCGTCGATCGCGCTGCACCACTTGCGCGCGCATCGACGGGACAGAAATGCGCTTCAGCAAATAACCGTTTAAAAAGATTACGCAATGTGCTGGTAAAACACGTTTGTCAATTTTTATTATTTGTTTCAATACATTTTCGGATTTGCTTAAATAATCAGCGGGGGTTGTGCCCAGCGTTTACGATGGCCGGACAAATTTTCCGCTCGTGAAAAATGCTTGTGGTAGATTTTTGACGGATTGTCACCACAAGTGCATCTCTAGAAAGGCAACTGCATGTCAGAGTTTTTGACAAATGATACGGTACTTAATCGGTAATGACTGTTTCTTGTACAGGCTGTTAGTTCATCGATTAAAAATGTATTTATAACGCAGCTTTGCTCGCTGACAACTTTATGCCCATTTAACCTAAATTTCAAAACAATAACTGATCGTAAAGCGTTTTGCTAAAACTTGTAATTAGGTTTTTTCAAAAAATATTTTTTGGAGCTATTGTTTGCATTGTGAATTTATGTAGAAGAACAAACAGTGCACAATGATGCATTTGATTTATTTAAAAGTTACTTTATAAAAATAAATTGGCTTGGTTAGACCGGGCTAAAATGCCGTATATCTAAAGCACCGGACATCCGGAAAGAGGAGTAATTTTCCCATGAACCGGACTGTGTCTGGAAGGTGATCCTAACTGAATTTGGATCGGAAAAACCATCCCATCTGAGCGCTAACCCAATTTTTAACTACAACCCGGGATCGATAAGAAAAACATCAAGAAGATTAGACTGAAAATATCCCATAAGGATGGCGGTCGATCTTTTCTCCAGTTAAATCTCTTCCCGGAGGCTAATAACATCCACTAAAAACTCTGTCGGATGCCGATTTAGATGCCTAATCAAATTATCGCAAAATGTGTGTCATTTTTTCCACAGTGTTTAGGGCGCCGTGTATCGTGTACTGTTGTCGTGTGCATGTGCAGCATCTGCCGAGGCATTGCCCCGACCAAATCGATACATTTCTGATTGAGTTCACGTTTCTCAACTAACATATTATCGCGGTAATATTGTTGACAAAAATACGGTATATAACAATAACAAATATTAAAAAGTCAATAACCTGCATCGCTACTCTCGTTTTTTTTATTTGTATGGATTTCTGAGTGATTAAACTGATAGAATGGCAATATTTTGTTAGGAGAAATGATTATGGAATTTTTTGTACTTTAATGCCGGCACGCGTTGTATCAATTCTGAAGAAATCGATCTCCACATCGCGGTGTGTTATTCTAACGCAGCTCCGTAAAAAAATAATGGTTCGGCGCATACTACGCCCGGTCGTGTATCACAGTGGAACTGGAGCAGAAAAATATGAGTGTTAATTGATAGATTATTGGGTAATGAAAGAGAAATAGGTCAGATAATAAAAATATCGAATTATATGGATCAGATAAATTTCCAATCGCTGCGTATATTGGCATATTGGGGGTGCAGTGGATTATTACAGGCGATTAATCTGTCGATGACGATGAAGGTGGTCCATTATCACAACAAGCACCATCCAGGTTCAGCGCGTACCGGCCATTTTCGAAACAGCCGGTTGATGTTTAAAGAAGGAAGCATGTAATTTGATATGATATGAATTTTATTACCAACTGCACCGTTTATCGATTACGCACCTGCCGGTTTCTAAAGGGGAGAATAGAACGGAGAAATGCACTGGTATCGTATGTAATGCACCATACAATTCCGAACGGCGTCTCTGTTTTGACGGGCCGGGAATATTATGTGTACAGCGGCGCGCTCATGGAGAACATTTTCATTTTGAGCAAAATTCAATAGTTGACAGATGAAATATTATGGTAATTGAATCAACACAACATATCGGATTTTATGGCACTTAATGGGCGGCTTTTAATTCTAAAGCAGAACAACAACACAATTTGAATGCTTAAACACCCACCCTCAAAATGGAAAATGGTAAACTTGGCTGAAATTTCGTTGAATGGTGATATAAGCTGCCCATTCTTTATGAGCGCGAGGCTTTAGATTCGGTAGTTCGGTAAAATCGCTCGAAGTTTTTATTGAGATCTTAAAATATTTAATTCTTGTTAAAAACAAGCTTGTAGTTTTTGATTGGCAAAGCTAACCGAGTTTATAAAAATATACACGTCAAAGGAAGGATTGCTTTTTTCTCAAAAACTTAACTAAAAAGCGAAATTTGGTTTTCTTTATTCAGAAGTAACAAATTTTACTTTGAGACATCACTCATCGTTATCATTAGATCTACAGATACATATACAAGGAAAAGGAATGTTATTTTTAACAATAATGTGCCATGGAAAAAGCTTTTGCCGGTAAAACCAGTTTTTCTGTAAATGTATTCTCCGCTTCACCACGGAAACAGCATCAGCTTAATTAAGGCAAAGTGCTGCAGCCAACGTGATAGACAACCGATCCTGTCGCATGTTATAGCCCATTTTCATCTAGTAATCCTCTGCATGTGGCAATTTTTTGGTGCCTTCACATCTGCTCAGATATCACATTCCACCGGCTAAAGAGCGAGAGGATCCAGCTCGCAACAAGATCATTTATGAAATCACGCAGTGTGTGTGCGCCTCAGTGTCTGCCTCCTTCGTCCCTTCGCGGATCGCGTCCGAACCTGTCCCGTGTACGGTGTACCCATTTCTCCGCGCCACTTGATTGCCGTTGACCTTTTTCGTCTCGCGTGCCAAACGCGATAGAATATCCCATAAAAATTAGCCTAATTTTCGGCCGGGAATCATTTTGGAGAATTTGCAAGCTGAGAAAAAGCCCAGCGGGCGTTGTGGATATATGAGCACGGGAAAATTGCCTCGCTCTCTGTGTATGCGTCCTCTGCTGACCAGTGGAGCGCAATGCCAGAATTGAAACAACGGTCTCTCTCTTTCTCTGTCTCGGCTGAGTCACAGAATCGGTCTGTCTGCACTCTTTGTCAACTGAAGCGGCATTCTGTCTGCACCGTGCATTATTTGACGCGCAGCATCCTAAAGCCGTCTATCGATCATGAGGCAATTAAGGCTGGCTTTTTACGATGATGGTTGTGGCCTCTGTCCATTGGAAATCCATTGCAATCCTTCAAAGCAGATTACTTTCTCGCCCGTCGCTTCTGTCAATACAGACCCTATAATAACAATGTAAAACAAAGTGAGCTGGCATTCCATCGTGGCCTGCTTTTCAGGCCGCTGTCCAGTTGCGCTACGCTCTCCATCTGCATCGCGCTGCTAAGAGCGATTTAATTGCCGTCTGAGCTGATATTGTTGGAAGTTTAATTAAATGATATATGGAAATATTATTGACCCCATTTCAACGGGCCTGCATTCACTGGCCGGCTTAAAACACCCACACACAGACCGTCCCACTGAAGCGGGTTATTTTCACAAATATTGTTCTACAAAAGAAATTTCTAATAATATTGAAATAAAAATAACCAAATGTTTTTACTGCGGATCAGTTCAGTTTCAAGTGTCTTTTTTTCTCTTGACACTCGGGTGATGAATAGTTTACTTGACCGCGGGCACGGTTGACTGGATGATGTCAGTTTTGCTGTAATCTGACTAAAAAGAGATATCCGTTATTTCACGCCCGTACAGCGCCGTTAAATTAATAATATCCCCCTGTGCATGCTTGGCGGCTGGTGAGTTTTGCTTCTCTTTCTCTCTCGCTGGCTACTTTACCGCTTCTGTTGTTTGTACTTTGTAGCCGCCGCATAAAAATACCATGCATTCATTCATGGATTCATGCGTGATGCATGTTCCGCTACTCACTCTATCGCATCGAGTTTTTTTTTCGCGAGCGGCCTGACGTTTCCAGAGCGCACATACTGAGTCATGTACAGCGGAATGAAAAATTTGTGAAAGAAGATGTTTGACATATTTAGAACATGTCCAAACTGAAATTCTACCCGGCCAACGTATAGCGAATATGTCAGTTGTAACAGCCGTTTGTCAATCAGCCCGAGCTCTGTTGGCTCGCACCGGACGTTACGGGCTAATTCATAAATGTCGAAAGATTTTTTAGAAATTCTTGCTTAACGAAGCTTGTCGGATGCGGAACCGAAGACGCCGATGACATATGGTGCAATTGTGATTTTAGGGCAATTATCGTTTTATTGTAATGACCAGCCAAGAGTTGAATTTCTAGAACGGCATCTACGGAAGATTTCGTAAATATTTTACGTATAATTTCAGCTCGAGTTTAAAGCAGACGGATATCTTATTTATACAAGAAAAAAGTTTGCAGTTAGTATAATCCATTAATTTAAACAGGGACTTTTTTGTCGCATGTGCAATAAAATTTGGTTTCATTTGAGTTATATAAAACCAAATAGACAGAATCAAAGATCTGCTTAACTTTATAATATTATTGCGAAATATAATTAATCAGCCAACGGAAAATTGTCTGAAACGCTTCCGGTTAACATTTGTGGTACCTGGTTGATTGTTTCCTTAGAGAAGTATCATTCGCATTTGATTTGTGACATTTGTGTCTTTTACATGGGAATTAACAAACCTCAAACCGGCCTCTTCTATTGTCCCTACCTGCCAGTGGCATCGCGGCCAAAAGAATAAGTTGTTTTTTTGAGTGGCACTCGCAACCGCAATCAGGTCGCTCTTGTCCGGCGGTCGATCGTCGGGGTGCCGATAATAATAGATGTGCACTGCGG